CGGAAAAGATAAGCATTAACCTGGCATGACCGAGATGAACTGGTTGCTCAGATGCCACCCAGGGATCTCGAGGTCCTGTCATTGCGTGTCATCACCGCAAGAAAGCGTGCGAGCTCTGGCGAAAGTGGCCGCGCCTTGACTCTTCACTGCCATCGTCTGCTTCAGAACGAGCAAAGCGAATGATACTTCCGCTCTCCCTTTTCTTCCTCTTAGGGTCCTACCGGCGTCGGACCCCCCCTCCTCGTGCTCTGTTTCGGATGCGACAAGGGGACCTGGATGGTTGTTTTGGCGATGCGACAGCGCGAGTGTTTCCTCCTTTCGCTGCCATCATCCTCGTTCCGGGCTGCCAAGGAGGTGCCGTCTGATCGTCGCCGATTCGAAGAGCACAGATTCCGGATGACCCGCGGCAATCCTTCCAGGCCGGAGCTCATTGTGGGGGAGCTAGATCACATTACTGCGCGAAACATGGACCTTTGTTCCCTCTTTTCCGTGTTACAGGTGAACGACTCGGACGTTGTCTGGCCGGGCTCTGCATTCGAGAATATGCCCGCATGAAGAAGGAGCTTGCCTTGGTAGTGACCAAATTCTGCCAGCACCTGGTTTACAACTTGACATTCGGAAAATGGAACCAGTGGGCAGTCGGAAGGATGGAAGGCTTTACGCTTGGGAGATTTGACAGCTGGGACTGGGAGAGAACGAACATGGTAGCCGAGCTTTGTTCGCGGCTATGCTCGCCCTCGATCCCTTGGCTGTCCTGGATTGAAGTCTGTCATGATTCCAAGTGCCGGCATCAGACGTTCCCCTATCTGCCCCGGTACGAGCCATATATGCAAATACTACTAGACAACGACGAGGGGTCTGGCGTCTTGGATTGACGAATCGAAAAACAATGTTTATCGGATGCATCTGGGGGTTCCTGGTTCCCATGTCGGCAGTGATGGGTCAAGCAGAGACGAGACACCGGCAACGGGAGCGCGGAAGCAGTCGTTTGGTAACACTGCGCTGCTGCTGCGTCCAGGGCAAGGCCAAAACGAGGCCCAATCGGACGTCCTTGCTCGCATGGCTACGAGATGCGGTCGTCTCATGAGCCGCCAAAACAACATGCTACTGTGACAATGCTCCTCATACTGCTGCTCAGAGGGCATGGCAGTACTACTGGTACTACTCGTATGTGATCGCGCTCAGGGGATGTCCTCAATGAGGCGGGTAAAGAGAAGCTGCGGGGCCGGCAGCGAGGCACGAGAAAGCATGCTCCTGGCGACGAGCTCTCCATTCCCAGTCTGTTCATGTCTCCGAGGTCTTCATGTACTGATTCAGGGACCAAATGAGCCCTAGATTGCATCTTCATGCGGTCGACACATCCGGTCAGGGGTACGCAAGGCTAGCGCCCAGCCGAGTAATAGACGTGCGATAGCCACACTATTCAATCAAACCAGAGACTAGCAACGCGGACGTTCTCCTGAACATAACTGTCGCTGCCCCTTTGTTGCTGGCAATGGTGGACGACGCGGCATGAATTGGCATTGCGCCGCCTTGAAGCGCCATGCCGCGAAGGGCGACTTGTTCATGCAGAGAAGCAGACAGACGGCAATAGGAGCTTCGCCACCTGGAGGCTTGTATGTACAGTACAGTACATGTATCCAGGCTGCCATGTGGTGTTCTCGCCAGCGTCAGCGCGTGGTCGCTAGACAGAAGTAATTACGTTGCCGTATATTGCCGAATTACTAGCTGCAAAGGTGCTTGCTCGTACGAGCGAGTCCGTCTATGGTCTTTGGGGGAGCAGGGGAGGGAGCGCCAGAGCAGCTACCTAGCCTTGGCGATGGGAGGAAGACGACGAAGCAGCGATAGCAATATGTGGTACTATCGTTGACTCCAGCTGGTCGATTGAGGGCAGAAAACCGCCGTTGCATTGGCTGCTGCCAGAGCTGTCGAGGTGACGCTGAAGGATTGGGTTATGAAGACAATGGCTGTCTGGAAATGCCACTCATTGACTGGCTCTGGCCTGCAGCTCTCTTCATCTTCACAAGCCCCCCCTCCCCTTTGCCGGACGTACAGTAGGTAGTTACTCGTGCGTGTAATCTGTCGACACACGCCCATGCTATTTTTGTCTCGCTAACTGCACACCCACTCTCTGACGGTGTCGTGCAAAAAACCTTGAAGTTTTGGAGCAGGGGAGCTCGAACTGGGTTCGTGTGGAGGCCAGGCTAGATCAAGGGGCCCGGTTTTGGCCCTCCTTTGCACCGCAGCAGCGTTCTTCAAGCCCCCCCTTGGCTGCGATTCTACCAGTGCTGCCATCCAGCATGGAGGTTGATGGAGATGGAATGTACAAGTACGAGTCCAGTCACACTTCGGAGTTTGGGTCCGTACGGATTTCTTCCAGAAACAGCGCACAGATGGGTGCATAAACTCGAGTGTTTGTTGTTTGTTGCCAACTCCCTATACCGGTAAAGTTGATCAGATGTCACTTTGGCAGCTGCACATACATACTGTAGAGCCTCCGCACACGGGTAGAATGAATGGGGTGCAGGTGCGCATCTGGAGGTCGCGATGCCGGCGTGTTGGGACCTCTTGTTGGATCTCGTGAGTGAGTGCGTGCGTGCGTATACTTTGGCCGCGATTGGGCTCTGCAGCAAAGCGCTCAGGCACCCAAACAACTGCCTTGTAGCCGTCACGTACATGTGCTATAGGCGCTGGTGTACCTGTACCGGCTGTGGTTGGCTGTGGGGTCCCAGCCCACGAGCGCTCCGAACGCCAACGGAGGCGCCAGCAGCGCGAGGGCTGCGAATCCTCGAGGCCAGCAGTCTGCCGTGCCGAGGAATTCTCTGGTTCCGATTTTCGTTGGTTATTATTCGCCTTGTCTTCGGGTTGTTATGCTCTGTGGTGTGCTGCAAAGTTGTCATGTGAAGTCTGTTGCGCCCTCTTTGCGTTGTTGTCAGGTATTGTGCCTTTGTTAGGTACTAGGTATCCTCCGGCTTACCTGACCTACACGCCACCACTTTGAGTGCCAACACCGCCCGCACCGCTGCGATTAGGCGGCGCTCTAAGGGGACGCAGCACATGTATTAGCCAAAGTACCGCTACAGGCGTCCGCTACGAGCACGCACCGCGGAGCACCTACGAGGACGAGTACTCAGCGCTGTCCAGGGCCTGGCCCCAGTGGGCTCAATGCTGCCCGCTCATGCGCTATGACAGTTGAGCGACTGACTGAGGTGCTTCGTTTCCCAGCCCCACTCCCTCTCTCTCTCTTTCCTCGCCCTCTCGAGCCTTTCTTGCCTTTCCTTTCTCTCGCGCTGCAATCGCGCCCCACCGCACTTGCCCGTACCGCCCACGCCCCCATCGGGCTTAGCGCAAGCCCGCCCGACCCTCTGGCTGGCTCCGAGCTCTTTCCCTCTTGTGCGCACCGACCCTTGCACGCCCTCGCTCTCTTGTCTTTATTTTGGTCGTTAATAAATGGCGTCTTTTATTATGATTTCTTTTCCTCCGCGTGTATTATTAGTGCCCCCTCCCCCCTCCCTCTCCTTCTGCCCAAAGGGAGCTTTCCTCGTCCAAAAGTAGCGTCCAGGTACACTGCCGCCAGCACCCGCGCCACCGAGTACGCCGCCTCTACTCCGTGCCGCCGCAGCTCTGTCTGTACCTGTACCTTACCACGTTCGTCCTGCTAATCACGGCTCTTCTCTCCAGCCAGCTCTTTGCAGGACCCAGCACCAAAGCAGCCCGTCCAGGAACCGTCCAGCTCTCGCGCCAACAGAATCGAGGCGCTTCTTAGCACCAGCCAAGCAGCACCACCGGCTCCAGTCGACAGCCCGCCCGGATCAGAACCAGAACCACCTCAGCCAGACGAGACGAAAAGGTACCTCCATCCGCAGCCACCGACCCGCGCAGGCTCAGGTCACTCCCCCCCCCCCCCCATCGGGCTTCTTCCCTCCCGTCGCTTTTGATCCATCCTGTACTGTAGTAGTACCTACATACGTCCGCCACGACAGGCACAGGCACAGACAGGCACAGGCACTGGCTCAGGCACTGGCACTGGCTCAGGCACAGGCTCAGGCACAGGCATCCAATCCCGCTGGAGGCGCACCACAGCAAGGCCCGCCACTCCACCCCATTAAACGTGCCCTCCCCCGGCCGTCCATCCTCAGCGCTCCCCTTCTTCTGAAATCTCTTCCCTGTGTTTCTTATTTCAACGTTTTCCTGCCCTTTCGCTTCTTCCCTCCTCCGCCTCCACCCTTTCCCTCCTGTTTTTCCCGTTCTTCTTCGGAGCCGCGCAGCCTCTTCTCGTGTGCCCTCTCTTTTCTTCAACCTTTTTATTCTTTTCTTCTTCTCACTAAACGTTGGGCCAGGCTGTCCCTCTATCGCGCGCCTCAGTCGCTGCTCCGCTCGCCGCTCCGCCACGCACGCCATCATCGCCAGCGCCTCAAAGGGCAAGACAAGACAAGGACAAGACAAGACAAAAACAACAAGCCAGCGTTGTCGCGGGGTTTTGCCGACTACGCTCCTTTTTTTCCTGGTCCCTCCGTTTTCCATCCGCATTTAATTCGTCTGCGACCGACCGACGGCTTCATCTCCTCGCCATAGACGGTTCGCTTTTTGGACGCGCCCATACATTCGCTTGACGCTGTTGTTCTGGGACGTCCCCCTTGCTGTGCAACCTCTTTCAGTCGTTTCGAGCTGGTCTCTCTCACACACACACATACACCACACACAAACCACCATCGCGTCGAATCGCCAATTCTCTCGCGACCCTCGGGCAGCGCCTTTCATTAAACATTTTCCTTGTCTCTCAGTCTCCTCTGGTCTCGCACCAGCATCTGCGCGCAAGCATCGCCAATCACCGCCCGCCACGGTTGCCCGCACAGAAAACCACAGGACGAACCCATCCGCCATCGCCAATTGTATTGGCCAGCAGATACACACACGCAACCCCCCCTTCCAGACGGTGTACTCCCGCACTCCAACTCTTCTTGACTCACGCGGAATAGCATCGCCACAACTCGCGCACCATGTATTCACAGCACCCGGCCATTGCGCCTCAGAAGCCTGAGACGTTCATGCTCAGCACCGAGGCCCAGCAGGCGCTTCCCCATGATGCCCAGGTCGCCCTCCAGCAAGTCGACAACCTCAAGTACTTCCTCATCTCCGCTCCCGTAGACTGGCAGCCGGATCAGTACATTCGACGCTTTCTGCTGCCGACGGGCGAGTACGTCTCTTGCATCCTGTGGAACAACCTCTTCCACATCTCGGGCACGGACATTGTGCGATGCCTTTCTTTCAGATTCCAGGCCTTTGGCCGCCCCGTCAAGAACTCCAAGAAGTTCGAGGAGGGAATCTTCTCCGATCTCCGAAACCTCAAGTCCGGAACAGACGCCTCCCTGGAGGAACCAAAGAGCGCTTTCCTCGACTTTCTCTACAAAAACAACTGCATCCGCACCCAGAAGAAGCAAAAGGTCTTTTACTGGTACAGCGTGCCCCACGACCGTCTCTTTCTGGATGCTCTGGAGCGGGACCTGAAGCGGGAGAAGATGGGCCAGGAGGCCACCACGGTCGCCGTCAGCGAGCCTGCGCTGTCCTTTCAGTACGACTCATCGCAGTCGCTCTACGAGCAGCTGACCAAGAGCCAGCAGGCCAACTCGTCCTCCTTCAGCGCCCAGCAGTCTTCTTTTCACCCCAGCCAGTCCACCTCCCCCGTCGTGAGGGCCATGGACTCCATGCCTCCCCCGAGCATGATCCCTCACAGCATGGCCCCTTTGGCCGAGAGCATGGAGACCATGGTCTCCTACGACGCCATGACCATGGCGCCCGCCGTCCCCCAGCAGGTCGCGGCAGTCAAGCGGGAAGCTGACTTCACTCGCGTGCACTACAACCAGAATGGCATTCCCATCACTCACAACCACCACCGCCACTCCTCGATGCCCGCCTACGGCCTGGAGTATTCGCCCGCTCCGTCCTTTGTCTCTTCCGGATACGAGGACTACAGCAACCGGGGCTTGTCCTTTGAGCCCATCACTCCTCCTCAGCAGGCCCTCGGCATGACTGCCGAGCCCGCCTACATTGCGAACGAGGAGACTGGACTCTACTCGGCCATTCCCGACCACCTCTCCGGCATGTCAGGCCTCGGCGGCATGGTGCAAATGCCATCCCACCTCACAGGCCCGCAGTTTCCTCGCTCCTACGGCACCAACAACATTTACTCCGTGATCGAGGGATCTCCCACCTACAAGCAGCGAAGACGCCGCACGTCGATCCCCACCTCCATGTCCGCCATTGCACCCACGTCGACCCCGTCTGCCCCTCACAGGCCGTCGGATCTGCGCAGGTCAGTGTCCGTCTCCATGGGGCCCGTCGTTGAGGGGGAGGAGTCGAGCGGCAACTCGCCCTCCAGCATGTACGCCAACTCTCAGCACAAGGATCTCATGGACATTTCAAGACACGGCAGTCCCGCCGTCCATCCCATGGCCCTGCAGCACGACTTCTCCCACATCAGCGACGACATGTCCGGTGATGGGCGGTCCATGATGGGCGGCGGCATTGTCCGACGCGCCCGGTCAGCTACTGTGATGGAGCTGGGTCCTTACCCTCACAAGTCTCACTCCTGCCCGATTCCCACCTGTGGTCGGCTTTTCAAGCGCCTAGAGCACCTTAAGAGGTAAGTTCTCTCTGTCTCTTAGCAGAGCCAACGTAGGGGCACCCATCTAATCAAGCGCTCCTCAGGCACGTTCGAACGCACACTCAAGAAAAGCCTTACATCTGCCCTCACTGCAGCAAAGCTTTCTCTCGGTCAGATAACTTGGCACAGTACGCCTCTCCCTCTCTCTTGCTGCAAGTCCCCTTGAAAATCGCGTCGGTGGCTAACTGTGAATCATTACAGGCACAAGCGCACCCACAGCCGCGAGGATGGTGGTGAAGGCTCATTGCATCTGTCTGCCGAGGAGGAGGAGGAGTACTCCGGCGAGGAGCATCTTGGATCTGTCGAGGAAGCTTCGCCGACGTCCGAGTCGGCCTTCCATCCCGGTTCCATCAATGCCGTCGTTACCAGCGGCACCATTGCTCCTCAGACCACCATGACATCCAGCCATAGCTACAACAGCCTCCAGACGCTCAGCATGCCCATGACCATCAGCCAACCAACTGCCATCAACGCCGGCGGTGCCATGTAATGCGCCTTCTTTTTCTTATCTGTACTTCAAATGATCTTTTTCCATCTTACTGCCTTTTTTTTCTCTCTTATCTGTTTGCGTCATGATACATTTTCACGTTCTATGGATCTCGGATTAGGGGATTTCGTGTGTGTCCTATTTTTCTCTTCCTTTTTCTCTTTTCCTTTCTTGATATCATCTCCTTCATCTTTCCTTTTATCTCTCAACCCCTTTTTCTTTAACGCGTCTGATGCTCGGATTGTCCTCTTTTTTTCTTTTACGGCTGCAAAACGCACAATATTTACTCTTTCCACACGCACGCTCGCGGAGTCCGGCTTCCAGTGGGATAATACCTGCTTGATTTGGGCTTTTCTGGGCCATCTGAAGAGAAGGGGTTTGCATGTGACAGGAGTGAAAACGACGCTATCTGTATATATTCATTTATATACTTTTTTATTATTTCAATGGCAAGATTTGAAGGAGGCTTCTTGTGGGTGGGAATACCATCGCAGGAGCTCGCCTTTTGTTTTAGTGTTGAGATGTAGGACTCAATAGATATGAAAAGTATTTGCTTGTTACGAGACCGCTTCCGTGAGCGATGTGCTGTCTACCTAGGTAAATTGCCCAAACTGTCCATCTGTGCTCTGTGATAACACAATGTTGAATCGGTTGTCTTCGCCAAGTCTTGATCGGTGCTCGATGACGCTCTAATGATTTGAATTCAACGCTTCTGCTTCTCATCGCTTGCCTTTCCTGCCAAACGTATCTCTCGCCCCCTCAATCTTCTTCACATCCCTCTCGCTTATCCTCAGCTCAGCACCCCTCATCCTACCGACAGCCGGTCCAAACCCACCGCCGCCTCCTCCGGTCCTCCGCTCCCTCTTCTTCTTCTTGCCCGTCTCCCGCTCTAGAATGACGCCGCTCTCCTTGGCCTCGCGCCTGCGCTTCGTCTCCCTCTCCACGGCAGCAGCATTGATGCCCTTGCGCATGTGCATTGGCATCTTCTCCTGCTTGAGGATGGACGTTTTCGACCCGAGGGCCTGGATGCGGAGGTCGAGCGCTTTCTGGCGGACGCGGCCGGCGGCGAAAGCCTTTGGCTCGGACTGCGCTGCTGAAGAGGAGGAGGAGAGGATGGCGGAGAGGGAGGTGGGCTTGTTGGTCTGGAGGAGGTGGGATTCTGCGATGAGGCGGCGGAGTTCGAGGTCTTGCGCGAGGAGGGAGGGGGCGTCTTCGGGGAGGGCGGAGGATGATGATTTCGAGGAGGGCTGGGGGGTTGGCTTTGATGAGGAGGTGGAGGTTGGGTCTGGCGGGCGGGAGGACTGTGAATTTTTTTCAAGTTGTCAGCGCTTTGTGGTCGTTTTGGGGGAGGCGTAGACAGGGAATAGGAGAGAGGCTTACCATGAAGGCTTTGAGTTCGCGTTTGGACATTGTGCTAATTTTGGGGGCTTGGGAGCCGGAGTGGTCGACGACTTCGACAGTGGGAGAATCTGGGTGTTGTGTCAGTAAGGTCAGAGGAGATGCATTGGCAATGGATGCGCGGCTGGTCCTACCGTCGTCATCATCATCCTCGTCTAGCTCGTCATCGTCATCATCTTCGTCGTCGGAGCCCTCATCGTCGTTTGACAATCCTCCCCATTCGCCTCCTTCATCCTCACTGCCATCGCTACCATCCTCGCTATCGTCGTCCTCCTCCTCTTTCTCTCGCGCCTTGCGCTCTGCCTCCGGCAGCGGAAGGAACTGTGCTTCAAAGTGGCGTCGGAAGATTTCCTGTGCGTCTTCTGTCGAGATTATCGGCTCCGGGGCCTTGCGCTTCCCGAGGACGGCCATTCTTGTGAGGATTAGGCGAGCGCGTGAATGTTGAGGAGCGTTGGGTTTGGCTGCTGATGGGTTCAGTTGCGACTACAAACAATGAAAGGCTGCAACTTTTTTGCGTTATCGTTATCGGTGAAGTGTTGCGAGTGCTGTCCTTTTTGGGTAAGGTGAGCACGCTTACATGTGCTGGAGCTTGGGGCCCCACTTGTACTTTGCTGACGATGATTGAAGATGAACCTCATCTCTATTCTCTTTGTAATACTCTCTTTCTACCTCTTTGAAGATGCTGTTATTTTATCTGAAGCCACTTTACTCTGCCCTGGGTATATTCTGAATCCAATCTATGCGTACAATTCTTACAAAAATCATTGACATCCTTCCAGACAGAATCAAACCAAGATGGTATCCGATATGACCTTTCGAAGTCATCTGGAAACGAAACCCATGAGATGACTCCTCCACCCACAAACCGTTGTTGACATGTCCTTCAGTGTCATTCTCGGTCTTGCGCTACCAAAGAAGAGAGCTCCCCAATTGATCGTGAGCCCTCCTTGCAGCTGCCGGCGTCTGTCGGAACAGCAGCGCTCGCACCACCCTCTCGCCTTGGCTAAAGGCCAGCTCAGTCCTCTCGAGCCCAAAGCGACGGATCATGTACCGTTCCAGATCTCGGTCTTTGACCATGGCTTCGACGAGATCTAGTGCAATCTCGGCGTCGGACAGTGTCTCCAAGCGGACGGTCATCTCCGGGTACACCGTCATCGTCGCTCCATACGAGAGCAAAAGGCTCACTGAGGGACCGTCCCAGCCCGCGGGAGAATGGTAGGCGTGAGCGAGAGCCGTCCAGCCCCAGTCGTCTGTGTCGTTGACATTGACGGAGGGATTCTCCAAGATCAGGTCCGCCACTTGGTACCGTCTTCCCTGCACGGCAATGGAGAGAGGCGTCATGCCGTCGTCATCCCTGGCATTGGGATCAACGTCTTGCCGGTTGAGCAGCATTTTGACGACGTTGTAGCTGCCCAGGTGTGCCGCCCATGAGAGAGCAGTCATCCCCACATCGTCCTTTCTGTCGGGCACGATGTTAGGGTGCTGAAGGAGGAGCAACACCGAAATCCCGTATCCCCTTTTCACCGCGTTGACGAGTGGCGTGGCCCCATGGCAGTTTCTGACGTTGACGTCTATTCTGGGGTGCCGGAGGAATAGCCTGAGCATGGACTCGTCTGCGAGGTAGACGGCCTCGTGCAAAGCCGTCTGCTGGACCACATCTTGGCGGTTGGGGTCGACGTTAGGATGCGCCAGGATGGCTTTCATGGCAGCCTGGTTCTGTCTTCTGACGGCGAGATGCAGGGCGGTGGCGGCGAAGTCGACGGCAAGATTGACGTCGAGCTCTGGCTGCTCAAGCAACAGCGCTAACAAGGCATCGTGGCCGCGGTCTATCGCATGGCAAAGGGGCGTGCGGCCATGGGCGGACTTCGAGTTGACGCTGATGCGATTGCCGTGTCGCTCGATGATCCTTCTCGCGGTCTCTACGTGCCCGGATGCTATCGCCAGACACAGAGGATTTGCGCGCCGATTGCCGTCGTTCCAGTCGACGGTCAACTCGGGTCGTTCCAGCAGCAGGCTCACAATCTCTGTGTGGCCCTCTTTCGCCGCCACGTCGACGGCCGTACGTCCCTCGTGGTCTTCGTGGTTTAAATCCACGCCTGGCCACCTCAGGATCTTCTCCACCACGGCCATGTGCCCGCCTTCTGCCGCCAGGAGGAGGGGGGTGGCATCCTTCTGGTTAGCAGAGCTCGCGAGGAGCTCCTGCCTTTGTCGAAGGATGTCGTTGGAGCGACTCTCTTCGATGCTCCTCTCGGGGAACATCAGCTCCAGCGACGCGGCCTCTCCGTTTCGTGCAAATAAATGCACCAGGTTGTTGCCGTACTCGTCCGGGACGGCCAGGAGATGTCGGGTGTACGTGAGTTCACCCGCCAAAAAGGGAAACACGCGTACAAAGGCGTATAAGTCCCCCGCGTTGAGGGACTGGGCGATTATGAGCAGGAGCTCAACGGGAAGCACGGAAGACATCTTGTGTCTGGATCGGAGGTCTTCGTGCTTGGGGAAATGGTATATTGAAGCTGTGTGTGAGATAACAGCGGCTTCATAGACTGATTATGGAGGATTCAAAGTCAGAGGAGCTGGGGGAGCATAAAGAGCGTCCTCTCTTTATATAGGCGGGGTGGGACATGCTGCCATTGCTTCCATCGCTTCCATCGACAAGACAAACTGCTCTTCAAGCCACCGGAAGGAAGGTTCACGAGAGCCTTAAACTCAACTGGACGAGGCCTGGATGAACGAACAATTCCCGAAGACTCTGCTCGACTTCACTAGACAGATTGCGGACAGGATCAAAGCCAGTTACGAGGGAGACAAAGTTAATCAGGCCGTAGGAGTGCGAACTGCGATATCCGTCGGGTCAGCCTCAAGCCAATCCGCCGGAAAGTGTCCGTGTCAACACGAGCATTGTTGAGCATCGGGCTCGGAGTCGGACGCCAAAACCTTTTCGCTAGCTACGACGATCTGGGGAACCTGGAGCTATGGTATACAGACTCACGATGCTGACTGTGCTCCTCACTCACATCAAGTGTCAGGTGTCTTTCGGGTTACCTTTGATGGGATCGACACCCGGTAAGGCTTTAGGATATCGGAGGCCGATCATTGTGGCTATCGGGCCAATCGATGTCATTCAGCAGGCTCAGATCTAGAGTTGAGGCTCCTTGGTGTGACAGCTGCCAACGAAGGCCGGGACATGGGCTGTGGTCTTGAATACATACACACCCTCTGGCAAACAGGAACTTGTTGAGCTCGAGAATTGTATACGCCACTTCCTTTCTGAAACACTCAGACTCATAGAAGCGGCTAATACGACAAGGTCTCAAGCAGATAAAAGTAACTAAGAGCCTGTTCAAAATCAAGAATGATCTTGGATGTCACTCCTCTTATTCTTGGGCGAATATGGAGTACGGAGAACGTTGAGTTCGCCGAGACATCAGCACGCTCGACAATTCAAAGTAGGTACTACCGTTCGCTTGTTGTGATGGCGTATAGACTCATCCGCTTTGTGGTTTCTATCTCTTCCTTACAGGCCGCTTGCTGCCGTTGAGAGTAACCGAGTCACATCTCCCCGTACTTGGTATAAGAATAACCGAAGCGTTGGCCTTTCCTTCTCTTTGAAGCTTAAGAGTTTACATCCTAAGCGAGGCTTTGTGTGTAATCCACCCTAACACTTTGCTGGGAATCAAGTTGAAAATGTCCATTCTACTTCCTCCCCCCTTATTTCCTGTTTAATGCTTAGCCGCGAGTTCCATGTCAATGGCTGATGAAGCCCCTGGAAGCCTTAAACCATGAGCTCGGCGGATCCTATTTCCGGCCCGCGCGTGCTCATGTAAGCACCCCTCTTGGTGTCGTCACCGGCAATACAGAAGCCCACCATGAGTGGGTGTCAAAAAGGTGTGAGCGTTGGTGAAATATACACCTACATCAGTTGTGTGGTAGTAGCGGACAATGTATGCGGGTGATTTCTCGGTGTCTCCCTGTTTGTGTCACCGCACGCTGTTCGAGTCGGAGGAGCTGGCAGTTTATCCTCGGCTGAGAGCCGACGCTTTCCAGCATTCAGCCATCTCGAGCCGACTGCTTCGCTTCATCTTCAGCTTCATCCTGGAGTGCCGAATTGATGAGATCTTCTCGACTTCATTGAAAGCTTACTCTTCAGTTCCAATTGCTCAGCTTCTTTTACAGACGCCATGAACACTTTCCGCTTCCTGAGGCCCGCGGTCGGCAAGGTGCCGTTCCAGCGGTCCACGCTGCCCCGAGTGGCTCGGGCCTACAGCTCCAAATCTTATGAGTATATCCTGACTTCCACCCCGAAGCCAGGCGTTGGACAAGGTATACATTTACCCTCTTTACCAATTGGCTCATCAAGAGCCTACTATTCAATCAAGATGACTGATTGTTAATCTTCTTTTCCCAACTATGCAGTGACTTTGAACAGACCCAAGGCGCTCAACGCTCTGTGCACCCCCCTCATCCATGAGCTCAACGACGCCCTCAACGACTTCAACGCCTCCGAGGAAACGTCCGTCATCATCCTCACTGGCTCCCAAAAGGCGTTTGCCGCCGGCGCCGACATCAAGGAGATGGCGCCGCTCACCTTCTCCGAGGCCTACACCAAGGCCTTTATCGAGTCGTGGTCCCTCCTGACGACGCAGGTCAAGAAGCCCATCATCGCGGCCGTCTCGGGCCACGCCCTGGGCGGCGGCTGCGAGCTCGCCATGATGTGCGACCTCATCTACTGCACCGAGACGGCCAACTTTGGCCAGCCCGAGGTCAAGCTGGGCACGATCCCCGGCGCCGGCGGCAGCCAGCGGCTCACGCGCGCCATCGGCAAGTCCAAGGCCATGGAGCTGATCCTCACGGGCAAGTCCTTTAGCGGCGCCGACGCCGAGAGGTGGGGGCTTGCGGCGAGGGCGCTGCCGTCGTACGAGGCGCTCATGGAGGAGACGCTCAAGCTGGCGGAGACGATTGCCGGGTACTCCAAGGTCGCGGTGCAGGCGTGCAAGGAGGTGGTGAACAAGAGCCAGGATCTGGGGCTGCGGGATGGCGTGGAGTTTGAGAGGAGGGTGTTCCACAGTTTGTTTGGGAGCCAGGATCAGAAGATTGGGATGAAGGCTTTTGCTGAGAAGAAGAAGCCTGAGTGGACACACTCTTAGGTGCAAAGATGCCGTGTCACTGCCTTCATGTTTGATACAATGCGCACGAGCTGAAGCAAAAGCACATTACAAGTGAAACAATAATATAGTAGACTGAAGTATGAATTACAGATGGTTCATCGCTTTGTGCTGGATACTGCCATTACTTCTCGATAGCTTGCTTCTTGCTGCTCCCAATCCTGTCAATGTCGGCACACTCCAGCGTCTCCTTCTCAATCCCCTCGAGTGCTTGGGCAAGCAACGTCGCCGCCACATCATGCAGATAAACCACAGGAATGCGGATCACGCTGGACAGAACATTCTGAAAGGCGTTTAGCAGGAAATTGCCATGTTCAGCATCTCGGATGAAGCCCGGCTTGACAATGCAGGCCTCGATGGCATTGTTGGAGGTTTTCGCAAAGTCCAACACTCGAGCTTCCACTTCTCCCTGTAAAGTCCCTCTTTCAGCATTTTGTTCAACCCGAGGTTGGAAAAAAAGGGTCTGATCTGGTTGGAAGTCCAAAAGAAGAGAGGTATCTTACTCTCATAATGATGTACTCGCCGAGCAACCACGGCTTCTTGGTGGGATCGCGCTCAGCATTGGCGCCGCTGACATAGACGAACCTGAGCGGCTTCGATCTGTCGTTTCTCGGAGCCTTGGACAGCTCCTCCAGTCCGTAGATGGTGTAATCCAGACAGACCTTGCGGACTTCTTCCCAGGGCATGGACGCGGACTTGTTTGGAGTTACAGCCATCAGCCTGCAACACGGCATTAGTCGTCCAAGCCTCTCTCTCTCTCTCCCTCATTCCCTCTGCTTCAAGTTCGGTCGGACGAGAAACTCACCAGATGCAGGCATCGGCGTCGGCAAGATGTTGCTTGACAGTGTCCGAATAATTCAAAAAGTCATCAACCACGACAGAGGTGAGCTTGTCTGCGTCGCTGGAGCCCTTGAGGCTCTCTGGCACGGGGGTTTCGCGCCGGGAAAGGCCCACGACGGAGGTTATGGCCGGGCTGGCGAGGGCTTGGCGGACGACTTCTTTGCCGACGAAGCCGCTGGATCCGACGACGACGAGCTTCATGATGAAAAATAATTTGATTTTCTGAGAGGGTTGCGAATGTAGGGTTTCGGGTGGATGTGAGTTGAGCGAAGGGTGTGAGTTGCGTCAGTCCTTAGGTACCTACTTATGCTGTTGAGATCCTGCGGACTAACACCAAGCGACATGCTGAATAGGTACGATACGTGTGCTAGGATGGGGATAGGTAAGGTATGGCCTGATTACTTGAGAACGTGCATCCTAAACATCCGATCAGACTAATGGTTTGTGCTTGGAAGGCTTCAATTGTAATTGGTTCTGCTGTAGGATATCAAGCCATCTTACATACCTTATACTTCAGTGATTGCTGCTAGATACCTAGGTATCCAAAAGCTCGTGCAGCTGTCCTACTCAGTTGATGATCTTGTGAGAATCATCAGAAGGACTCAAGGGTCATCTATGACATGCTCGATATTTCCAAGACTTGAGCAAAATCGGGCTTTGACGCCGTGGCTTGACTCTCCAATGGTTTGATTCGATAACGGCCATTCTGCATGTGACTGAAGAAGCAACTCTGACGCCTCGAACCCGCACAGATCGTTTAGCAAGGCGCGGGCCGTCCGCAAGGGCCGCTGAATAAGTGGTGGGGATTTCTCCATGTCCAAGATCGACTGGGTTATCTCTAGGAAGCTCTTTTGAGGCATTCCGAATCACCTTATTCGGTGTCCCTACTTGGCAACATTCTACGATACGATGGACTTGTGTCCCACCGAGAGGCATCTTGAGTAATATCGCACTTGTACTGTGCATATAGGCTGACTTTACTCATCGAATGAACGAGATCATGATTTCACATGCCTTTGCTGGCAGTCTACACCAGATTGGCACCTCTATTCCTGTATGTAATACGAGCCTCTTTGCTGGTGACTCGAAAATGGCACCTGGTCGAATGCATGACAAGGCATCCGCTGGTAAGGCAGGTAAGGTAGGTACGTACCCACAGCCCGTCTTGCCCTGAATGGCCAGCGACTCCAAGCTCCAAATCTGCTCTTTGCCTCCATCAGCTTCGACTCTCTCTTTAATGCAAAAACCGCCTCGTCCATATGCGCTGTCCACATAGTCCAGGCATCTCCGTAATATCGAGCGGAAACAGAACATGAATGGAGTCTCGCACACATGGTCTCGACCTCGGCAAGGAGTTGACGTGCTCGGTATGAATCCCGCCATTTCGGCTTCTTCCCCTCCATGACCCATGCATTCACTGTCTGTCTCCATGCCACAACCTCTACTAAACGCATCGCTCCCATAGATATGCACTGAGCTCCTCTACCGGCCGCTGACTCTCCTCGACTGCCTTCACACATACTGCGGCGCCTGCCTCAAGGAATGGTTCCGCTTCCAGGCCGAAAAGGTCGGCCGCGCACGCACTCCGCCGCCTCCAGACGCAATCATCTTCACATGTCCGTCATGTCGGAGCTCCGTGCGGGACACGCGGCACAATGCCACCGTTGCGACGCTCCTGGAGATGTACACTGCTGCGAATCCGAACAAGGAGCGGCCCGAGGCCGACAAGCGCGAGATGGATGAAAAGTACAAGCCTGGCGACCAGGTTCTGCCCAAAGTCAAGACTCGGGAACGGACGGCAGAGGAGAAGCGGCTCGAGGAGGAAGACCGGAGACTGATGGACGAGGTCAGGGAGATGAGCCTGCTGGAGGCTGTTGAAGCAGCCCTGCCGGAGAGCCAGCAGGCAAGGTCGGCTCGAAGACATGCGGATGGGCGAAGCAGCGATGGACGGGCTCGATCGGGCTCCGAGTATAGATCGGACGGCTACTCGCAACGATCAAGAGACGGAAGGGGGAGAAATGGCCAGGGCAATCCCGAACTTCTGTCTGCAGAAGGCGACTCGCAGTCTAGGAGCAGACGAAGCGAGTCTCGGCAGCGGCAGGTCGAGCATCAGTCGTCACTACGGTCCCTGATTGGGTCCGAAATGAGTGAACGGGATATTGAGAGGGAAATCGAAGAGTTTGCGCGGCAAATCCAGGAAGAGGGTCTCTTAGACGGCCTCGACCTCGACAATATCGATTTGAGCCGAGATGACGAGCTCAGTCAGCGCATCACCGAAGCGTATAGGAGGCGGCAAAGGGGCCGATCACGACAGGAGCAGTCGGAGAGGAGACCTGAAGGTCGGACTCAGAATAGCGCCTCATCCAGGTCAAGGGACTCCAGGCTGCGGCCTGATAATGTCAGGCCGCAGAGCCGGCATAGGGCGCATTCACGATCAACAAGCGAGGCAGGCGACAGGAATAGACCGCCAATTTCGCCATCAGCAAGTCTCGGGGTTCGGGAGCCGGAGAGGAGGGCAAGGAGGCGAACAACTAGCGGCGGCCATCACTCTACGACAACGCCGCCCGTGAACAACTCCTCTCTCGCTTCAATGGATGCTAGGCCTGCTGCTCACTCACTGAATGATCTGGGCCTGAGGAGAGAGCATAGTGAATTTGATCCTACGGCATCCGTACCTGCTCTGAGAATTGGCAGAAGCTCTAGCTCGGCGGCTGTGCCGGCTGCTGCTCACCCAGCCGATACTCCCCCGAGGGGCAATGGGCATGGCGCGTCTTTTGCGAGCCGTACGCAGAGCTACCCAGCAGCATCCACGCCGTCCCATTCGATTCCCCCTGAATTGATTGAACTCACAGCAGCACGGAGCTCCAAAGCAAACCGGCCAACCGAGGTGGTCAGCCCACCGGCCTCCCTGGTATCCAGTCCTATCGAGAGCCCAATGGCGGGGACGTCGCGGCACCAACGCACACAATCCCAGCTGTTCGAAGAGCCCTCCATCAGCTGCTCGCGCTGCCAGAAAGCTGACATTCAGTACGATGTGCACTACAACTGCAGGGTATGTCATGACGGGCATTGGAACCTGTGCGTTGACTGCTACCGATCAGGCAAGGGGTGCCTTTACTGGTTCGGGTTTGGCTATGGGGCCTGGAAGAAGTGGGAGAAGCGCAAGCAGGCCGACGATACGATAGCCATGCCTCACATGCTGAATGCTGGTCGCTATATGCGGCCAGCCTCAACAACCGCCAGCGCCGACGGTAAGAAGACAATGACGGTTGACGATCCGAAATCGAGACTGGAGACCGGCACATTCTGTGCACGTTGCTTTGCGTGGACCAACGACTGTTTCTGGCGTTGCGACGTCTGCAACGAAGGCGACTGGGGGTTCTGCAACAACTGCGTAAACGAGGGCAAATCATGCAGCCACAGGCTCTTGCCGTTGGCTCACGAAGCAACACTCAAGTCGACGTACGTATCTCGCAGTCCCCGGTCGGGCGGTCGACCCTCTACAGCGACTGTACTCAATGCATCGCAACTATCTGGGATCGGCCCATTCAGGCCTCTGGCTTTCAAGACCAAGTGCGACATATGCAAGGATACCATCCCGTCCTCCGAACTGAGGTATCACTGTTTCAGCTGCTCAAGCACGGCTGTGCAAGATGCCACTCCTGGAGACTACGATATCTGCACATCGTGCTACAGCGGCCTGGAGTCAAAGGGGGATATCAGCGAAGAGAACGGGTCGTCGGGCTGGAGAAGATGCCCCAGTGGCCACAGAATGGTTGTTGTCGGGTTCATGGAGGGCAAGCTTGGACAGTGGCGATCTGTGGAGAGAGATCTTGTTGGCGGGAGGGCCCTTCGCTCTGAGCCCCTCGAGAACATTGCGCATCCCGACTTTATGAAGTGGTCATGGTATGAGGGAGATGGAAAGCGAGAGCGCCTCGTCACCACAGATGTGTCAGCGACAGCTCCGGATAGGCTCGGCGAGATTTTGTATGCGCGCGAGTTCCCCCCAGATGGAGGCTCTGGCTTGACAGCCCATGCCATGTGGGCGTGGTATCCCAAACCCGGGGCTGAGGACGAGCTGACGTTTCCACGCGGAGCCGATATTCAGGAGATACGGGATATCAACGGCGACTGGTTCTTTGGGACGTACATGGGGGCCAAGGGCGTGTTCCCGGCGCCCTACGTCAAGATGGCACAACACTCATGAAGAGAAGCACATTGACAATTCTAGATGACATAACTGGATGACTTGATGGCTTGGTTTTTCTGATTTTCTTCTATTATCACATCGGAATGTCATGAGATGAGATCTATAATTACTTATACCCAAGTTGTTGGAGCTCTTGTGGAGAAGCGGTCTCAGTGGTTGAAAACTTGTCGGCAATAGAGCAGACGTAGAGACGGGACTTTTTGCAAAAGACTACATCACATAATAACGCCCCTTTAACTGGTTCTCTCGTTCACTGAGCCTCGACATCAACAATGGCAACTATCGCGGCCTTTATCAGCGCCTCTCAGTTGTTCCGTTAACGGCATCGGATAATCGAAGCGCGAAATGACGTGATCGGACCCTCGGCCTGAGTTGCCCCACCTCCGGGCCATCGGCGGCAACTGCAGCAGCCGTTGAAGCAGGAAGGAACGGCCTGGAGCTGACCAACAACCTCATTCTTCCGGTTCCGATGCTCAATTGACTTCTGTTTCAGCGTGCTTTCTCACTTCTCTGCACTTCTTCTTCTTCTTTCTCCTCCTGTGAATTCGGAGAGAGGCTACAGCGTCTCGACCTTGGCAAAACATGTTCCGACACACGACGCGGCGCCTGGCTGCTGCGGCGGCCAAAGCTGCCGAGCCCAGCGCATACACTCTTGCCGTGTCGCGGGCGCAGGGCGTTGCTCGAGGGCTGACTGGAGGTACGAGGTGATGCGATGTGATTTTCGAAGGAGGATGCCGAGTCGAGCTCTGGTCAGTATCGAGGCTAATTCGTTCCCGCTTCTGCTACGCACAGCCATCGGAAACACGCCCCTCATCCGCCTCAACCGCCTCTCCGAAGAGACGGGCTGCGAGATCCTCGGCAAGGCCGAGTTCATGAACCCTGGCGGCTCCGTCAAGGACCGCGCAGCGCTGTACGTCGTCAAGGACGCCGAGGAGCGCGGCCTGCTCAAGCCGGGCGGCACCGTGGTCGAGGGCACCGCCGGAAACACGGGCATCGGGCTGGCGCACGTGTGCCGGTCGCGCGGCTACAAGCTGGTCATCTACATGCCCAACACGCAGTCGCAGGGCAAGATTGACCTGCTGCGGCTGCTGGGCGCCGAGGTGTACCCCGTGCCGGCCGTGGCGTTTGACAACCCGCAGAACTACAACCACCAGGCGCGGCGGCATGCGGAGGCGCTGGATAACGCCGTGTGGACGAACCAGTTCGACAACACGGCGAACCGACGGGCGCACATTGAGACGACGGGGCCCGAGATCTGGGCGCAGACGAACGGCAAGGTGGACGCTTTCACGTGCGCAACGGGCACCGCGGGCACGCTCGCCGGCACGACGAGATATCTCAAGGAAATCTCGGGCGGCCGCGTCAAGAGCTTCCTGGCGGATCCCCCGGGCAGCGTGCTGCACTCGTACATCCAGTCGGGCGGCAAGCTGACGGAGCGCAGCGGCTCGAGCATCACCGAGGGCATCGGCCAGGGCCGCGTGACGGACAACCTGCGGCCGGACATTGACCTGCTGGACGGGTCGCTCAACATCTCGGACGAGAAGAGCATCGAGATGGTGTACCGCTGCCTGGACGAGGAGGGCCTGTACCTGGGCGCGTCGTCGTCGCTCAACGTCGTCGCGGCCAAGGAGGTGGCCGAGAAGCTGGGCAGGGGCCACGTCGTGGTGACGATGCTGTGCGACGGGGCGTATCGCTATGCCGATAGGCTGTTTTCGCGCAAGTGGCTGGAGGAGAAGAAGCTGCTGGGGGCCATTCCGAAGCATCTGGAGAAGTACATTGTGTTGCCTTGAGGGAGGCCCATGTTGATTGACTGGTTTTTTTTTTTTTCTGCTTCATATATTGTACACGTATATACATCATACATACAAGGTATAGATCTCTGGGCATGTCTTGCTCCTCGTGGAGGCCGTTTTCCGTTGTGATCCTTTCATCTTCACCGTGCGCCGTGCGCCGAGGACAGTCATCAGTCTTCCCTCTCCCGTCCCCTTCTTCTTTCATCTCTTGTTTCTTTCATCATTTCTTCTTGTTTCATCTCTTTTGGTACAAGAGAGCCACTACCACTTGGGCGCTTCTCCGACAATCTTCTCATACACCTCATTCCAGCCCTTTGTCGAGCTCTTGCTCGTCTGCACAAAGTGCCGCAGGTGATTCGCCAGCGCAGCCTCGACGGGCGCAAGGACCTGGGCCTCCCCGCCGACAATCTCGCGCGCCAGCTCAATGCCCTTGATGTTCTGCGCCAGCGCCTGGACGTAGGCGCTGCCGTTGAGGGCCTTTGGGATCTTGACGCCGCGGGGGCTCGCGTTGCGCTCCAAGGTGGGGTTGAGCTTGGCAAAGTCGGGCAGCTCCTCGAGGTTGGCGTCCGTCGCGTCCTTCCACAGCGAGGCGAGCAGCTGGATCTCGTCTCGGAGGAGGACAATGTCGAGGACTACGGGCTCGCCGGCGTCGCGCTTGACCTTGATGGCGGAGGCCCTGGTGAAGAGCGTCATGCCGCGGACGACGCGGGAAAAGTGCAGCCTCTCGCGCGTGGGCTGGCCTTCCACGGCGTGTTCCTTGCGCTGGAGGAGGTCGAGGACCTGGTCGGCCCACTTCTGCGCCTGCTTCGTCTCGGCCTCGTCCCAGTGGCTGTGGGTGATCTTGTCGTTGATGTAGGAGAGGATGCGGACGACCGTCTCCGGGTTGGTCAGCACGAGGCCCGTCTTCTCCGCCTGCTTGGCGCACTCGATGACGGCGAGGATGTTGCCGCTCTGGCCGGCCATGCGCACAATCTTGCCCCAGTGGTTCGGCTTGAGCCGGATGCCGGCCTTTTTGTACCCGGCGAGCAGCGTGCCCAGGTTGGCCCAGTCCTCGCGGGTGCGCATGCTGGCGAGGGCCTTGGACAGGATGCTCTTTGAGTTTTCAATGTCGCGGAAGCGGTCGATGGACGAGAACTTGTGCTCCAGGCCCTCGACCTCGATGATGATGGGGTTCTGCTCGAGGTACGTCTTCTTCTTGGGGTCGAAGACGAGCTTGCGCTGCTTCTCGGGGAGGTAGGCGGGGAGGATGATGGTTTCCTGGATGGCGGCGAGGATCTTGTTCATTTCGGCGTTGTCGGTCTCGGCGAAGACGGCGCTGACGCCTGTTGCGCTTCATTTGTTAGGGGATTTCTTGTATCGAAGTGCTTTGAATTCTTATGATGCATTATCATTTTGCTGCGTACCATGAACTGGCGATGTGCTGAATTGCCTCTGTGCAAATGCCGTCTGTGGTCCATTCAGCCGCCTGACCGACCGGGCGGCCAGCCTTATTGACCGATTTGATATTGTCGCCATCTCTGGTGTTTTCTGATGTGTGAATGCCAGAGAAACCGGGTTACAATATAGCAATCCCAGTTGGAATATTTTCAGCCTTGAAACTGCCGTATGTAAAAGCGATCAAGATGGATTGGGTGGGTCGGAGAAAAAAAGGAGCCGGGCCAATCACGGCGGCGAATTGCTGTGCTTTTCGGGGGACCGCAAAAGCGATTGAAGCCTTTTCTACGTGCAACGCCAAACTCGGGCTGTCATCAACACCAATCTTTGTTGTCGCCCTATCCACACAATGAATGCTGCCGCTGTTGTCAGGCAGCCGGTGGGCTGTCTGAAGGCGGCGCTGAGGAGGACGAGGTTCCAGAGATCGTGGCAGCGGTGCATGGCGACGGAGGCTACGCCGACGACAACGACGACAACGAACCCCTCCATGATCCGGAATGCCTTCAGCCAGAGACAGCGTATGTTCTCTATAGAACTCCCAGGTCGAGATCCATGACGCGATAATCTTTGCTAACTAGTTTCGAAAAAAACAAAACAGACATGGAGCAGAAAAAGGTCGCCAAGTTCCAGATCTGGCCGCAGGTGCCCTCCCCGCGAAGCACAAACCCCGACCCGATGCCCGCCCTCACGCGCCAGGAAATCGCCCGCCTCGATCCCACCGGCGCCCGCACGCGCCTCTTCTCCCGCGAGCACGCCGACAGCGCAAAGGTCGGCGACGTCCTCATGGTGACGAGCAAGAACGGCGAGCCCTTCTCCGGCGTCTTCATCCAGCTGCGCCGGCGCGGCGTCGACACGGCCATCCTGCTGCGCGGCCAGATGATGAAGGTCGGCGTCGAGATGTGGTTCAAGATTTACAGCCCGACGGTTACGGGGATTGACATTATCTGGCGCAGGCCCAAGAGGGCCAGGAGGGCGAGGTTGACGTACATGCGGCAGCCCAAGCATGATATGGGCAGCGTGGATAATCTGGTCTCGGCTTGGAAGAAGGAGAGGTATGCGCTGCGGTCCAAGGCGAAGCAGGCGGGTGGCAAGAGGATCACGAGGTAGAGGCGGCGTTTAATGGGCTCTGTATGATATGGTTTGAAAATGTACAAATTGAACTGGAATGATCTGAATGGATAGAGCACGGTTCAAGGGGGAGGAGTCGGCCGGAGAGACTCACTTGCTTGGACGAGTGTTGGCAGATGGTTTTTCTCCAGAGACTGAGATGCCTCAACCTCGAGACGGACATGGCTCGTGAGTGTGTCTACATGTACCTTGCGGATTGCAATGTGAAGTCACGGCACTCCTATCGATAAGACATGTTCAACAAGGACTACTATCAGACTTTAATTTACCGTAAAACATAAGGTAGGGTAACACTTAATGTTGGTTTGAGTACCTAGCAGTAGGTAGGCACTGATGTTGTGAGCCTGTAGAGTCATCGGGAGGAAGCAATCACTACAGTGCCTAACTCATACGGACTCTTCTTCTACGACAAAAACCATCTCCTCTACCCAATGGGCTTCAACTGTAAGGATCAAGCACTAGAGCATCATAGAGTAAAGAGTGGAAAGCAAACCTAGCCCAGTGACAGCCCGGCAGACGGCACCAACTCCGCCATCAGCAATTCTTGATAGCCCGGGACTTCTTGGCCGCATGAAGATAATAGTATCAGATCCAGCATTTCTTTGCGGATTCGCAATGCAGTCCAGAGTTAGCCCACATGGCCGCTTTGTATAAGCATCGTGAACACGACAAGGCTCGAAAGCATCCCTGACTCGGCCTCATGGAGGATCACCTCTCCCAGCTCTGTCATGTAGTCAATTACCCACAAGCCCTGAAGAATTCGCAGGGCATGCCTGGCCAAGATTTTCGGGTCCTCTCAAGTGGAAGCACATGGAAGCACATGAGACGAGCGAGGTGGTCCGATGGTTCGCCGACTCTGACGGGGAATGGGAACCGCAAGAGATCCAGTTCCAATATCCATCCGACGCTCGGCCAAACATGCATCTCCAGATAGCAACATGGAAACTGTGGCTACTCCCACCGCAAAAGTGGGAGACGCAGAGAAAATCACCGAGTTGCACATAGGTTCCGGCACTCCAAGTCATGCGAGGCCGCTCATCCGCCAAGACCTCCACACATCGAACCTTGACGAGCTTGACAAAAGCTAAACACGATGGAGCAGATGTAAGCCGTCGGCAAGGTCAATGCCAGCCTGGGGTGACATGGAAGGCAAATATCCTGACGGTTAACAATCCGAAGGGGCCACATCATGCTACCAATGGCGATGTGAGATATCGACAAGACATGGCATCTCCAACATGGGTGGCAACCGTGCTGTGAAGTCGACCCGGTCTGCAGTTGTTGACGCTTCGTGCTCCATGGCAACTGGCATCGCGTTAGCTCCGTCAGATATCGATGTGACATGATGTGGGAAAATAGAGAGACTCGATGCTTCGGCAAATATCCTTGACTGCATCGCGTGAAAGACGATCTGTCATATTCCCCGGAGCTGGCAGGTCTGGTCTGCGTGGTATAGGGGCCGCGTTTGTTTGGCGAGGCTTTCTTCGAGAGCGTGTTTCGCCACCAGGAATACCAGGCATTTCTTTGATCCGCACAATCCCTCTCCATAATTGACCGTGAGTGAGTGATCCGGAGGAAGCGGTCAAATAAGAGAGTCCGGGATCATGCGGGGATCGAGCGCTGCCGAGCCACGAGAATCTGCGCTGCCGAGTATTGATCATCACGGCTGAGGCGTAACGCGGCAACGCTGTTTGCCCATGTTCACACTTGACAGCAAAGCAGATCCTCGAGCCTGTTTTCTGCAGCATCGACCGACGGCCGCGCAATCACGGGGTGGGAGAGTGGAGGGGGGCGGGCCAAGAACGAGCAGTCCTGCAGCGAAGCGACAGTCGAGGCGCCCGCCAGCGAAGTCCTGGCGATTTGCTGGCCTTGCTTGATAGAGTTCCATCACCGTTTTCGCGACCTGTAAGTCCACGTCCGCGGCAGGCATGGAGGCCCAGCTGCAGATACCGCAGAGGATGAAGAGGATGGAGTAGCAGCACGCCAGGTCTCGCTCCAAAGGTGCTCGAGGAGGCTCCCCATTGATCCTCATTCTTTTGCCTCTCTCTCTCTCCTCCGCCTCCTCCTTCTCCTCCTTCAAAATCCAGGTGGTTGGTATGCACAGTAGCTGGGAGCTGGCTGAATGATAGCTGGACGCTCGTTGGACGATCGGTGAGGTGAAGGCTGCCCCAATCTTGCGCTGCAGGCGGATACTAAGGTACATACAGTAGCAAGAAGCCTCGCGATTTCAAGGATCAACCCCTTGGCTGAATGCAACGCGGTGGCCCTGCCCGTCCGTTTATGTGGCCCAGCGGAGACGGCGCATGAAGACCCAATCGCCCAGACCGTGACGATGCTTCAACGGTGCCACGTCTGTTGTTACGGAGCACCTGTCGAGCGTTGCCCGCAGGGAACTCCAGCAAAGTTTCCGATACATCTTATCCAAGTGCTCGTCCGGAGGTATAATTACAGTCGAGTTCCTGGCAAGAATGAGAAAGAAAAGAAGAGACAGAAGCAAGAGACAGAAGCAGTAAGTAAACTAGCTTCAAAGCATAATATAATATTTTCATCCATCGTCTGTCGTTAATTTCTTGGAGTTGTCAAAAGCAACTCCCCAAATATTACCTTATCCCTCTTGGCTGAGCTAGAAGTAAAGCCACCCCGAGCCGTCTTATCGATAAGATACCGCCCCGCATCAAAGGTACCTGTACATGTGCCGGTACCAAGACGACGACCGTCTGTTACCGCTGCCACTTGTAGTGCTACTGCTGCTGCTCACGCTCCTCGCCATGGCCTATCACAGCCTGCACCTGGGCGCCGCCACAGGGGCCGTGCCGCTAAAGGCGCCCAAGAAGATGGCGCCCACGCCCACTGGCCGAGCCGGCTTTAGCGCAAAGGCCGCTGGAGTCAGCACCCACGCCGGCGCCAACACCGCTGGAACCGCCCCCTGGAAGGAGCTTGAGCTGCAGCAAGCCCGCAGCAGCAGCAGCGAAGAGCTGGCCGACCAGTTCCCCGAGTTCTGTTTACAATCCCCCCAGCGCCCCTCTGGCCTGAATATCATCGACACCAAGCTCGCCACTTCATCCGTTTCGACCCAGCTCCAGCTCCAGCTCCAGCTCCAGCATCAGCATCTCTCCAGCTCCAGCTCTAGCAATAACAGCTCTACAACTAGCCCGTCTGATCCTGCTGCCGGCCCTGCAGCTGTTGGTGCTACTGCAACTGCAACGGCTGCTGGTGGCACCACGACCCTTACAGCTGCTCGCACGTCGACTGCCCCGACTGCCTCTGCTTCGTCTCGCTGTGCTCGTGTCACTTCTGCTGCTGCTCCCACCACCTGCGTGACCTCGCTGGGCCTCTGCACGCCCCCCAGCTCGCCCGTCTTCGCTCCGGCCGTCTCCAGACTCGCATCGCCTGTCAGTGCCGCCAAGGCTGAGGCTGACCTGGTGCCTGTCTCTGCTCAGGCGCTGCAATCGCCCCTCTCGGTATCGCTACCCCGGCCACGCTGCGTCTCGGACCCTCAGCGGAGTGGGCGGGACAAGGAGCAGGCCAGTGCCGGTGTTACGGCCACCACTGCACTCCAGCGGTCAGAGAATCGTCGCTCGTCATTGGGCACCAAGACCCTGAGCCAGTCTCCGACGCGCTCAAAGCTTTCCAGTCCTCCAAAGCCACCGCCAAAGCCTGCAAAGTTTTCCAGACGACCTCGTCCGGCAGACTCCCACAGCGACACCGACCCCGAGTCTGATCTTGACCTCGACCTCGACCTCGACCTCAGCCAGCCCGACAGCGACAGCGAGGCATCCGCTGCAGACGTACTAGTCGATTCGTCGTCCATTCGGGGGGTCCATGACCAAGTCCTCAACAGGATGACCCTTTCGGAGCAGCAGAGATGGATCACGGTCCAGGAGAAGACGTTCACCAAATGGTATGTGTTCTTCGATTCCTACTTTGCCGCCGCCTGCCCACCTGCCTGTCCGTCACAGAGAAAATGTCGGAAAGGGCTCGGTGGTTCCTGAACCGACCCCCTCGTGTGCAGCATGCTGACAAAGACCAGGCTCAACACAAAGATTGGAGTTCGAAATCTCGAAGTCAAGGACCTGGTACCGGATCTTAGCGATGGTGTAAGTCGAGCCTATTCTCACATCGATGCTGCTGTTTTTCCTTCTTCCTCCTTTTTTTTTTCTTAAATCCTATCCCTTCTCTCTTCCCCTTCACTTCGTCCCCCACTAACATGGAGGTCGCTCAACTAGGTCATGTTGATTCACTTGCTCGAATGCCTCTCCCACGAGTCGCTCGGTCGATATGCCTCCCGCCCCAAGCTTCGCGTCCAAAAGTTCGAAAATGCCAACCTGTCGTTGGACTACATCAGATCCAGGGGCATCCAGATGACGAATATTGGTGCCGAGGATGTCGTCGATGGAAACCGCAAAATTGTCCTCGGTCTTATCTGGACATTGATTCTCCGCTTCACCATCAGTGACATCAATGAGGAGGGCATGTCCGCCAAAGAGGGCCTGCTCCTGTGGTGTCAGCGAAAGACGGCATGCTACAACGAGGTCCAAGTTCGCGACTTTAGTAGCAGCTGGAACGACGGCCTTGCCTTTTGCGCCTTGCTGGACATTCACCGCCCGGACCTCATCGATTTTGATACCCTGGACAAGTCGGACCACCGCGGCAATATGCAGCTCGCCTTTGACATTGCCCACGAAGAGATTGGCATCCCCAAGCTGTTGGACGTCGAAGATGTCTGCGACGTGGCGAAGCCCGACGAGCGAAGTTTGATGACGTACATTGCCTACTGGTTCCATGCCTTTTCCCAAATGGAAAAGGTCGAGAATGCAGGCCGACGAGTCGAGAAGTTCTTCAACAACATGCAGGGTGCGTGGGAGATGCAGAATGCCTACGAGAGGCGAATGAGGGAGCTTCTCAAGAACATTCGGGGTCAGATCGACCAGTGGCACACGGCCAAGTTCGAAGGCACCTACGCCGATGCAAAGGCCCAGGCGGCCGAGTTCTCCGAGTACAAGAGGGGCAAGAAGCGCGAGTGGGTGGCCGAGAAGAGCGAGCTCGCCACATTATTGGGAAACATCAAGACGAAGCTCAGTACCTATCGGTTGCGGCCCTATGAGCCTCCTGCAGAAGTCAGCCAAGAGGTCATTGAAAGAGACTGGTCGGGTCTCACAAAGAGCGAGATGGCGCGCGCACAGCTCATCAATGAAACAATTCGAGAGTAGGTCGAGGCCCGTTTGTGTAACGCGGCAGAACCATCCGGCTAACAACGTCACAGTATCAAAAACGCGCTGAGGAAGTCGTTTGCCGATAAAGCCAACGACTTTGCGATGGCTCTCAACACCATGCAGCTTGCCATCTCAGGCCTGGACGGCGATATCGAAGACCAGCTGCATCATGTCAAGAAGCTCAGCGACAACTTGCAGCCCCTTGATCGGTATCTCAGCACCATTGCGGAAGTGGATGCAATGTGTGAGGAAGCAAACATTGAGGAGAATGACTTCACCACGTACACATACGACGAATTGGCGTACGAACTGACACTAGTAAGGTCGTCGGTTCAGAAGAAGCTGTCCTTTTTGGAGAACCAGATGGTTGCCCGCAACATGACCAACTTGACGCCCATCCAGCTGGAAGAGTTTGAGAGTGTGTTTCGTCACTTTGACCGCGACGCGTCAAACTCGTTGCAGGAACTCGAATTCAGCGCAGCATTGGCCTCACTGGGTTTGGTTTTCTCCGAAGAAGAGATGCACGACTACTTTGTCGAGACCTCTGGGGGCAATCAATATGTCACATTCGAGCAGTTCATTCGCTTCATGGTCGATGTCACCGAGGATCAAAACACCGCCGAGCAGGTGTTCCAGTCATTCCGTGAGGTTGCGGATGGCAAACCGTACGTCACCGAAATGGACCTGCGCCACAGTCTCGTGCCGGAGGAGGTCATCGACACCCTCCTCAACATGATGCCGCCGCACAACGGCCCGGACATGTCACGCGACAGAGGAAAGGCCCAGTACGACTACATCTCCTTCATGGAGAAGATGATGGGTGGCGACGATGCGGACGACGATATACCAGCCGGTGTGCTCCAGGATAGAACGAACATCGGCGATAGTCGGCCCCGAAAGGACTCCAAGGTCAACGGCGTGCATGGATGACAGTGATGATCCGGCTCTGCGCAGAATAGGCCGTGGTTAGTTGATCATCATCATCTTTTGCGCATGGCCCACCGTCATGTTGTGAAGGCCTCTCGTATATTTCTCTGTATACTTTTCCCATTTTACCCCCTCCCCTTCTCCCTGTCGCGCATACACCGGCGCGTTACGCGGAGTTCCTGTCTCCTATGTCGTCTGGATACTGGTTGGAGAGGCAGCGGTGTTTTCACTTGGTACCCCCGATGCATGCAATGGTGTTATTACTCTTTCTAACCTTTTCTTCCTTTTCTTTTCTTGGTCTCTTATTTGTTTGGTGATGGAGCTGAGCGGATAAAAAATTGGACACAATCTTATAGTAGTCAGTTCCTCACGTTGAATTAATTGTACCACAACGTTAGATACTAGGTACCTAGGTAACCAAACTAATTGGCAGTCAGTCTCTATCCATCAACCTGAAGTCGTCTGTCGTTGTTTCTTGTGTTTCGATTGGTCCTTCGCATATCGAATCTGTTGGTTGGCGATGTGCAGGGTTCCGTATTCGGAGGCGAATTGGTCCACTCGAGGATCGAGGCATCTGCAGCTCAAGAGCGTTTGAATCATCTGATTGCCCAAGAAGCAATTGAGAATTAAGCCAAGGGCGTCTTAGTGCCATCTCAAATCGACGCCTAATTGCGAGATAATGGCGCGTATATAAGCAGGAAATACTTGGCTGTAACCTATCAAGCGAAGGAGAAAAATTATGGTAAGCTCAGTCCGGCTCTTGCCTACCCGGAAATCGACAGCCGATCGAAGGTGCTAACGAACGGGAAGCTTCAACTTCCGCTCTCTCGCTCACTCTTCTTTTTTCCCTCTTTTTTCTTCCCTCCTTGCCTCACGACAACGCATTTCCCCTCCCCTCTGGCAGAACATGGTGGCACGAACGAGGCTCTCGCAGGCTCTGCGGGCGCCCAGCAGGCGAATTGCTGCCATTGGCAGCGCCAGCCTTGCGCCTCGCGCTTCAATTGCGCCTGTTCGCTGCCTTGCGACTTCGGCTCCCAGATTGCTGGCGCGATCACCTGCAGTGCAGCATCTGGCAAAGCTCACGTCCGAGACGTACCCGGGCCTCAAGAGGGATGCTAGATTTGCAACACTGACCGCAGAGGATGTCGCGCACTTCAAGAAGCTGCTGGGAGGAGAGCATGCCGTGATTGACGGCGCCAATGCAGCGGCGGAGGACGACCTCAAGCCCTTCAACGAGGACTGGATGCACAAGTACCGAGGACAGAGTCGGCTGGTGCTCAAGCCGGCATCGACCGACGAGGTCAGCCAGATCCTCAAGTACTGCAACGAGCGGAAGCTGGCCGTGGTGCCGCAGGGTGGCAACACGGGGCTTGTTGGGGGCTCGGTGCCTATTTTCGACGAAATCATCATCAACATGAGTCGCATGAACCAGATCCATTCCTTCGACGATGTCAGCGGCTCCCTCGTGTTGGATGCCGGAGTCATTCTGGAGGTGGCCGATCAGTACCTCGCTGAAAGGGGATACATCTTTCCTCTCGACCTAGGAGCCAAGGGATCGTGCCAAGTGGGTGGAAATGTGGCTACTAACGCTGGCGGCCTGCGACTGCTGCGCTACGGGAGCCTGCACGGCAATGTCCTGGGGATGGAGGCCGTGCTGCCGGACGGCACCGTCATGAACGACCTGTGTGCCCTGCGCAAGAACAACACGGGCTACGACCTGAAGCAGCTCTTCATCGGCGGCGAGGGCACCATTGGCATCATCACCAAGCTGGTCATCCAGTGCCCGCAGCGCTCGGCTGCCGTCAACGTGGCCTTCTTTGGCCTGGAGTCGTACGAAAAGGCACAGCTGGCCTTCCGGGAGGCGAAGAAGCAGTTGGGCGAGATCCTTTCTGCCTTTGAGCTCATGGACTCCCGCAGTCAGGAGATTGTGCACCAGATCAAGGGTGAGGACCGGCCGCTCGAGGGCGAGCACCCCTTTTACTGCCTCATCGAGACCAGTGGCTCCAACGGCGACCACGACTACGAGAAGCTGGAAAAGTTCCTCGAGGACGTGCTGACCAAGGAGATCGTCGTCGACGGCGTCCTCGCCCAGGGCGAGTCGCAGGCCAAGGCGCTGTGGAGCTGGCGCGAGAGCATCACGGAATGCATTGGCCACGGCGGTGGAGTCTACAAGTACGACGTCTCGATCCCGCTGGCCGAGATGTACTTGCTGGTCGAGGACGTCAAGGCGCGCATGGAGAAGCTCGGCCTGATCGGCGAATCCGAGGAGCATCCGGTGAGCGCAGTGGTGGGCTACGGCCATATGGGCGACTCCAACCTGCATCTCAATGTGGCCGTAAGACGATATGACGCCAAGGTCGAGGAGGCTTTGGAGCCCTTTGTGTATGAATGGATCGCGAAGCGCAACGGTAGCATCAGCGCCGAACATGGGCTGGGCCTGGCCAAGAAGAAGTTTGTGCAGTATAGCCGGAACGACACGGTGATTGGTCTGATGAAGCAGATTAAGAATCTCTATGATCCGGTAAGTCACCCCTCGCCATTTCCGCATCTTTGCAGCATCCCCCCCTCCCATGTCTAGCTGTCGTTTGACGGCTGTCGTATGCTGCCCAACCCTGGTGCCTGTTTCAACCTCTGCTTCTGCTTCAAGCTTGTCTTCTCGCCTATCCTATCCACCGGAACCTTCTCCTGCATGATCTGATTGCTCTGACCCTCCGATGGCCATGGCGGCCCTTGATGGCACACTTGCCTATCACATGTCCGTTGTAAGGAGGGCGCCATTTGGTGGTTGCAGAATCCTCCTCCTCCCCGCGCCCGAGCGCACATGCACACACCTTCCACTCATGCACGCATCATCACTCACATACTTGCGCTCACGCTCACCCGCGCATATGCATCCTCTTCCCCTTTCGATGCACCTTATGCAAAGCTCTACACCCATTGCGAAGCGATAGGGCTGACAACTGACAATGGCTGATGGCAGAATGGCATTATGAATCCGTACAAATACATCTGACCGGGGTCTTGGACCGAGCAGCAAGCGGTGGCGGCGGGGATGCGATAGTAATGACGGTGCCTTTGGGCGGTCGGCTCTAAGTGCAGGCTCCCATTTGGGCCTTTTGCATGTATGTAAGTCATGGCAGATGCGGACGGCTTCGTGCGTGGGAGGGTTATTCTCCCCCCCCTGGATCCCCTTAGGCATACTGCTCACATCTTGTAACTCGTTTGAGCATGGCGCCATTTCCCGATCTGGCTCCGTATCGGCCGACACCGGGATTCTGCAGACGGCCAGACGCGAGCAAGGAAGAACTGGTCCGCAACAAGAGCACCGTGAGAAGTAATATTTTGCAAGTTCTCCTATTTGTCGCGCTGTGTGTCCTCTTCCCCCGGCGGTCTGTCGAGTGGGTTGTGGGTTGTTTGCAAGACTTGTTTGTTTCCATCCGTACTTGACTTACAGGCATTACGAGTACTATCGCGCGACCGGCTTTGGCGAGGCTGCTGGACCTCGGATGGTTCCTGGGGGGGGGGGTTTTTTGACGGCTAGGGCCCCCCCCCCTGGACGACCTATCAGATTGCCGGGCAGGGTGAGCGGCGGACAGGTCGAGGGAGCCACACGAGAGCCCAAAGAGGCACGAATGCGTCCCGGGAGGCCACAGCTCAACAGATCCCACCGATGCTTCTCATAGGTCATATTCCTGTCATTTCAGAGAGCCGGCCAATGGCAGCCCGCGCCTTGTCCAGACGTCTGGTCGCTGACACACGACGTCTTGGGCGACAGCGCTCAGCCGTATCGGTGGGCCAGCCAACCAGGAGTACAGCTGGCCCTCCGCGTCAGCCCTACGAAACTTAGTGCCAGAAAGAAGATGGTGGGACTGCAGCAGAGAGGGCTGCCCGTCCTAGCGTCATGCCGGGCGGACGAAGACCTGCTTTTTCCCACGGAAGTTGCCCTGCTTGGAGCACCAGAAGGGGGAGGGAAAAGGGTCAATACAGACGCAGAGAATAAGGCAGACGAGTCTAAGAGCAGGACCGAGAGACGGCGTCCCAAGAGGCCTCGGAGCCCCTGATCCCTGAACCGGCCGGCAATGGGTTGGTGTAAGCCTTGCACCTCATGGTCGTCCGTGGGGCTGAGGCCGAGACGGGCCATCTCAGCCTTCCCATTCGCCGGACGCCTGGTCGACGTTCGTATGTTTGTGCTTCGGTGGTTGCCGGGCCTTGGTGCGGAAAGCCACCAATCCACAATCCACTCGCAACGGCCCTTGACGAAAGGCGGAGTTGTGTGTCTCCCAATCCGTCCCAGAGTCAAACGTCGACAGGTCGTTTGGCGCTCGAGATTGGACATATCTCGTGTGGGGAGCATCCATTCCATTTTTATTTTCCCATTCTTTTGCCCCTCCAGTATGGGACGCTTGCTGCCATGTGGTTCTGGCCCGACTTGGGCCTGTTCCTTGCCTCGTCTCCGTATAATGTTCCGACCCTTACCTTTTGCTCCCCCATCGACCAACCTCCGTACCTTGTTAGCCGGAATGGCTCCCGTGTACCCACGACATGCTTGTCCAGGAGGCCTATAGCTAACGCCGGTCCTCATTGCTCTCCCTTCCACAAACAAGTATAAGACCGTCCCGAACATGATGCAAAGAGGATAAGCGGTGGCAAGAGGAGCAACGAACTGCGGGCCAGGTTTGACAGACGGCAACCGACCAAACAGCTTATTTGTGAGAATCCCAAACTGGACGATTTCTCTTTCGCCTCGTTTCACGTCTCTCTTTCTTACTTTCTTTTCCCGGAAAAGGCTTGAAGAAACAAGCGCCGTTTTGCCCCCCCACAAAGGCTGGACATTCATTCACAGACTGACGCACACGCGCGTCTATACCGACGGACTTTTGACACGCATAGGCCCATTTCCACTCTTACACGCGCCCACACAGACTAAGGCAGTCACTTAAGCATTGCCACCGCGCATATATACACGTATATCCATAAACCCGGATTCTATACGCGGTCGCGAACATTGACGATATGGTTGGTGTTCCTGGCAAGTATAAGGGGTGCGAGACGTGCCGCAGGCGTCGAGTCAAGGTGTGTACTTTCGTCTTTTGTTTTCTCTGCTTGTATTCCGGACTTGTGCAAAATAGGGGATGAAGATGATGGAAGTGAAAAGAGGAGAAGGAGAATAAGAGAGAAGAGACAGTCAAGACGGAGAGACACACACAACATGGGCAACAACTAACACGACGAGTGAATAGTGTAGCAACGAACGACCATTTTGCCAAAACTGCATCAGCAGCGGCAGAACTTGCGAGGGTTACGAGAGAGAGCGAGTCTTCATCACCGGCACGCCGGAGAACAAAGGCCGTGTCGCCTCGCACCCAAAGAAGACGACGCCTTCCAAGAAGCCCAAAGCGAGCCCCAGCCCGAGCGTCAAGGCGGACGAGCCAGAGAGCAGCAGAAGCAGCAGCGTCTTTAGCAGCTCTCCTCTGTTTCAGCCCCTGGCACCACTGACCTCCGCATGGGACGACTATGTTCGACTGTCGTCCGGCGGCCAAGGGGGAGCCGGATTCCCAGCGCTCATCACGGCGCTGCAGACGAGCCTGCATAACATGGCGAGACTCGAAGTACCGGCCGGCGGCGACGGCAACGATGCATCGCCCACGGGACTGTTGAGTGCCATACAGTTTCCTCCCTACACGGCGGCTGAGTTGCTGCCGGTGGCGGACGATTCCTTTGGTATGAATGCGCAATGTTTCGTGCGCCAAAAGGCCACCAATGCTGAGCATGACTCGACAGAGAGCTACTGCGCGTTTCTTTTCGAGGTAAGCTTTGCTCTGTGTGTTCGGGGACTTTTCCCCGTGATGGTTGTCCTCTTCGCCCGTTTCGCTCGGAGGTTTCCATCTTTGCTTCCATCCCTCCCCTCCTTCTGATGCCGTCCGGTCGAGCTAACCGAAGATGACTTACACCAGCACGACTCCTCGGGCGCGTCATGGAGGCTCACACCCGAGCAGATGACACGACTGGGTCCGCACTACTTCGCCTCCTTTCCGAACCATCACTTCTTTGTGAGGGTGTATCGCCCCGTGGCTGTAAGTTTACCTCGATCGCGTTCCCGAATCGGGTTCCATCTTCTCCCTGCCTTGTTTGCCCCCGGACCCTAACATGGTGGACGCTAGATGAGCATTGCTCTCCTGAGCCGACGGGACACCTTCTTGAGGAGACTGGAGTGGACGACGCTGCCATGGGAACAGCATCCAAAGTCGACCCTCGATCACTTGTTTGATATTATCCTCCAGCTTCCCGCACTTTTCGAGCAGGTCGACCGAATTCTGCTTCTCGATGCAACACTTGCCCGCCGAACGCGAGCCCAAGAACTCCTCCATCACTGCCTCGTCGTGAACGGCCAGTTTCGCCAGTGGTTGCAGGAGGCTTATAGGGGAACGGAGGAGCACCCTTACCCGTTCTGGGCTGAGGAGCTCCGGAGCCCCGGCGGCGCCATTCCCTTTGCCAACGCGTACACATTCAGGGACGGAGTCACCAGCCTGATGTTTGTGTACTACTGGATGGCCATGATTCCCTTCCACCGCTGCATCGAGCACATCTACATGGCCTTCTTCCAGCCAGTTGTCGATGCCTACCCTGCCCCGTGGCCGGAGCTTCCCCCAAACCTGCAGATTGACCCGACTCACTACCAAGACGGGCGAGAGCTGGCGGCTAACATCTGTCGAGGGCTGGATTCGGCGCTTGACTTGACTGTCCAGCCAGACTTGCTCCTGGGACCGATGACGGTTGCCCTGGACTTTTATCGGGAGGTTAATGCCGCTTCGCAGGATGGCGTGCTTGAAATTCTCTGGCTAGACGGCTTCAAGAAGAGGCTGTGGGCAAAGGCACAGGCTGTGACTAGTGTCCTGCAGTCGCACAAGTGGTCCGAAGTGGCCAAGTTCTAATCAAGAACGTGTGAGTATGTGTTGACAAAATAGGGGGCGAGTGACAAAGGATTGTCAGACTTTGGGAAGAGGAGGAAAGAAAACAACGATAATATTTTCCGTGATGAAGAACTTGTATAGCAGCGGCAATAGGAGCCCTTTGAAACCAATTTGTGATAGATCTGATAGACCATTATATTGCAGGCAGCTGGTCTGCTGCGGAGAAAGGACAAGGATATAGTGCGGGAGGAGGACAACAGAGACGCAAGGCATCTTCTTGAGGAAGTGGAATTTGGCAAAAATAAGAGAAGGAGCAGAAACCAACAATTTGTACAATAGCTTTCATACTACGAATATTATATATCCTGTCCATCTCTCCTTTTTTTTTCTTTTTCTTGGTGACGCCTGCGTCTTGGTAAGACCGGTGATGGCTCTGTAAGTCGTGGCTAAGAATAGCGCTGCAGGTGGTATACGGTGACACAGTGTGGAAGAAATGTGAGGTTGTTGGCGAGCAAGGCGAGTTTGCCTCGAAAGACAGTGCGGACATACCTAGATGGCTTAGGTAGGTAGTTACGGTGGGTGCTGGCTGGCGGACAGGGTATGCTATGTAAATTACATACACTGCATGAGTAGTAAAGACCTCATGCTTGACATGAGCATTCTCTGTGTCCCATATCATACTCAGAATTGCTCGATCTGACTATCGTGTTAGGATTAGTTGTCGTGTAAGTGAGTCCTCAGCAGAGCACGCACGTCATGTGATTGCGAGTATGTACGTACCTCGCCCGGCCCCCGCCATCACGTTTCTCCGTCCGGACTGCCCACACGCCACAGCCACAGGGAAGCTCCAGGCCAGGCGCAGCTCCAGCCTTTCTGGCAAGTGTCCCGCCATTGCTCTGGTTAGTGAGGTAGGCTGCCACTCTGACGAAGCTCCGCTGCAGCCAGACCAGCATATCGCAAACAAACCCCCCCAATTATCAACGTTGAAGCGGCAGAACAAAAACAACTTCAACACCAACAGCTTTCTCACCTCATAGCATTGGCGTGCCGCTTGGATTGAATTTGTACCCTAGAGAGTGTGTGGCTTTCATCCGCAATAGTCAAGAACCATGGCGTCTGGTTACGACAGAGCTCTGTCGGGTATGTTCATTCCGCATCAGTCTGGCTGACCTCGATATCTGATGTGCTGTTGTTACTGACATTGTTGTTGTGCTATAGTCTTCAGGTACGTGCTGCTGCGGCCGATTCATTCCATAACGACTCCCTCGATCTGACGTTATTTCTAGCCCCGACGGACACGTTTTCCAGGTTGAATATGCCGGCGAAGCTGTCAAGAGAGGTCCGTCTTCGACAAGCCCGAACCCCATCTGCTCTCCTCCCCTCCCCCAACATCGAACTGACCCTTTCTCTCTCTTCCCCCGAAAACAGGAACATGCGCAGTTGGCGTCAAGGGCAAGGACGTCGTGGTGCTGGGATGCGAGAAGCGGTCCGCCATGAAGCTCCAGGACACGAGGATCACGCCGTCCAAGATCCAGGTACTGGACCACCACGTCGCGCTGGCCTTTGCCGGCCTCAACGCAGACGCCCGAATCCTGGTCGACAAGGCGCGGTTAGAGGCCCAGTCGCACCGGCTGTCGGTGGAGGACCCCGTCACGATCGAGTACATTACCAAATACGTCGCCGGCGTGCAGCAGCGCTACACCCAGGCCGGAGGCGTGCGGCCGTTTGGCATCAGCACCCTGGTGGTTGGGTTTGACAACGGGAGCAAGGTGCCGAGGTTGTATCAGACTGAGCCTTCTGGCATCTACTCAGCTTGGTGAGGCCTCTTCCCCCCCTCCTCTCTTCTTGTATCATGGGTGGCTCGATTTTGGTCTTGTCATGGTGGCTAACTACGTTTAATCCCCCCCGACTACAGGAAGGCGAATGCTATTGGCCGCTCCAGCAAGACGGTTCGAGAATTCCTGGAGCGAAACTACAAGGAGGACATGGACCGGGAGACGACCATTCGGCTAGCAATCAAGTCGCTCCTCGAGGTGGTGCAGACCGGCGCGAAGAACATTGAGATTGCCCTCATGGCGCCTGGCGCGCATATGGAGCTGCTGCCGACGGACGAGATTGAGGGCTATGTCAAGGAGATTGAGCAGGAGAAGCAGGAGGAGGCTGCCAGGAAGAAGACGGGACGAACGCCGGGCACTGGAAGCGCTGCCATTCTGACGAGGAGCGGCGATGACTCTGCTGCTGAATAGAGAAGATGAGAGAGAGACCAAGAATGATGAATGGTATTTTACCTATGGAATGCAAATTAGAGCGCGAGTTTAATGTTGCTCTCGCTGTATCAACGTATACAAGAACAGCAGATGAGACAAAGTAAAGAAAAGAAAGAAACTCCCATCAATGTGATGCCCTGCAACGCCGTTACATGTACTCTCCAGACAAGGCCATGCGTATATGCACACGCTAATATATACACACTCCGTGTCTCCCAACTATATCACCAATTTCCATTGCCTAACCGAGCTTGTCAGCATCCGGCGTCGGATCGAAAATGGTCCTCCGGCCATCCTGCCGGACCCTCTCGTCCTTGAGCAGCTTGTTGTTCATGCGGACGTCCTCGCCCTCGATGGTGAGCGCGGCCTTGGGCGTCTTGGCCTCGATGACGAAGTGGTTGTCGCAGTGGGGGCAGTACTCGTCGCTCTCGTCAAACTCCTGGGCGTCCTTGCGGAAGGCCTTTTTGCACTTTTTGCAGGCAAACGTCATTTCGAAGCTTTGGAGGAGGGGGTGGGACTCTTGCTCTGCGTGGCATTCGGCGCAGTCGAACCATTTCCGGCCTTTGTTATTTGGTGTTAATGGAGTTTTTTTGTGTTAGGATTGGGGGAGTCGTGGAATGCGAGAGATGGTTCGTAAGGGGGAGGAGGAGTAGGAAGTTGGATCGTGGGAGGGGATGAGGTTGAGGGTTCGGGCTGTTTTGGGGTTTGGGGGTTTGTATCTGGAGATGACGTACAGCATGGTGACCGAATGGCGACTTGGGCGTTGAGAATGTGTTTGCTATTGACGTCTGGTCAGCTTGGGAGCGTCGTTGGGGTTGCGCGTCTGGGTGCGTACCACATCGTGAGAGAAGGACGTGGAAGTCGTAGAAGCTGTAGAGGCTGTAGGTACAGGCACACCGGCTGAGGCAGCGTCTCGTTTTGAAGTGAACGTGTGTATAGGTACTCAAGCAAGTTGAAGAAGGCAGCAAGATTTAGAATTCGTCTCTTTTCATGTACTCAGATGTTAGTAAAGATCGTGGTGCATCTTCTTCCGGTCTTGAAGTCGGTCTTCGATCAAGTGCTGTTGGCGGGGGCTGTTTAAGTGCATTCGATTGGCCTCCCCTGATTACCTTACCTCAAGCTGCTGATTTACCCGCCTCGAAAAGGCTTATCTTATCGGACCCGTCTGATCTCCTTGAGTCTTCTGTGGCGCGTCTACATAGCGGCGAGTTTGTCACCATTCCTTAGTCAGCATTGAATCCTCAGCCTTCGAGGTCATCTGTGATTCCCGGTGACAAGCCGTTAAACTTCACCATCTCTTCAACTTCTTCTCAGCCTTCCCAGTCGTTTGCCTTGCCTTGCTCTACAACCCTCGCTCTCTTCACAGCTACGACGTGCCGCTCTCTTGAACTCACCAGCGGCTGCTTTTCGCAGACAACGTCTCCGTAATTCTTCACATATTCACATTAATCATACTCTCACGATGCCTCCGAAGCGAAAAGCAGGCACCAGCGCCACGCAGGGAGGAGTCAAGGCTGGCCGGTCCTCGCGCATATCGACGCCAGGGGGCACGACTCCCCGCAGCATTGACAGTGGCGATGAAGTGGCGGAAGACGACGACGCGCCCGTCGACGAGGAGCTGGAGCAGGAAATCGACAAGAACATAGATCGCTTCTCGCTGGGGCGATATCAGAAGAAGCACCACATCCGGGAGCCGCTCCCGCACATCTTTGGCAACAACGACTTCTCGTACCTCGAGCTCAAGAAGGACCACAGGAACCGTCCACTCTGGATCGATCCTCAGAAGGGGAGAATCATCTTGGAGAGCTTCAATCCGCTGGCGGAGCAGGCGCAAGACTTCCTCATCACCATTGCCGAACCCCTGTCTCGGCCGACGTTTATGCATGAATATGCCCTCACCACGCACAGTCTCTATGCCGCGGTCTCTGTCGGTCTGTCGCCCAAGGACATCATCAACACTCTTGACCGCTTTCTCAAGACGCCGCTGCCGGAGGAGATTCAGTCCTTCATTGAGAGCTGCACCCAGAGCTACGGCAAGGTCAAGCTCGTCTTGAAGAACACCAAGTACTACGTCGAGAGCCCGGATCCCAACATGCTGCAGATGCTGCTCAAGAATCCCAAGATTGGCCCTCTCCGCGTTCAAGGAACGGAAGAAATTACTACGTCAGCCGCGCCCAAGCTCGGCAGCCTCGTCATCCCCGGTACGAAGAATGCTGCAGGAGCCAAGCAGGCGAATGGACTGCAGCCAGCCAACGGCGACCCGTCGAGCGATGGCCAGTCAGCCCTGCCGGCAAGTGAAATAGGGCCTCGCCTCGGCGAGGAGGATGACGACGATCAAGAGGTGACGCACGCCTTTGAGATTGCCGATAAAGACGTTGAGACGGTGCAGAAGGAATGTCTCAACCTCGGATTTCCGGTCCTCGAAGAGTACGACTTCCGCCGGGATGAAGTTAATGCGACGCTGGATATTGATCTTAAGCCTGGTACTCAGATCCGTCCATATCAGGAGAAGAGCCTGAGCAAGATGTTTGGAAACGGACGTGCCAAGAGCGGCCTGATCGTGCTGCCCTGCGGCGCTGGAAAGACGCTGGTCGGCATTACCGCAGCGTGCACGATCAAGAAGGGTGTCATTGTGCTGTGCACGAGTTCCATGTCCGTGGTGCAATGGCGAAACGAGTTCCTGAAGTGGTCCAACATCAACCCGGACGATATTGTCGCCTTCACGTCGGACTCAAAAAACAGCGTCTTCACGGGAAGCACCGGCATCATCGTCACCACCTACTCCATGGTCACCCAGTCCAGGGCCAGATCGTACGATGCCGAGAAGATGATGAAGTTCCTCACCGGGAGAGAATGGGGTCTGATGCTTCTGGACGAGGTGCACGTCGTGCCCGCCAACATTTTCCGAAAGGTCACCTCCTCCATCAAGACGCATTCCAAGCTGGGCTTGACAGCCACGCTGCTGAGAGAGGACGACAAGATCTCTGATCTGAACTTTCTCATTGGGCCAAAGCTCTTTGAGGCCAATTGGATGGAGCTGTCCAAGCAGGGCCACATCGCCCGCGTTCAGTGCGCCGAGGTTTGGTGCCCCATGCCCACCGAGTTCTACGACGAGTATCTTCGGGCGCCATCGCGCAAGAAGAATCTCCTCTACATCATGAACCCGCGCAAGTTTCAGGCTTGTCAATACTTGATTAACTATCACGAGTCCAGAGGCGACAAAATCATTGTCTTCTCAGACAACGTGTACGCTCTGAAAGCATATGCGTTGAAGCTGGGTAAGGCCTTCATCTACGGCGGAACCGGCCAGGCGGAACGCTTGCAAGTGTTGGAAAACTTTCAACACAACCCCCAGGTCAACACCCTGTTCCTGTCCAAGATCGGAGACACGTCGTTGGACTTGCCCGAGGCCACTTGCTTGATCCAAATCTCGTCACATTACGGTTCCCGACGTCAAGAGGCGCAAAGACTAGGCCGCATTCTTCGAGCCAAGCGCAGAAATGACGAGGGCTTCAACGCGTTTTTCTACTCGCTCGTCTCCAAAGACACTCAGGAAATGTATTTTTCGTCGAAGCGCCAGGCCTTCTTGGTCGATCAGGGCTACGCCTTCAAGGTCATCACCCAGCTGGCAAACATTGAGAAGACGCCAGGCCTGGCCTTTGCGACCGCTGCCGAGCGCCGCGAGCTGCTGCAGAAGGTGCTGGTCGAGAACGAGACGATGGACGATGAAGACATTACGGACGACTTATTCCACAGCGGAACAATGGGCCGCAAGAAGAAGAAGGGAGCTGCCCGCCGCACGGCAGGCACTTTGGGCGAGCTCAGCGGCGGCCAAGACATGGCTTACATTGAGCAAAACAAGAAGATGAATGTGAAGAAGGGGAAGAAGGAGAGCAGTGCGTTCTTCAAGAAGATTGGGCGAGAGAATGCCAGGCGCGCCGCCTTGGGTTAGGTGGCGACCGTTCTCTCTGGCTCTATCACTACGTTTCCCTTTCTCAGGGTTACGCTTTTCTTTCCATCTTATTCTTAGGTTCAGCGGTTCATATTGGATGGCTCGGCAGTATCAATGATTTATCTGGGACAAAGGCGTTACAGGACATATATATACTCATCGGAGGGCTTTGCAAAGGACGCAAAGCAACAATGGTCTTCTTCTTGGTGGAAGGCGTTATCCCTGGATTATACACAAATATGCGAAAGACTGGTACTTGCACTGCCGAGTTTATAAGGCTTTATTACAATATCAGATGATAATGGGCATTGCCCAATACAAACATGCAGATTTCTGGAACACAGCCCTGCTGGTGCTAGCAAGTGGTTTGGGGGCTGCAATGCATGCTATGCATTCATTCCGTGGGCGCCCTCGTGACCGCCAGTCGTACGTTGACCGGCAATGGAGGCCTTTGATAGATCGAGGGGTTTTTGAGCTGATGAAGAGGAGGTTGAGTATGATTGCGAGATGCCCGAAGCTTTTACACGGGTGGGCAGGTATGTATGTAGGAGCATTCGGAGCCAAGGAAAGTAGAGAAGGGGGGAAACACCATGCTATGTCATTAGAGGAGGCTCATGACGATGGATGGATGGGTGGACTACTGCGAGATCGGCGGCCGCTTGAGCAAACACTTTCGGTCACTGGGAGGTTTGGAATGGAGGTGGTGTTGGCTTTTTTTCTCTGTCAAGTCCGTATGATACATATGAAGATTGATATCGGTGACGAGATAGGGCGGATACTAGTAGGACAGACGAGTACTTGATGAGCTGGCTGGTTGCTTCATGTCGGGGATTCTGGTGAGACATGCATATGCAGTGCAAGGCTTTCCTGAAGATGACCATCGAATATTCATTCAGTGTCTGTTTTTATTTGTGTGCTTTTTGATTTGCGGTTGGTGGCCGGTATGCTGCCTCGTGGGGGGTGTTACACGAGCGGAGCGTATGGCAGGCAGAGATGGCATCAGGTGTCCAGTGCAATCTTGGTCCCAGAACATTGGGTCGAGGGAGGGACGATGTCGAATCGTACTGGATATATCAAGTCCTGATATTGAGGGAAATACATCGTGAGTTACCCTTGCATGTTTGTTGTGTAACGCTGAGTAGGTTTCACGAAGCTATGCTAGTAGTGATGAATCGTGCCTTTGCATGAGAATCGCGATGGCTATTTATCTTGCTGGCCATGGATGATTGTGACGGTAATACTAGTCGTGTGTTCACGTTACGGCCGTGACACGACACATTTCTCCTCAAGTGGGAGGGTTGCAGTCACTTGTTCAAAGTCCGTGCGAAACCACGGGCCTTATGATTAGGGGCGGATGTTGCATCCGGCCGGAGAGGGACGAGGAGTGAATGACAATGACCGGAATGGAAGCTTAGGGGGGGAAAAAACAAAGGGGGAAATGGAAAGAATAAAGTGCCGCAGTGGGAGAGAATGTTGCGCGGCTATGGAATCGCATGTTTGGGGGATCGGCTGTGCATGAGGGCCCGAGGATAACAAGAGGGCGGTGACATCATTGTTGGTGGTCTGGCTGATGCCCAATCATGCCAATGTTGGTGCTGGTGATGCGTCGATTTGGGCTATGCTTTGGGCTATGCTTTGATAGATTATTGGGTCGATTGCTCGGTTATAGAATTTCGAATCGTCTTTTTGTCTCGTGTGAGTCGATAGAAACAGCTGGTAGATGGCTGCTGAGTGAGCTTTCAACCAATACTATAAATGATATGATACGGAGCACCGAGTGGAATAGCTGTGGAATAGGTAGACCATCATCCCGGCAGTTGCGGCAAATCCGTCAAACGCAATGTAAGGTAAGGTACGTAGTATTAAACACCGCCCGGTAATAAAGAACTCAGACAACCAGAGTAACAAGGACATTTGTCTCCATCGGAAATCAAACCACGCTGTGAGAGAGTACTATATGGTACTTACCTACCTACCTAGGTAGAGAAGGGCCTCCCAACAGGCCTCCATGTGAGCGGCATCGTTCGGCGTTGGCTGACGCTTCTTGCCTTGGACCCCTAGGGGGGAACCCATTGAGAAACGAGCTGGAACAAGCGTGGCTGGTGCTGAATTGCCGTCAGAGAGTTAGTGCTGGGTTGGGACAGAAAGGGGCGTGTAATTGAGGCACTGTGTGAGGTGTTTTGCCAACTGAATCACATGTTTTGATCAGTTGCCCTGGGATTGTGTGATTGAAGTTGAGTTGAACCTACCAAGTATCGTGGATGAAAGAGCCTGGGAATCACAAGCGAAGCTGCTCCTGAGAATGATGGAACGAAAAAGACGAAGATGAATGAGCTCATGGAAGCATCGTGGACTCCGCAGAGATGGAACTGCTACCTATACAGAAGGTACAGCTGTTAGTCCGGTACTTTCCCCGCGGCAGAGTCCCGCCGCAGCAGTCCGGCCTCAACTTAGCAGGCGCTACTCCGTCCCCCAGCACGCGAGATACGCGCATGGACTCTCTCCTTCCATCCAGCCAACCACTGCAGTCAATGCACTGGCCAGTCCAGACTGACGTATGTGGGGGCTCTGAGTCGTTCTAGCCTTCTTGCCTTCCACCTTCCCACTCACAGAAAATACGCTGCAAGTCCCAGAAAATGCCCTGGGCCAAGCTTCCTGCTAAGCCTGTCTCGGCATAAAGCGGCCCCGTTTGGTCGGGCAGGGAAAGAACCAAACGGAGAGCGCGCAAAAAAAATCGGCAGCAGCCCAGGAAGCCACACGAAGAAGGCGCAGGTCGTCCGCTCTTGCTGTTGCCCCCTTCCCTGTTCTTACCTAGTAGAGGACTACCTACCTTGAGAGGCTGAGAGAAACTTCAACTTCTTTCTCTTCTCCCAATTCTCTGTCCTCATCTCCAAGCTCCCACTTCCATCAGCCCTTCGAATCCGAGAGAAACAAGCGTCTTGAACCGCAATAAGACACACGCCGAACGCTCGCACTTGGCGGCGCGTCAAGAACCGCCTGCGTCTGGCTGTGCTCCATCCACCCATCCTTGGCTCGCCGTGCTCCGTACCACCAATCGCCGCCAAAGGGGCTTGGCATCTTGCCGCAGCCGCGGGAATTCGTCCAGCGAGGCCCGGCATCACTCAGCAGTCACTTGCGGCGGCCGCTGTGACAGCACAATCGCGCCGCTTCTCTTGACACTACAAATATACGGCAACCGTGTTGCTGGTGCTCCGTCGACGCTGCTGGCACAGGATTGTCGGGTGCTACAGAGGGATACTACACGCAGTGCAACGCAGCGTAACGCGGCACAACAGGACAGGCACATACCTACCTGTTAGTCTTCGGTACAGAGTACAGGAAGTACACCCAGCGAGACACCCCGGCATCCAGGTCCGAGACCCTAGACGAGGGCGCCTTGCAATCGCGAGCCTGCGCATCACATCAGCCCACGGGCCCTCTGCGGGAAAGGGGATCCCAGCTCCCTGTTTTGCTGCCGACATTTGCAGCAAAAAACTTGTACACCTTTGCATCGGCTATCATTGCACTGGTTATTCTTCGTCTTCCAGCAGCTTCACCGTCTTTTGCTCGGCTTGCACCTTTGTCTCAGCCGTGTGGAATTGCGCCTTGGGACGATAATAGCAACCACCTCCCGAGAGATTGATTGGAGGCGTTGAGGCGTCTGCAAACCAGTCCACGAGTCGCAGTCACGCCTGGCCAATTCGCAAGAGGAGTCGCCCAATTACGATCTTCCTTCTCGCCAATCTCTCAGCAGCATCAGCGCCATCCTGGTCGTCTTCGCTTCCACAGACCACAGCTTCCTTGCAAGCACAAAGCCCGTCAGCACTGCTGCCAGCACGAGTGCATACAAAGCTGTTGGCCCTTCTGATAAGCTGTCGGTAGCAGACTTGCTCCCATCCCGCCACTTCGCATAGTTGTTCGTCGGGCACGCATTATCCTCTGTCCATCTTGCTCGTTCCAGCAGCGCCTACATTGGTGTCAAGCATCGCACTTGTATCGCAATTGCAATCACCTTCGATCGCTTGACCCTCTTCTTGCTCTCTATTTCAGCTCCTTTTTCCCGGGAACAACTGCAAGTGAGCTTTACTTTCCACTACGAGCTTTGCTACCCCTGACCAGACATGGTCGCCTCACGATAATCACACCTCGCCACTTGCATTGCCCTCGATCATGACTTTTTGCGTTATATTGATTGTGATGTCCTTTGATTGGACTCACGCCTAATACGACACGAACCGAACCTCATTTGCCATCTTCAGCTGGTGCAAGAAAACTCCATCTTGCCCCCGATACCCATTACACTCGTGCACATACGTCGTTTTGCCAGCCTCATCATCGAATCCTGACTTGCATTGCGTTTCATCTGGCGCAGTCGGAGTTGAACCCTCCTTTACTTCCTGAGAGCAGCCATCTGCACCTACCTCTTACACATTTGGAGTCTATCATCCATCTCCTCGGACACAATGTTGGACGACACTCGCGCCTTTATAGCGGCGCAGCTCAAGGCTGCCAAACCCGCTTTCGTGTCAAAGACACCTCATTTTAACTTCATCACTGTTCACTGTGAGTGACACCCTTGTTCCCATATGCTTTTCATCACAACTAGAGCACGTCCGGACTGACTGTTGCGCCTTTAGATTTTTGGATTATCTTTGCAACACTGCTCTCTTCCGTTCTCATCTATGCCGGTGGTAAGGGACAGCTTCACTTTATAGATGCTCTCATGTTTGGTAGTGGTGCCAATACCCAAGCTGGACTCAACCCTGTGGACGTCAACAACCTCAATGGGTTCCAACAGTCTTGGATCTACACCTTTTCGTTACTGTCCAACCCCATCACACTGCATACATGCGTCGTGTTTCTCAGGCTGTACTGGTTCGAGAAGAGGTTTCAGCACTGGGTCCAGGAAGCTCGACTGCGTCGCCGAACTCTCAGCAAGTCCAAATCAAAGGCACGAAATGATTTGAGCCAACTCGAAAATGGTCAAGGTGTGAACGGGAGGCACATCACTATAGTGCCGCGGGGCGGCGAGAGAACGAACCGAATCACCAATGACGGCATTCTCTTAGACAAGATTCCAGAGGCCGATCCCAAGCCCGTTGGCAGAAGCGATGAAAGTGATACGACGACAGTGTCCGACGACCTGCACAAGAGCGATGATCTAGATGACATCAGTCCTCTAGATCAGCCCCATCCACAAGGCAATTCGCAGAACACCGATCAGAATAGCTCTGCAGCCGGCGGTCGACCAGAAAATCATCCACTTACAACAGCAATCACGTTTGCCGACACCGTTAAGAGAAGTGACGGCGTTGGCAGCGACCCTACCAAGTTTCCTCAGCGGCGCTCCAATGCCGAACACATTGCCATTCTGGAGAGGCAGCGAAACCAAGACAACGAAGTGCTCCGGATTCCCGGGCCGCGGGAAACCGAAAGAGGCTTGGGCCCTCGACGCCTCGAAGAGGACGACCAGCAGGAGGATGAGGATAGGCCAATTGGTCGCCAGACAACTGCCGATTCTCGTAATAGCGAGTCCAACAATATCCATGGGCGACAGCCCACCATCACCATTGCTGAGCCCGAGCATCACAGGCGAGACGAAATCAAGGAAGATGCTAGAGCCATCGGTGGCACCCTGGATGCTCTGAGGTTCCGGAAGCCGCGCATGTTCAACCGGTCACAAGACAAGCTCCACGAAGACAACGAATCCAGACACAGATCGAGGACTCCGAATCCGCGCCCGGTGCGAACTAAAACCATGGACACGATTCGCTCCGCCTTGACTCGAGAAAAAGTTGACGACATGCCGTATCTCAGCTATACGCCCACCATGGGACGCAATTCAAACTTCCTCGGCCTCACCCTCGAACAGCGGGAGGAGCTTGGCGGTATCGAGTATCGGGCGCTTAGAACTCTAGCCATTGTGCTGATGGTCTATTTCTTCGCCTTCCACGTCTTGGCCGTAGTCTGTCTGCTTCCCTACATTCTTGCCAACCAGCATTTCGGAAACATCCTCAAGGAGGATTCCATAGGCAGGGTCTGGTGGGCGTTTTGGACCTCTAACATGGCCTTTATGGACGTGGGATTTACTCTGACCCCAGACAGCATGAATTCTTTTGCTACCTCTGAATGGGTTCTGATGGCCATGTGGTTTTTCATCATCATTGGTAACACGGGATTCCCCGTCATGCTGCGCTTCATGATATGGGTCGCTTCCAAGTTCACCTCGAGAGGCACTGGCCTTTGGGAAGAGTTTCGATTCCTGCTTGACCATCCGCGTCGATGCTTTACGTTGCTTTTCCCGTCCAACGCAAACTGGTGGCTGTTTTGGATTCTCGTCTTGCTCAACGTCATAGATCTTGTCTTCTTCATCGTCCTCGATGTAAGTCCTCGCTCTCCCCGGCCTTTACCATTAACTATTCTTACTGACCTCTTATAGCTTGGCGCAGAACCCATCACCCAATTCCCTCTCAGGAACCGCGTTGTCATTGGCCTCTTCCAAGCTGCATCGACCCGAACAGCCGGCTTTTCCGCCGTCAGCATGTCTGACCTGCACCCTGCGATGCCGGTTTTGTATATGATAATGATGTATATATCCGTCTTTCCCATCGCCATTTCGATTCGACGAACCAACGTCTATGAAGAGAGATCTCTGGGCGTGTATCATGATCGAAGCAACGACGATGACTCCGAAGCAAGCGCTCTTGATTATGTCGGCACTCACTTGCGACGCCAGCTATCTTTCGACTTGTGGTACGTGTTCTTAGGCTTTTTCCTTCTCGCCATCACCGAGGGCGGCAAAATTGTTGGGGGCCGCTTCGACTTGTTCGCCGTACTCTTCGAGATTGTCAGTGCGTATGGTACTGTCGGCCTCAGCATGGGCGTACCCGGCGTCAATGCGTCTCTCTGCTCCCAATTCTCGGTTCCCGGGAAGCTTATTATCGTGGCTATGCAAATCCGTGGTCGACATCGTGGATTACCATATGGCCTTGACCGCGCTGTTATCCTGCCCAGCGAAGCTCGCTTGAAGAGGGAACAAGAAGAGTCCGAGGCCGCCCTTGCCCGAACGAACACTGTCGTGTCCACCGGCGCCACCACAGGTCTGCAGCGCCAGGCGACTACTGGACGCAGCCGGAGCAGGAGTCGCGAGCGGGCCAACAGCAGCCTTATAACACAATTACTGCACCCTGGCCCTGTCGTTCCCCAGGAAGTCATTCGTCCTAGGGGAAGATCAGTCGAGGGACACCAAAGAAGTCGCTCAGTGGACGTTACCGGCGCGCTGCCAGAACCCTCGAGCGCCCACTTGCAACCTCGGATAGAGGAAGACGACGAGCTGCGACATATGTCGAGCTACGAGTTCCCACACAAAGCGCGGCGGATTGAATCTTCTGCTTTTTAGAGAAATCCGTGGATATGAGATAGACCTGCTTTTAATTTCGTTCTAACGAGCGTCCAAGGACGGCTCTATGACTACCGTACATGTGTTTTGTTGTTGATTTCTATCTTGCCCCTTTCCTATTGTTTCCTTGTCTTGTCTCACGAAAATATGATTTGGCTTCGGGGTGGCGAAAACAGGAGCCTCGTGAAGCGATATTTGGTAGTGCGCCTGCTCATGGTTGGAGCACGACTTCACGTTTATCATAGCGGGCAGTTGGTCGGATAATGTAGCTATTGGTGCTTGTGAATAAAACACGAACACGAGATTTAACGAATTCAAGCTTCTTCTTCCGCTGTGACGCCTAAAAACACCGAAATGCCGTCTATCCGCAGTTGCCCTATATTGTATGAAGCAATGCATAGTCCGCCACATGTTGCCCATCTACTTCTAGCTCCGAAACCAAGGGAATGAAAAAAGGGACAAGGAAATCAAAGTAAAGAAATGTATCCAAAATTGTCAGTGTAGCTGCAGATTTAAGTCTGTCAATGCAAGGTAAGTCAGACGGGACCACGAGGAAGCTGGCCCTGCTCATTTGTCCTCAAAGGCGCCCATATTCTTCAACGCGCCGGCAAGCCGACGATAGTCTTTGAGGAGATCGAGGACCTCGCTGAGGCGCAAGTCGCCCGGGTTCTGGAGCTCCATGAAGCGCTTGTTTGGAGGAGGGATCTTGGGGGGTTCTTTTGGTGGGAGGACGGCTGCGATGTCTGGAAAGGCCTTTTTTTATATATATGGGTTAGCAGAATGATTCGTTGAATTCGATCGCCTGGTTGAATTTGGGAGAAAAGAAACAGGGGCTGATTAGGATAGATGAGAAGGGCTTACCGTTGCCAAGTCGCCTCCATCAGTTGGCTTCACGGCATCTTTGGAGTCTTTGGCGTCTTTGGTATCCTTTGCGTCCTTGGCAGGAGGGTTCACTGGCCCGGATGCGCTTCTGCCAAACCCTCGGACCAAGCTGATGCCGGAAAGGCGTGCCATGGGATTGAACGTGTTGCTCAAGTTGCGCATCTGATCCAGCATGGCCGGGCTGGCAGGCGCCGGCACAGGAGCAGCAGCGGCCGCGGCCTTTGGGTCCTCTGCGAAGAGCACCTTTTTGGAGGAGCTCGCGCTTCGGCCGCTGCGAGTGCTGTCTGTGCTGCGGTCGCGGCGGCCGCCGATGATGCTCAACACGCGCTCATCCCGGCGGCCATTCTGGGGCTTGGCCTGGTCTGGGTCTGGCGTGGCTATGGACGATATCGTGCTGTCTTCGTCTTCCGGGGGTGGCGTGCTCACGAGCTTGCGAGCCTCATCAAGGGTCTTGGGGACGGCGATGGGCTCCTTGGGGTCTTCTTGGCGCTCTTTAAGCTTGCCGAGGAGGAAGCTGTAGCTCTCGCCTAGGCTGTTGGAGATGGTCTTGAGGCCTTGATCGGCCGTCGTGAAGACTGCGTCGCTAGCGGCGCCAAATGCCTGTGCTGGGGTATTGACCAAGTCACTCAATCTTCTGTTCTTGGGGGTCGCCGCCGGCTTGAGGCTTGAAGACGACGTCTCGGGCTTTGATGCTGTGGCATTTTCGGTGTTCACAGCAGCAGTACTCTGCGGTGAGGTCGTGAGCCCCTGAGAGTACGCCGGCGGAAAAGTTTCTACTTTGGGAGTCGCAGGTTGTCCGGGTGTCTTGACGGGGCCTGACGGACTTTCATCCTCTCTCAGTGTGGCAAGATCAACGGTCTGCAGGAAACTGATGGCAGCCTCGAGGTTCGTCAAGCAGTAGGCCTCTTCGCCCGTCAGCTTCTGCTCCCAGCGGAAGTTTTGTATAAAGTGGAGGTCGCTGATGACGTGAAGATGTTCTGGCGGGAGCGTGATGAGTGTGTAGATGAGCATCGGCATGATTTCGTCGGCCGAAGCCGACGGATGGAACTGCGCCAGCGTATCGACGATGCTCTTATGTGCAGCCTTGAGGCGATTCAGCTTGCCGAGCGGGTACCTTGACTCTGCCATCCTAATCAACTCCTTTCTTGCTGGTTCCAGCTGAGCACGGATGGTCTCTGTCTTCTCGGCCGTCGACTTTCCCTTTTCCGCTTCCGCCTCGCCCAAGTCTATTCCCAGATCTGAAGGCCCGATGCCCACGAGGGATAAGGCGGCCGTTTTTGATCTCAGCTTCGCATCCTGGGCTTCGTCCTGTGTGCTCCTGTGGCGATAGATTCGCTCGTAGATACCCTCGCATAGCCTCCTTTCCACGGCCTCTTCGAGCAAGCTTCGCTTCACCTCCAGAGCTCGGCGTGCTTTCTTGCGAGTTGCTAGTTCTTCAGGCGTAATCATCTGCTGTTCATTTTCCGTCTTTGATTTATCCTTTGAGCCTAACGAGGCAGCTTTCGACCGAATGCGGCTGGCGACGGAGGATGATGGTGGCGGAGGCTGGAAAGTCTCGCGGCTCTGACGTGAAGCAAGGGCACTAACGTGTGTCGCGATGTGTGAAGAGGCCTGGGCATAGAATTCTTGGAACAGCTGCGATAGCTTGGCAATATTCGGCGGCGTGGAATGGACCTTGGCGGAGAGTGACTCGACGAAGCTGCAACAGTCGGTCAGACAGGGACGTGGGGTTGGGTAGAGTGAAGCATCCATCTCCTCACCTGTCGGTCAAGGTAATCAGCTCGATCGGGAGGTCGTCGAGCTCAATCGAGGCTCGCGTGATCTCGGGGAACTCTTCATTGTCGGAGTTGTCGGCGGTGTCAAACGTGTCGGGAGCCTCGGCGTCGGCTCCGGCAGTTCCAAGCTTCTCGGAGGGTGTTGCGGCGTGGAATGTGTGAGCCCTCTTGGGAGGTTCGATGCTGGCTGTAGTGGACGTGTTGGGCTGGTGGGAGTAGGAGGCCCCTCTCTCCGAAGTAGGTCGAGCTGGTGAGGGAGCGTCGGTGGGCTGCTGAGAAGCCATGAGCTGCAAGGCGATGGCAAAGAGCTATCGGCGTAATGGTAAGCTTCCGCCGCTTGAGGGCTAAGATGGCCATGGATAGTATGGATAGTACTCTAGGAAGACAAGTGCAGTGACGAAGACCCGTCAGGTACTCTCCTGAAAATGAGAGGGGGAGAAAGCTTGGGCTGAAGCACTCGGTTGCGCTGCCAGGGGCGCAAGAGGGGGGGTTTCAACTGTGACCATACTTGGAGGGCACGTACTTTGATAGCTTAAATACGCGAGGTTGCAACCATCGGGCTTCTAGACCGAGATGCGGACGCGCTTGTAGTGAATGAATACGGCGAGAAGAGTAGAACAAGTCAAAGTAGAAGAAACGGTCAAGTCTATAGCTCCTGGGCGGCGGACAGGTGAGATGAGGCAAGGTAGATGAAGATGGATGCTGAATCGCAAAGGCAATGTGTTGGTTGGATAATGGCTTCCAGTTGGGAGATGCGGCGGTGAAGTCTGGAGCGATTCGATGATGGTTGAGGCGTGAAAGATGCAGATAAGAGAGCGGAGGGGGAGACGCAGTGCAAGACGGACGCGGCCGCACTCGGATTAGCTGGTGAGATGACGACAGGACGGCTGTGGTAGTTGGTAGAGAAGGACGGGACGGGATGCTGTTGGAGTTGAAGCTCAGAGCTGGGAGCCTCCACTGGGTTATCGCGGTATCGGCTTATCGATACGCAGGCATCCTTTAGCAGGGGCCTTTGTACTGTACTCCCTACCTTAATGTACCTAATGGGGCATCTTTTAACCGCCGAGGAGGCAGCAAGAAAGAAAGACTCGAAGTATTCGCGTCATCCTCTGAAATAATAAAGAATGAGAGTGCTCAACTACTTAGAAATCAAGGAGAACAGCATTGAACAAAGGGAGTCGGTCAAGGTCATGTTATCAATGTCACCTTCGATTATACCGTTTCACCCTGTATCTGATCGGCTTCGGCCAGACGGTGACATTGATCGGCAACGGTGAGCCACTGCCAGCTCACTCGAAGCGCCACAGCAAGCAAAGCAGACAACTCAATCTCACAGCTCATCTAGATTGAGGCCCTCAATCTCATGAAGCCGGATACCTCCCGATTCTATTGGATCTCATGCACACGTAAGTGCATGGCAGCAACATCCAATATCAAAGGTACTCGGTCGGCAAACACAACCAGTCCCATTGGCTCCCATCATCACGCTCCAGCCGCTAACAGCTCGACTTTGCCGAGAAAATGCGGAGGAGTCCCCAGATTCTCCCCCATAGTCCAGCGGTGTTAGCGCTCCTCTTAGCGCTCAATATTATAAGCCAGCACTGCTGGCCAGGCACACGCTGGAGCCCTGGAGGTCTATTAGCCGTCCCGTCCCGCGAGTCGCATCGCCAGACACTGAGAGCCGCGCTCCGGAGCCGGTGCCTTTGAACCGAGGGCAAGCTGGCGATGGTCTGGCTGCTTTAAGACGCTGCGCCGGCTTCTCTCCCTTCTTCTCCCCTTTCCTCCTTTCTTGCTTCCTTTCTTCTTCTCTTTTATCTCAGAGATATCGTATGCCGTGCTGGTGTCTCAGCAGCCCATCGTATGTCTAGACACGCACTGCTTCGATTCTCTTCATTATAACACATCTCTTCTCTCCCCCCTCTCTCTCTTTCTCTCCTCCTCCTCCTCCTCCTCCTCTATCCCTTCCTTCAGCCTCATCTCAGGGTCTTTCATTCTCTTACCCGAGGTCAAGGCCTCTCTTACTTGCTCATCAAAAATGTCTGGTCCTCCGTCTCGCATCCGCTCCATCCTCGGCCATCTCATCCCCCATCAAGCCACGCCTCCTCACATCCACCACCTCTCGCCCACCTTCTTCCTCGAGCGCGCCGCGTCCATTGAGCCCAATGCCGAGGCAATCTACCACATCACGTCCAACGGCGCCATCCTGCGCCGCTCCTATCAGGAATTCGCCGACCGCGCCAGAGGCTTGGCCAATTACCTCAAGAAGCACGACCTGAAGCGCGTGGGCATTCTCGCGCCCAACACGCCGGCCTTTCTCGAGGCCATCTACGGCATTCCGGCGGCGGGCGCCGTGATTGTGCCGGCAAACTACAGGCTGAAGCCCGACGACATTGCCTACATCTTTGAGTTTGCCGAGGTCGACAGCATCATTGTCGATGCCGAGTTTGTCCATTTGTTGGATGCGTTCAAGGCAAAGCACCCAAAGGTGCCTCTGATCATTGATTCGGTACGGCTCACCTCCATCTCGCTTCGTGTAACGGCTGAATACTGACACAACTCAGGACACCGACGCCACGGAAGGCCAATTGTGCGGCCCCTTTGACGAGGCCGTGCTGGAAGGACTCAACTACGACCGCTCCAGTGGCAATGCAGGCTGGGCCGGTCTCCATTCGCATGCCACCAACGAGGATGACATGATCGCCATCCCCTTTACCTCGGGCACCACGTCTCGGCCCAAGGGAGTTGTCTTTACCAACCGAGGGGCGTATCTTGCTTGCATGGGCAACATTATCGAGTCCGGGCTGAACCAGGGTCGCTGCAAGTACCTCTGGACCCTTCCAATGTATGTCAACCGAGCTTCTCCTATGATCCTTATCCTTGACAGGCTAACCATGGTGCTTCTGCTAAAGGTTTCATGCCATGGGCTGGACATTTCCATGGGCTGTTGTCGCAGTGCGCGGCTTGAATGTTTGTCTGCGAAAGATTGACTACCCGCTTATCTGGAAGCTGTTGAAGGAGTTGCGCATCACTCACTTCAATGCGGCCCCGACAGTCAACACGCTTCTGGTGGCGTCAAAAGAGGCAGAGAAGCTTCCTCACGAGTGCCGAGTAACTGTCGCTGCCAGCCCGCCGAGTGCCCATCTCTTTGAGCAAATGGCAAGTAATCTGAAAAGAGCTACAACGTGTGTTGCATTGCCCGGCTGACCAAGTTTGTAGACCAACTTGAATCTCATGCCTGTACATGTCTATGGCATGACAGGTAAGCCTCGTGAACCCCTGACCTTGACCCAGTACTCATAGGATGACAGAGACGTACGGTCCCCTCACGAAATGTTACGTGCTGCCGGAGTGGGACGATCTTCCTCCACACGAAAAGTTCGCCAAGATGGCTCGCCAGGGCCACGGCTTCATCACCAGCCTTCCTATCCGAATTGTCAAGCCGGACCAGCCCGGCGGAGTCCTGGTCGACGTGGAGAAGAACGGCAAGGAGATTGGCGAGATTGTGTTCTTTGGCAACATCTGCGCCAAGGAGTACTACAAGGATCCCGAGGCGACGCGGAAGCTGTTTGAGGGAGGCGGGCTGCATTCGGGAGACCTGGCGGTCTGGCACCCCGACGGCAGCGCCCAGATTCTGGATCGGGCCAAGGACATTATCATCTCTGGGGGCGAGAACATTTCGTCGGTAGCCCTGGAGAGCATGCTGGTCGAGCACCCGGACATTCTCGAGGCGGGCGTGGTGTCCGTTCCCGACTCTCACTGGGGCGAGCGGCCCAAGGCATACATTACTGTCAAGGAGGGCAAGAGCCTGGTTGGCGAGGACGTGATTGACTGGGCCAAGCACCAGAGCAGCATCAGCAAGTTTATGGTGCCGCGGGAGGTTGAGATTGTGGATGAGCTGCCCAAGACGAGCACCGGCAAGATTAAGAAGAATGTGTTGCGGGAATGGGCCAAGACGGGGCGCAGGGAGTGAGAGTGTGGTGGGGATATGTAGATTACCTAGCAGGAGATGGTTGTACATGTAGGTAATGTTGGATAAGACACCGTGTGTGTATCTTGTATTATTGGTATATACTAGAGGCCTGGATATGCAGTTTCTAGCTTTGTGCAACTGATGGATATGGATCTTTGCAACAATGCTACCAAGCGAGTTTGTAAATGCATAAAAACCATCATGATACTAGAGAGAACAAAATCTCAACAACTGCCAATGATTCACTTGATATCCATTAATCAGATGTACTTTGTGTATTTGTAGGTAAGATTGGGTGCAAGTTGGGTGGCCATCAAATGGTTGTGTACCAGTCAAGGGTAGCTAGGTACCTTATGTTGAAGTTGAAGGGTGGCTGAATCATGATGCTGCGTGTGCTTTATAGTACAGACATTGAAGCGAATCGACATGAAAAAAACAAGGTCGAGTCGTATAACGGTTAGTACAGTCGCTTCACATGTTTGCAAGAATATGCGGAGCGCGCGACAGACCCGGGTTCGACTCCCGGCTCGACTACTCTTTTTGCCCTTGATTTTTTTTCTCTCTTGTCTGGGTGCTCGTTGTCATAGTAGTTAGTAGCTGTAATATCGTCTCTGCATCTACCTACCGTCTAACACATCTTCTTCGCTGTACATTTGTATTGCTATCATCTGTGTCAGAGAATGAATTACCTAAGTCTACTGATTGAATCATGGCCTCATCATGCTGCATCTCGCATCTGTTCCTCTTCCTTTCATGCATCCATCATTGTCCCTCCCCTTGTCTCCAGTGGGGAATGCTCTATACCTACTGTCATTAGTAGCCTCACCACCTCAGCGATTCTAGAAACGCAGCGCAAAGCAGCGAACGCTCCAGCAGCCTCTGGAGCGCCTGAGCCTCTGCAGCAGCCCCTCCCAGCGCCGCTGGACCGGCCAATAGCCGTGGGCGGCTCCCCCGGCCATCGTATCATCCGAGCATCATTCCGCCGCATCCCGTCATCCATCCTGGACGCTACCTGACACTATTATTTTCCCTGCTCTTCCCGCAACCTTTCTCTCCATATTGTTTATTACTCGTATTCTTTTTTTGGTTTCTTTTTTTTTTTGTTTCTTGTGAAGAAACGGCCAAATTCCAACCTTCCACCTTTCAAAACTACACACAACCGACGAAACCAACCTCTCAATTCCACACTCTCCCTCCCTCTCTCTCTCTCCATCAACACAATCTCTCTGTTTCTTCTTCTTCTTCTTGTCAGAACTTCCCATCATGAGCTTGAGCGGGTCGCGGCCGCTGCGGGGCGGGTGCCAATGCGGCCGGAATCGTTACATCATTGCCATTCCGGAGAACGGCATTCAGGAGGCGCAGGTCTTGTTCAACACGGAGCCACAGCATCGTAAGTAGCTGGTGTTTTTTTTTGTGTTTGTTTGTTCTACGTTGAATTGCTTGGGTTTTCACTGCTTTTTCGGTGTTGTTTGGTGAGGAAATGGAGGGGGGATTGGAATTGGATATACTGGCATGGTTGACGATCCCCGGAATTGATTGATTCCCATCACCCCACCATCTCGCACCACCACCACCATCACCACGAAGCTTTGTCTGGAGCTCACCTTTGGCTGTTTTGTTTTGTTTGTGTTGTTTCTGTATCATGGATTCGGGCCTCAAGCTGACGATTGGGTGCGCAAACGACAAGCAGAAATCCCCCTGGCGACGCCGCTGGCCGCGTACATCCGGGTGCCGCTGTCGTGGTACCACAGCACCACGTACGCCTTCTTCCCCGACGAGACGCACGCCATGATCCGCCGCGTCTACACGCACCCGAGCCAGGACTACTCCAAGCGCCACTTCTGCGGCTTCTGCGGCACGCCCCTGTCCTACTGGTCCGAGGAGCCGCGCAGCGAGGCCGACTTCATCAACCTGACGCTGGGCAGCCTGCTGCGCGAGGACATTCGCGACCTCGAGGACCTGGGCCTGATTCCCGACGACGATGATACCGACGCCGCCGTGACCGAACAGCAGCAGCAGCAGCAGCAGGTGCCGACGACGACGGAGGCGAAGCGGAGCGCCGCGCTGCGCCAGTCGTTTGGCGTGCCCTGGTTCGAGACGCTGATTGAGGGCTCGCGCCTGGGCAGCATGCGCCGGAGCTACGGGGCGCAGCGGTCGCGCGACGGGCAGGCGAGCATCGAGTGGGAGATTGTCGAGTTCTCGGACGGCGGCGGGGAGATGGACTTGGGCGAGGCGGACGACGCGGCGCTGCAGCAGCTGGGCAAGAGGAAGCATCACGAGGTTTGACCGGGGAGGGGGCCAAATAGCTTTGGGTATTACACACACACGTGTGTGTGTGTGTGTGAGAGGTGCAAGTGAGGTGGCGAGTGAGTTGACTGAGTAACTGAGTGGCTGAGTGAGCGAGTGATGTGTAACAACAACAGCTGTCGGAAAACAAAAGGGGAACCGATACGCCGTTCGTGGTTCAGGGGTAATGTGTGTGTCTGGCATGGTTGGCGTGGTCCGGTCTGTATATGAGCTGTCGCTTCTGTATCGTTTGTCTTCTTGTTGCAATTCTTTTTTTTCTTGTCCTCGGTCAGGCGTTGTTGTGCAGACAGTGGTTGGGGAGGGAGGCGGTTGTCTGTCCACCTTGCACCTTTTTCATCATTTTGCCTTTAGGCGTAACTCGATAGCAGAGGCTATATAGAGAGATCCAGATGGGAATCGACGCAAAACCTTTTGGAGTCACCACTCGGGACGCTTGTGCCTTTCGTCTTTATTATGCATAAATGCCACCTCCAGCCGGCGTGCAGCGTATACTTGTACACTTCAGACTTGTAGTAGTAGGTAGTACTGTATGTGACTAGGTACTATTCATCCGCAAAGTGTTGTCAAGGAACATGCGGCTTATAAGAGTAGCACTCGGCTGGAATATGGCGTTTGATCCTCGCAATCCAATTCCCCTTTGCATGATTACATGGCAACTGTCCCACGTGCTGTCTCGGCTGAATCTATCCGTCGGCTTACCAGAAAGAAACGAAGCCGGACAGAATAGCCAGATTTCCATACCTTCAACTCCTTTGTTTCTGTCTCCTATTCCCGCCATTCCCCGATGCCTCGAACTACTGGCAGCAAAAATCTCCCCGTCTTCTCACCTTTCGACCACTCCTCCTCCTCCGATCCTCTCTTTCCCCTCTCAACGTCCCTCAGCGTACCATCAAAGTGATAATCAGCAGCAGCAGCGGCAGCAGCTCTTTCGGAGTATCACCGTGTCACACCCTCTCCCCCCATCGCCGGGCTAAGCTGCTTGGAGCCGTCCGGATCGCCCGCCTCCGCTTCTCCAGCTTCCCCATTTACGTTGAGGTGCGGCTAGCCTTGCCTTGTGACTCGCCTTTTCTGCTTGTATCGGCCAGGGGGGGGTTTGGTTAGGTGGTTGGCTGGTTGGCTGGTTGGTTAGGATACTGTAGAAAAGGGCTACGGTAAGAGGAGGTGACTGGATTTTTTTTTTTTTTCGGTATCCCCGCCGTGCAATCCTTCCGACACCATCTCTCTCACCTCTCTCCTCTTACTATCACCATTTGGAGATTTCCTGTTGACGGGGTATGAGTTGGCTAGACAAGGACACATAAGCCGGGGATAACGGGGCTTTTGTTCCAGGGTCCTCTGTACATAGACCCTTCCCGTCCACCTGGTTTATTTCACTCTAGTGATATTACCTGCCTGAGTACTTGCATCTTAGTCTCTTCAAAGGTTGCAAACAGCCACCCTCCCCATGCAACTTGTCCCTTGGGTAAAATGGTCATGGCCAGCTGGCTAAATGCGCAGGTACATACTAATAATCTGCACACAGTTGAGCCATCCGGGAAAATGCAGGGTCTATCGCAATCAGCAGCCCATCATTGTATGTATTTCTCCATGTTAATTTTCCGAAAGTTGGGGGTGGTGGTGAGGGGGCGTTGTCTATAATGTGTGTACCTTATATATATATATCCGGGGACCAACGAACACGCTATTCTCTTGTCTGTGTCTGTCCTCTGATTTAGGAAGAGGATTCTGCATGCCTGAGTTGGAGTTGATTATCTGAGTGAGGAGTTGCGTGTTTGTCTTTTTCAAAGAGCTTGGTCATTGACACGCTTTGTTTTTATCTCGAACTTGCTTACGGTCCGAAGCACGAACAACAACAAGACGGAGAACAAAGAGAAGAGGAAGAAGAAGAAGAAGAAGGAAGAAGAAGGAAAAGAAGAAAGAAAGAAGGAAAAAAACAGAGAGACGGCAAGCATGTTGCCCAAGGACTTTCAGTGGGGGTTCGCCACGGCTGCGTACGTTGTTGCATCATGCTCCCTTCAAACGCCCCCCCCCTGATAGTCCATCTCACTTACACCCGTCCGACAGCTACCAGATCGAGGGCGCCGTCGACCAGGACGGCCGCGGCCCCAGCATCTGGGACACGTTCTGCGCGCAGCCCGGCAAGATCGCCGACGGCTCGTCGGGCGTGACGGCGTGCGACTCGTACAACCGCACGGCCGAGGACATTGCGCTGCTCAAGTCGCTCGGGGCCAAGAGCTACCGCTTCTCCATCTCGTGGTCGCGCATCATCCCCGAGGGCGGCCGCGGCGATGCCGTCAACCAGGCGGGCATCGACCACTACGTCAAGTTCGTCGACGACCTGCTCGACGCCGGCATCACGCCCTTCATCACCCTCTTCCACTGGGACCTGCCCGAGGGCCTGCATCAGCGGTACGGGGGGCTGCTGAACCGCACCGAGTTCCCGCTCGACTTTGAAAACTACGCCCGCGTCATGTTCAGGGCGCTGCCCAAGGTGCGCAACTGGATCACCTTCAACGAGCCGCTGTGCTCGGCCATCCCGGGCTACGGCTCCGGCACCTTCGCCCCCGGCCGGCAGAGCACCTCGGAGCCGTGGACCGTCGGCCACAACATCCTCGTCGCCCACGGCCGCGCCGTCAAGGCGTACCGCGACGACTTCAAGCCCGCCAGCGGCGACGGCCAGATCGGCATCGTCCTCAACGGCGACTTCACCTACCCCTGGGACGCCGCCGACCCGGCCGACAAGGAGGCGGCCGAGCGGCGCCTCGAGTTCTTCACGGCCTGGTTCGCGGATCCCATCTACTTGGGCGACTACCCGGCGTCGATGCGCAAGCAGCTGGGCGACCGGCTGCCGACCTTTACGCCCGAGGAGCGCGCCCTCGTCCACGGCTCCAACGACTTTTACGGCATGAACCACTACACGTCCAACTACATCCGCCACCGCAGCTCGCCCGCCTCCGCCGACGACACCGTCGGCAACGTCGACGTGCTCTTCACCAACAAGCAGGGCAACTGCATCGGCCCCGAGACGCAGTCCCCCTGGCTGCGCCCCTGTGCCGCCGGCTTCCGCGACTTCCTGGTGTGGATCAGCAAGAGGTACGGCTACCCGCCCATCTACGTGACGGAGAACGGCACGAGCATCAAGGGCGAGAGCGACTTGCCCAAGGAGAAGATTCTCGAAGATGACTTCAGGGTCAAGTACTATAACGAGTACATCCGTGCCATGGTTACCGCCGTGGAGCTGGACGGGGTCAACGTCAAGGGGTACTTTGCCTGGTCGCTCATGGACAACTTTGAGTGGGCGGACGGCTACGTGACGAGGTTTGGGGTTACGTATGTGGATTATGAGAATGGGCAGAAGCGGTTCCCCAAGAAGAGCGCAAAGAGCTTGAAGCCGCTGTTTGACGAGCTGATTGCGGCGGCGTGATGGAAAAAGTTTTTGAGTTGATGATACCTGCAAAGGGATGCTGAAGATGATGATGATGTATGAACACGAAAGGGATAGTATTATAGCAAGCTAGGATAACCTGATGCTTCTTCAAAGGGGAAATTGATATATAAACATGCATATATAATGAATCAAACAGGACAATGTCGGAGGAAAAACGAGGGTGAGAGAATGGACAGACCGATGGACGCATCAAGAATGGGGTATGATAGCTGCATCTATTTGGCTGTTTGCTATTGATTTTCAAGTCGTTTATGACTGTGCTACCGGAGACGCTCCCTCATTCCCGCGATTCATGCCATGTGACGGCATCGGATTCTGCATCATCGGCCAGTTCCCGTTCCCATTCGGCCAGTTCGGACCGGGCATCTGCTGCTGTCCCGGGTTGAACATGCCCCCCGGCTGGTTGCTCACCATGTAATGCCCCTGCTGGCCCTGTCCCTGCTGAAACTGCTGACTTTGTCCCTGCTGAAACTGCTGACTTTGTCCCTGCTGAAACTGCTGCGGATTGCCTTGCATCCAGTACATGCCCTGCGGCCCATTGGCCATCATATATGCCCCATGAGCCTGCATCATAGGCTGCGAAGGAGGAGGAAGAGGCCCAGCAGCAGCAGCTTCAGCAGCCGTCGAAGCAGGGCTTGCCATCCCGGCAGAAACAGCAGCACCATGATGGCCCGCGTTTGACATGGAAGAAGAAGAAGAAGGGTTCATCATCATGGGAGGCATCCCCATCATCGTCTGCGCCATGGCGCTCATGGCGGACGGGGGCATGGATGATGGCATGGATGATGGCATGGATGATGGCATGGACGATGGCATGGACGATGGCTGGGGCCCGCCACCGCCCTTAACGGGACCGTAGATGGCCTCGTCGTCGCTCGTGTCATCTGTATCATCGTCGTCGTCTTCGTCCTTTTTCGCTTTTGGGTGCTTCGCGCGGAGACGCATATTCTTTGCGACTTCGTCCGCGCTGAAGCCGTAGATGCTCTTGAGGTAGCGCATGAACTCGAGGTACGCATCCGACACGATTTGCACATGCAAGTGCGTCAACTCGACCTTGGCATCCTCATCCCTCACGCCCTGCTTCTTCTTCTTTCCTTCTTCTCCCACGTTGGTGCTGCTGATGCTCCGATTCTGGGCGTCAAACTCGGCCATGGCCAGCGCCGTCTGGCACGCGTTGCGAATCTGCCGGCCGTTCCAGCGCATGTTTTCGTGCTTCTTCCAGTATGCGGTGGCGTACTTGAGAATGTCCTTTTCGTGGATGTCGATTTCGCGGCCCTTGTCGCGGAAGCGCTGCTTGATGATGCGCAGGTTGAGGCGGAAGATTTCGCGCGTGGACGATTTGTCGAGGGGCGGGTAGTAGAGGGAGATGTGGATGCGGGAGGTGAAGGCCTCGTCAAAGTCGCCGATGCGGTTGGTCGTGAGGAAGAGGATGCCTGCGTAGTATTCGAGGACGCGGAGGAAGACTTGAGTTGACGAGAGTTTAGCTGATTCTGAGTAGGGGGTAGCGCACAGATAGGGGTAAAGGGGTTGGAGGTCAACTTACCTGCTACGAGGCCGTTGCGGACAAAGTTCTTGGGGGAGCGCTGGGCGAGAAAGACGTCTGCTTCGTCGAGGAGGAGGATGCAGCCCCATCGGTTGGCCAGGCTAAAGTTTCTCTCCAGGGCCGCTTCTACTTCACTGGCAGTTGCACCAAGATCTCCTGCAAAAGGAGTTGTTGTGTACATGCTTTAGCCTATATGAATCTTGTAGATTACTTGGACACAGGAAGTGACAGTGCACATACCGCAGGTGATTTGGAACAAAGGCTTGTTGAAGCGTTCGGCAACACCCTCTATAACATCCATGTCAGCACATGTACGAGGAGGGTTGGCATGATTCTCTGAACTTACCAGCAGTTGTTGTCTTTCCCACGCCTGGACTTCCATGTAACAGAAGAATGAGGCCCTTCCCTGTATAAAGAAGTCAGTTGATTCGCGCTCAAAAAGCCTTGTCAAAAAGGGGAATACCTTTGCCTCGAATAATGTCCACCTCTTCATTATCGCTAACCCTCGCCTCCTTGTTCCGAAAGTGCTGGTCAACCAAACAATACACAATGTCCTTGTGCTGCTTCGGGAGCACCAGCTGGTCAAACGCCGTCTGCTCTTTTGAGCCCTCGCTGACGGGACTGAGATACTTGAGATCGAGCTTCGCTATCCAGCAAGTCAGCACACACACTCTTCAACGCAGTAAAAAAGAGAAGAAAAAAGGGGGGGGATAAGTGACGAACCCCATTTACGGCTCCTCAACACAAACCCAAACACCCGATACGACATGATAATCAAGTCATCATTCGTCAAGGTCCCCTTGGTCGCCGTAATCTCCTTCAGCGGCCGCGGGTAAATCGCCACCGAAGGCTCATCATTCGGCTCGTCCGGCCCAGGCATCAGCCTCGCAATGTAATTCTCGTTCCTCGTCTTGTCCACGTAGTTGTCGTTATACACATACTCCCCGGCACAGCACGCAGCAGAGCAGGTCTCGTCCTCGGAAGACCCCGAGCCCCCTAGATCCTTTCCGATGAGGGACTCAATCTCGGGCTGCCAGCCGTTGGCCTGCGTCGCGGCAAAGGCCTCGGCAAAGTCCACCATGACCTGGCTGTCGACCTCGTCGCGCGCCTCGAGCGTGAAGCCGTTGTAGTGCATGTGCTTGACGCTGGCGACGTCGATGAACATCTTGCCGCGGTCGATGAGCTCCTGCTGGAAGCCCGCCTTGGGGTCGTCCTTGGTGACGGAGTAGTCGTCCCTGGCTTGCTGGTACGTCGCCGTGGGAGACTCTGCGAAGCGGATGGGATACACTTCCAGAGCCGTAATGGCCTTTTCGCCGTCAAACTTGGAGATGACAAAGGACTTGGACACGGGGCCGAGCTGCTTGCCGTCAAAGTCAATGTACACGCAGAAGAGCGTGATGGACGCCGCCGGCTCGCTCTCGTCCCGCTTCCAGTTGCGCCAGGGCGGCGTGACCTTGTGGCCGGTGCTGGTGATGCTGATGACGCGGTAGGCTTGCCGTCTGCCCTGGCCGACGACGTCGTCGCCCGGCTTGAAGAGGTACCAGAGGTGGTTGAAGGAGATTGTGCGCGGCTGCGTGCCGGAGAGGTAGTCCATCTTGGCCTGGATGGTGTTGTCCATGAAGTCGATGAGGCAGCCGAGGTGCTGGTAGGCTGTGAGGGAGGATGTGTATTCTTCTTCTTCGATGGCATCGTTGCCTTCGGTTGATTTTGTTTCATCTTTGGCTTCTTTGGCGTCGTTGGCTGGTGGAGGCTTGTCTTGACTATCTGTAGGTTTGTCTTGACCTGTTGAAGGCGTTTCTTGAGATTCTGCAGGCTTGTCTTGATTCTCCGAGACCTTTGCCTCATTTGTATCCTCCTGGACCTGGAGAGCGTCGTCGCCAAACTTCTCCTTGAGCTGGGCAAACTTGGCCCGAATCTCCTGGTTATAATGCACGAGAGCCCGAAACGGCCGAATCATGACCACAGCCCCGTTCATGCGGTAGTCCTTGGCCTTTGTCTTGAAGATGTTGTTGAGGATCTTGATAATGTTGATCGATCTGATGCGGATCCGCTCCGGCATGAGCTGCTTGCCCCTGTTGGGACTGTTGACAATGTCCGCCCACGAGGCGACCTTTTGCTCTACCTTTTGCGTGCTGCCGTTGGTCGAGATGTTGAGCGACTTTCCCGTATACCGCATGAACCAGGGGTTGTTGTAGCCGTCGAAGGTGATGGACGGCTCTTCCGTGAGGACCTCGATGACGCAGAGATCGCGGCTGGCATCGCCGTGCTGCTGGAACTTGAAGGCCGTCCAGCCCATGGGACAGACCTCCACCTTGACGGCGTTGGGGAGGTTCTTGCCCGCGTCGTCCTCGTCGTCAGAGTCGTTGCCCTTGATGCCGTTGACCTCCTCCAGCGTCGGAATCTGCACTCCGGGCCGCGCGTCCTGCAGCTGCGCCTTGAGGACGTCGCAGTAAGTCGCCCACTCCATCTGCTTCTTGGCGAGCGTGTCTCTGCTCTTCTCCGTCTCTTCAACAATGTGCAGGGACTCTCGAATCTTTCTCAGTCTACGCCAGGACTCGTACGAGGCCGAGCTCTTGCTGATCAGCTCATCTGCGCGCCCCTTCAAGTCTTCTATCGTCTCGTTGAAGCCGCCCGCGTCTCCGGCGGCCTCTTGCACGACGCCGAGCATCTGCCGTTCGAGACGCTCCCTGTTGCGCCTCTCCCGCTTGGCGTCTTCTTCTACGGCGTTGAGCCTTTCTTGCATCTTGAGGAGCAGCTGCTCCATGCTGGCCTGTTGTTGTTGGCCGTTTGCTTGGTTGCCAGCCATGGTGATGTCGGACAGATCCGTTGCGCTTGGGCTTATTGAAGCGACTTTCGCTTCGTCAACGGCAGCGGCCATGACTGCAAGCTCGGAGTGTCACAAAAAGTACTGAAGATCATGAGATGGAAAGTCAAGTGAGTTTCAAAACTCCAAGTCTACTGTAATTCCCGCAGCTTGCAAGTTACCATTCCGCACTTATAACAGACACACGACAGGGATCGCAACTCCAAGCCGCAACCCTTCGTCCAATAAACGCGCCCCTCTACAACGGCGCAACAAGTTCAAGAAACCTCGATAAATCAGGCAACAATGCGGCTCAGGAAAATAGATGGGCTCCGATACTTGAGGCAAATCACTATCTTGCTTTTCCGTCTGACGGGTTGACAAGGAACAGAGCCGTTTGTGGAGGGTCGGCAACGCTCTTGGTAGGAACAAAAAGGCTCAGCCTCCCATGCGCTGCATGCAAGTGGCTACTAGCTCAAAGAAATAGCAGCATGATTGTCACGATATAATTAGAATGAGGGGTAAGGCTTTTCCGTTCGATGGCGATCCGGTGAGCAAAGTGACAGGATATTTACAACTAAGGTAGTAACCTAGAATATTCACAGGGGGGCGAAGAGACAAGTTCCACTCTGTTAGAGACGTCTTGTATGGTCCCGGAACTGATACAGTACAAACCCCTATAAGACGACTATCCTTTTGAGTCTGCCACTTGCTGCACAGTTTCTGCTTCTGAGTTAGGCCAGAAACAGCCATGGCGAGTGAATCCTCGTCCATGATCCCTCCTATCCATCTTCAGCCTCCATCAGTCGACTTCATTGACAACCAGCTCCCACAACACCACGGCGTGTTCAGGAACACCAACGCGCACTTCGATCACATGTTGCAGAGATATGTATCAGACACAACATCATCAAATGATCAAGCCTTGGTCGAAAGCGATGCCAATGGCGAGGCCACCAACGAGCTTGCTCCGTTATGTCAGATGGGAGACGTCGGAGACCCTGAAAAGTTCTGGGGTCTCGTGTTTACTGACGCAATGACCGCCTTCGTTACCAAATATCCAAACGAGCCCGACGGGATCAGCAAGCTAGGCTATAGCATCCGCTCCCAGACGACGTGGAAAGGCATCAACGATCAGCTTCATAAAGCACGACAAGTTTATGACGGTTCTCAAAAGCAGTTCCGGGGTTGGTGTAAGAGGACGATGCGCAAGATAGGGGACAATGCCGCTGAGCCGGCAACGAATATTATCAGCCTCATTCCCAACATTGAATACGTTTCTCCGGTATTGGGAGCGGTGCAGCTGCTTCTCAACGTAAGCCTACCTTGCTACGACTCACCCTACATACGTAGATTAGCAAGTTGCTAACTGAAGGTTTCAACAGGCATACAAAGTGGCGTCTGAGGTACGAGAAAAGGTCACCTCGAGCTTTGATGAGACGGAGGTTCAGGAGCTCTTCAACAACGCCGAAGTCTACATAATCACGTTTCCAGACAGCAGTCGCATCAAGGATTCGACCATAGCCCTAGTAGTAGCGGTGATGAAGGCGATTGAGGATGCCATTGGCTTCTTCTTGTCCAAGCAAAGTATGTGTACTCCCTCAGCTACGAGATGTGATGGTTAATGGGCTATTGTGCAGTCAAACGGCTCTTGTCTGTCGTATATCGTGGGAAGAAAGGATACCAAGAGGCTCTCCTCAAAAGACTGGAAGCCATCAAAACACACAGCGAGAAACTCATTCAGCAAGCGCAAAACGCCCACATGATGTACACACAGCTTGGAATTTCGGCTATCCGGACTGGTAAGAATTTACAGGACTATATTTTCCAGAGTCTCGTCTAATAGTGCATCGTACTGCAGAAGTTCAGCAGTTCCAGATGGACACCAAGCAAGACTCAAAGCAGACCAAAGTCGTGCTCAACGACATCCACCAGTTCTCCGCCGAAGCATGCAACAACGTCCTTATCATGCTCAACGACGCCGAGGAGAACAAGAAGCGACAAATGCAGATCCTCGCAAACCAGGAAAACATCCTCAACAGACTCGCCATCATGGAGGAGATTTCCAGGGCTTCGACCCCTGTCCCCCCAGACCCGTCCATTACATGGCAGAGCCAGCATATCGCGAGCTTCAACTCTCAGTTCCAGCTTTATGCGGCACCGCCAGTACACTACCACACATATTTTCAGCCGATTCAGCAACCGGTCATCATGCAAAAAGGCCAAATAGCCTGGTTCGACGCACTTGCGGATCCAAACTATCCGAGACCAATATCACCGCAACGGAGAATCGTCAACTCGTCGAGCATTCTCGAGATTCTCATCATCCCGCTCAATCTCGACAGCGTAGACCTCCAGACCGTCAAGGACTACAGTTACCGACTGCCGAGGAAATACCACGCACGAGCCGTGCAAGTGACGCAGACGCGAGAATTCCGTCAATGGATTGTCACGCCTACTTCAACACGGCTGCTCATCCACGGCGACTTTTCACCACATGGTCTGGATTCACACAGAGTCTCACCGCTGTCATTCTTTTGCTTCTTATTAGTACACATGCTCCGCGCGCGAGAGAGATACATTACTCTTGTCTTCTTCTGCGGGTTCCACGTCGAAGAGGAAGACGGCAATGTGGGTGGCGCAGCAATGATGAGGAGCTTCATTGCGCAGCTTCTACAGCAGATGGGCCCCAGCCTCATACAGTTGGACATGAGTACCAATCTGGAAAGTATCGCCAAAGGAGACTGCGACATCTGCCAGTTATGTGGCCTCTTTGTCCAGCTTGTTCGCCAGCAGCTGCCCAGAGACCGCACTCTGGTCTGCATCATTGACGGAATCGGAGACTATGAGACGGATGAGCTCCAAGGCGATATGCTGGCCGTGATGAGGACGCTTCTTCAATTCCGTAAACCGGCAAAGCAAGGACATGGTGCAGAACAGTCTTCGCACGGGGACATGAAAGTGCTGGTAACGACTCCATTCTCGACAGAGGCTGTTCAGGAGCTGTTTCTCGGTGAAAGTGATGGAGATGAAGATGAGTTGGCCTTTCTCACAATGGAGAGTTTTCCTGATGTTAATGATACTGTCGGGATAGGGATGCCTGTGCTGTTCATGCACAGGGAGAATTCGGTTGACTTTGATTGATGTAACGTGATGGTGGCATACCTTCCTCCTACTTGATAGACAGTCGAGCCATTGGGCAAGCATTATCGTTATCATTTGCTGTTACTACTACCACTACTACATGTCATCTGCAGCCGGGAATAATCCTCTGAGGCCAATCAGCCAATATCAAAAGCCATTGCCGCTAGGCTCCTGTATGGATACCCAAAGCCCAGCTCGCGGGACATCCCTGTCAAGCAATAACCAAATGCAGATGCAGCTCATCCTGTCAACACCGAAGCATGGAGTGACTGAACTGTGATTGGAGCGCCTGACGTGGCAGCCTACATGTAATATGGCGAGGCTTAGAACCTGCCATGCCTTGCCGAGCCCCCTTCCATTCGTTGCTTTTATTTCTCCTTTGCCCCCCTCTCTCTTCCTATATCTCACTTTTCCCTTCTTCCTCCTTTTCCCAGCAACGACCATCCGGCATCCAAACTTTGACTTGAACTAGCCCTAAATCATTTGATAGAGATGCCTGAAGACGTTGATAACTTCCCTCCGACGGCCCTTGAGAATGGCTCATGGTTGTGGGACTGGAATAAATACAAAGTACAGTTCCCCAATGAGAGCAGAGATTTTGACGTTGCGACAATCGAGTATTGGAAATACGACAATGATGAACAAAGGCCGGTGATTCCACCAATCAGGAAATTTCAAATCAGAGACTTCCACACACAGATGGACTCGTGGTTGAATGAGCCCGTCCCAGTTGTTGATGGACAGCATCCATCTTCCGGCTTCAAGATCGTGGCGTTGCCCTGTCATGACACGGACGTGGTTCCTCCCTTGACAAGGGAAGAATTGCAGTCGTTGAATGCCACTCTCGGGCTTCCATTCTTTGAGGGGCATTATGCTTCCACGGGCATAGGGGCAAGCGGAGCGTTTCTGCAGAGCGATGGCAGCTATGGTAGCTCTCAGTGGAATATGGTGGAAAATTGGAATGCATTAATCGCTGACTGCAGCCAGCCTTCATCCTTCGAGAGGCCGCACACACCTCCACCATCGGTACGGCTCTGCGGTATGATCCTCAAACGAACGTGACTCGCGGCGTATTACAGTTCAGCACTTCTAAATTTCAGCATCGTATGTTCGAGAAGATGCCTGATCAGTTCATCCAATGCAACCACCCTCTTCTCTTGCCGCTGCTGGCCATCGAGTTGAGTTTCTGCATGGTCAGGGATCGACTGGCAAAGTGTAGAAGTGGCCTGGACAATATAGAGCAGCAAACGGGATACGGGTTCGGCCTTTCGGATGGTGAAGTGAGGGTACGACGCGACTACCAGACTCTTGTACAAGACCTAGGCCTATTGCAAAGTCAGGTTTATACCCACCACGCAACCATGACTTGGTGCCGAATCCTCATACGTTTCATACGCGAAAAAGCGAAACACCTTAAAGACAATCTACCAGAATTACACAGCAAGTTGGAGGTTCCCCGCCGGATGCTGGAGGAAAGAGCCGAGTTCGTGTTGAGCAATATCGAATGCGCAGCTGTGTATGACGGCCTCAAGGAACGGATGGAAGCGCAACAGACTGTCGTGAGTACATACTGCCGATTAACCGACATAAGTTTTCAGAAACAGGTCCTAACAATACAAAGCTCTTCAACCTCCTTGCCCAGTCTGATAATCGCATCAATATCGGCCTTGCCCAAGACTCGAAGGAGATGGCCATTGCCAGCAAGCAGGACAGCTCAGCCATGAAGATTATAGCCCTGCTCACCACCTTTTTCTTACCGGGCACCTTTATTGCAGTAAGTACTGGGATTATCACCGCAATGATACCTCAAGCAGATACAGCAAACTGACTGTCCTCCTAGTCCTTCTTCGCCATGCCACTCTTTGACTGGTCCGCTCCTACGCTTAGCCGAGTCACAAACCGGCACTTTTGGGTCTACTGGGCCGTGACCGGCCCTCTGACTCTGGCTATCATGGTGGGCGTCATGGTGTGGGCGCTCTGGCACAATCGCTACGTCGAGCGGCTGCAGAAGACCGCCAGAGAGAGTGTTGGTAAACGTGCGGCAGGAGACAACGGCCAGAACACAGACGATAGTCAAAAGTCCGGAAGTGAAGAAGACGAAGGTCAAAACACAGACACGGAGCAAAGCCCGGAAAGGGATGCAGAAAAGACGGGATTTCGCCAAAAGTACTCTTTGCGCGGTCTTCTTCATCGTCAGAAACGCCAGTCTGCGACAGCAGAAGCTGAGCCATGAGTAAGGCAATCGAGGTGCCAGAAGAAGTATACGAAATACTTGCCACGGACAGAGGGGAGTTTGGTGCAAGGTCAGCTGAACAAGGGAATCTGATAGGGTTGGAAACTTCCATAGGTAGGAGAATGTGGTTTGAGCGAAGCATTTAGCGAGTGGCCAATTCCTCGGCCCCTATGTTGGATGGTTATCCACGAGGGCAATATCATATGGCATTCAGACGTCTTTGTATTCCAAAATTTCCCCTCCCAAATTTAACCGCTCTTCATAGCCCCCTTTTCTTCATTTCTCACCGCTGGGTCTTGTCCCACCTCTTCAGTGTCATCATCATGAGCCGTCACATCACTTTCGTGATCTCCCCGAGCCGTGGACGTAGGATGCTCTTCGTTGTCCACATCTTCTACATCTCTAGGACCAGGTTTGTTATCCCTCCGCAGATACCACTTGAAAAAGTAGACCAAGCCTTGAGCCATAAAAACCTGATCAAAAACATGTCCGTCAGCAGCTTCAACTACATACCCAAGAATCAATAGTTCGGTGTCATCTCCCAGACTCACCTGCTCAATCGTATATAGCAAAACAGGAATCGTAATAAAAGCCCTCGTCAAATCATCCGCCTGGGTCCATATGGCCGTCACCAACGGTATACCCAAGCTCGTCGTCTTGGCTGCGCCGCAGAAGCACACGGCGATGGTCTGCTCCTTGGACATCTTCTTCACAGAGACGATGCGTTTCACACGCTCCGGCAGACGAGATGCCGCAACGGGCGGGTTGATAGCCCTTGCGAGGAATGCGGGCGGACGGGCGAGGTAGAAGCAGATGAGGGTAAAGATGATGTAGAGCCCGATGTTGATGAAGACGTTGAAGATGACGTCTGCTTTGGACAGCTTATAGAGGGCGCCCGTGCCGAAGGCGCCAGAAAAGGTCGTCCTTTATTACCTCGTTAGCTTTGGAGGATAGATGTGACCCTGGGAACAAGTGTTGACCTACCATACGAGCAATATCAGGCAAACTGTCGGCAGCTTTCCCAGCATTGTCACCCTCAACACCTTGGCAACGACATCCCCCCTCCACCACCTCACTCCCTGACCCACCGCCAGCGGCAACAACACGCTCAACCCCAACTGCTTGGCCACATTAGCATACATGTCCCCCAGAGTCCTCGGGTCCGCGGGCCGCCAGTCGTCAAAGACGCCGTCGCGCGGGATGAAGCCGTAGATGAGAATGGGCGTGAGGAACGAGCCGGCCGTGTTGCCGATGACGACGGAGATGACGGCCGCGGCCTCGTCGCCGCCGGCGGAGCGCGTCATGACCACGTTGGAGGCGATGGTCGTCGGGAGGCAGGCTGTGGCGAGCATGCCGAGGATGATGGGCGTGGAGGGCGTGCCGTGGCGGAGGGCGCCTGCTGCGAGGCAGATGTGGATGAAGACTGAGTGTTTTATCATGATGAGTATTGATGATGATGATGCGATTCGGCTGGAATAGGGGGGGTGACTCACTGAGCATGATGACGGGGATGATGATGAAGCTGCATCCTTGAACCATGACGTGCAGCCGCCAGTTTGTGAGGTTCTGCTTGAGCTTCTCAGGAGGGAGCTGCAGTCCGTTGATGAGAAAGATGAGTGCTACTGCGCCGTACAAGACGCTGTACTCTGATCGGATGATGCCCCCATGTTCGGCGACATCTGTGTTGGCGGTCAGCTCTGATCCTATAGCACTCAACTCCTCCCGCGAAATCTCTTCATCCCCTTCCCCCCCTGTCCCATGCTTTCTCATCTGTGCATGACCCAGAAAACCAGAGATGAACAGAAATCGCAGATACAAGAGAAAAAGGCAAACTCACGCGGGAAGAAACACCCCAATACACAGGCCACGCCAAATCCAATGAGCAGCCACTGCGCCGCCACAAACTCGACTCCTGTCCAGAGCCACACCAATGCCTTGTTCTCTCGCCAACTGCTCTTCTCCGTCGTTTCTGTCGTCGTCGTTATCGTTGTTGTTGTTGTAGCCATGACTCTCATGCACCTCGCCGCAGAAATCCAAGCCAAATCTCAATTATAATTTTTTTGCCAGAAAAGAAATTATCAAAAGAAATTATGAAAGCTCATATATCATGGAGATATCAACGTCATTGAGTGAAAAAGATTGCCAGTAGGTAGATAATATCACAAACACGCTCGACTAGAAGGCTAGAAGAAAAAACAGAACGGCATGTGCCCCAGCAGGGCAACAGAACGGTTCTGTGTCGGTGATATATATATATATATGATAACGACCTAAAAAAAAAAGACGAAGAAAAAATAATACAGAGAGACAAGGAGAGACGCGCAGGAATGCAAGCCTGCGGGAGCAAAATGCGTCTTATTGCCGGACAATAGGGGAGCGGGTCCCCCTCTCTGGGAGAGAAAAAAAAAAAAAGCGTCGGCCGATTGCGTGAGGCACCTGCCGACACCGACATATTACCATGTAAGGAGTTTAAGCTATACAATATGACAATAATCCCGTGCTATCGGTGGGATGACGATTGGCGTGGGATGGATGTTGTAAGCGTTGCGATAGCGGAAAGGGGTACGAGTGAGCGAAGAAAGAGGAATACTACTACAAGGAGACCGGCATACGATGGCGTCACATAGACGGACCCCCTGCATAAACATACAGAATCAACTAAGAGTAAGTAATCGCAATAGTATATTCAAGCCTCATTCAGACCGCAAACACATATAATGTCTACTCCTCTCAACTTACACCCCTCCCTTTTTGATCATATATACTGGAGACGTCGAAGCAGCGTTCGCATGCCCTCGTCTCCTTTTCCTCCGCGACGAAAATCTAATCGCCCATATATAAAACTTGCCACCCCTTCAAAAGGCAGCGCGAAGCAAGGCTATCCCCAACGCCGTGCGATGCCTGTGGTATCAAATAAAACATAGCCCATCAAGGAACAAAGTCCTCGACGGGTCAAATCATAATCAAAGAGCCTGCTCTCCTCATGTCGCCTTCGTCGGTCGTAAGAATATTAATCGGAAGTAGAGATATAAAAAGGAGAACCGAATTCTCCGAGAAAGAAGAAAAGAGAAGGAAAGTCATCGCCTTCTCTGTTCAGGCGACGAGCACCGGCGCCGGCTCCATAGGCAGAGCTGCGATTGACTCGGCAGCGCCTGTGCTGCTCGGGGCCGGCGCAATCTCTGGGTCTGGTATCTGAATATCCAGCTGACAGAACCGTTAGTATCGGCAGCGAAACGTGAGAACTTGATCAAGAAATCAACTTACAGTCATGTATCCGGTGCGTCGGAGCGAGATGAGTTTTGGCGGCAAGATCCCCTCTTCAGAAGGGGTAGTCTTCTCCTTCTCTCGGTTCCAATTCTCTATCCACGCCTCCAAGTTGTTGAGGCGAGACTTGATGCCCGTCATGCCAAAGTCGTCCCAAAGCCAGCCAGTCACAAGTCCCAAGAATGCATCAATCACATTCCGGGGGTTGTAGGGGTCAAAGGCCGGTATCAGTTCCTTGTTGAGCTTGTCTATGATGCGCCGGAACTCAGGCTCTGGGATTCCGGCCGGATCCAAGATTTCGGGATACAGATTGGAGAACGTAGGAGCGAGGTCACCCTGAAGGAGCCAATCGCGGCGAATCCGAATTATCCGGGTCTTGGCATATTCGGCCGAATCTGATGGCACATGGGGATTCAGATGAGGAAAGCAAGGATGCTGCGGTCCCCACGATTCACCTAGGTCCGGCTGGACCTCTTCGCCCATGATTGACGAGTTGGATGACGAGATTGCAGATCCTATTCCATCCCCAATAGATATGTTGGAGAAGCGCCGGTGGTCCATGACATCAGGCCCTCGCTCCAGGTCCCTGGCGTAGGACTGCCCCGGCTCATCATTCTCCGGCATCATGATGCCTTTGCCTTTGTCGACCTTGGGTGTTCTAGTAAGCGGCGGCGATTCCCTGGTGAAATCGCCGCTGGTTCTACTCTGGCGATCAAACCGAGTTGGTGAGAGAGTTTGTGAGCGCCTCTCGTCGTACGAAGCGCGGACTGAACTAGGCAAGCTGACCCGCTTGTTCTCGGTTCCGCTCAAGTCCAACTGGAAGCTGATGGGCGTCGACGAAGAGTGTCTCGCCTGTCTGTGTTCGGTAAGCGTTAGCAGCGGATAGTCGCCAGCGCCGGTGACGTTGGGATCGGCGGTGTTGGTAGACTGGTCAAGTCCTGGGTGTTGCAGCCGGACGGGAGCTTCAATTGGACTGGAAGGGCGCCGCTTGTGCGAGTTGGAGGGAGACCTGGGAGTCGAGTTGGTGGGATTCCACAGACGCGCAGAGGAGAGGCGCTGAAGGCGAGTCGGGGCCGCGCCGGATGTTGCGAGAGTGCGGAAGATGGAGTGCTGGTTCCGCTTATGCGAGGCGGGATTATGCGGCGCCTTGGGAGGTCCAGGATGGGCAGGCTGGTGAGAGGCAGAAGCAGAAGCAGAAGCCGCAGCAGTAGCAGAAGCCAAGGCTGAGGCTGAGGCTGAGGCTGGAACAGAGGAGTCCAAGCGAGGATCTGCCTGCGTGCCTAGGGAGGGCGGGCCGGTGGCGGTGGAAATTGGCTGAAGCTCGTACGAAGCCGTGGGAAAGGCGGAAACGGCGCAGCCGCTGAGACGACCGCGCTGGCAAAGAACGACGGGGTCGCGTCGGCCCCGGATTTCGAGATTGAGGTCGAGGTCGAAGTCGAAGTCGGAGTCAGAGTCGAAGTCGAAGTCGGCGACAGCAGCGTGAGACAGCTGCTACCAAGCAAGGCTAAGGCCGGAGGTTCTCTCAACGACGAGGCTGAGAAGAAAGACGGACAAAAACCAGAGGCTTCCGCAGAGGCCGCTGAGCGCAATGCTGAGTTGGAAACGCACGGCCGGAGCGGCGCTGAGAATGGTTTGGCGTTGAGGCCGTACTCGTATCGGTTAATCAGGGGCACGCGCTCGATCGGGTTAGTGCGGGTGACGGAAACTCTGGCCTGGCGGTTACGTGATGGCATAGTTGTGATTGATTGGGCGATTGTGCGATAAGTCAGCACATCGGAAGCGTGGGAGAAGAGGAGTTCAAAGAAAGATTTGGTTCCTTTCAAACGCCCATTGTTGGTCTCAACAAAGGTATCTGGTGTAATGAAGGGAGATCCGAGCTTGTGGATATTGTAACAAGTCAGAACTGTGCTAGGGGAGGTGGAAAAAGCAAAGAAGAAGGAGGAGGACAAGGAAAGAAGGAAAAGTTGGAAATGAGAAACATATATTGGGAGGAGTAGAAGAAGAAGAGGGAAAAAGAAACTAATACAACTCTCCAGTAACAGAAGCAAAGAATCCGTGCATCGGAGCAGAAAAAGTAAAAAGTTGGTTCGTGGCCGTGATCGGGAGCAGGCTTACTCTTTATCTGTGTTTGAGGACGCCTGTTTGCCTTGCTGGTGCGCAACCGCTAACAAGCCTCTTCTGCCCTGGTGATCCATGCCAGCCCTCAGCAAATTCCACGGCCTACAGGGCTCACATGGAGGCAGCATGGAGGCAGCATGGACAGTGCTAGCCCTGTCCCGCTGCGAGAGGGCTCTAACTGGGAGCATGCGGCATGGCTCCGGGACGCTGTGCTGGGTGGCGCTCAGGGTCAGGCCAAGCTGAGCTGGTTAGGCGTTGTGCCCTGTCCGGGGCCTGGCTATCGCTCGATCTTGTGACGATGACAAGCCAACAGCAGGGGAGTAGTACTACGGGCATCCCGAAGATCTCGAGGTGCGCATGACTTTATGCTGGGCCCCCAATATCTAAAGATGCACAAGGCTTTTAAGTGCGCAATACAGAATGAGATGATTTTCTCGTCATCACGCTTGACAGTGGCTGGCTTACAGACTCATCAGGCTGAGGAATCGAACATGCCCCTGACGATGTCTATCTATGTACTATAAGCCTCCTAGTGCCACCTCCTACGGCTGTACACAACGACAACGGCTTCTCTAGCCCACAAAGCCTTCTCTCTATCGTACGATTCATGTCTGGCGCGGCCAAAGCTTTTCGACCAAGCGCTCATGGTGAAAGGATTAGCCTTGTCAAGAAGGATTCACTTACAAGGCCCTCTACCTCAGATTAGCGGGTAACCCTGGAAGCGACAGGAATAGCAACAGCATCACAGCCGCGTGTCCCCAGGGCCTCATCAATCGCGAACAAGGGGCCCGTCCACCGGACAATTTCCTTCGGGTCTCTCCGTACGAGGCCCATGCCACGCGGAGAAGGAGAAAGATCGTAAAGAAAATAAATGAGACTCCTTCAGCTTCGATCTACTAGCAGCGACATGGGCCAAAGACTACCTACCGAATAGGGGGCTGAACGAGCTCGTGCGCTTTCCATCTTGCACGGGCCGCTGTCATCGCTGTTCGCAGGTGAAAATGCCCGCTACTGACTGGTCAACAGGGGACAAACATTGTTACTACTATGTAGAATTTCGCATGTATGTACTGCCGTCCACATCGAGGCTAGTGATCGGAATGCTCGAGATTGACCTTGAGATTGCCATGCCTGTTTGTGTCTGCATGTCCATGCGAGGAAATTGTGCAATGCGACCTTGTAAAATGACGTCGGTGACGATCTGCAGACTTGGGGGGGTCAATTTGTCGACGAGAGCTGAGAGGCGGGGGCAGAGATCTAGGGCTTCATTTCTGGGAACTGACTTGTCAGCCCGGAGTTGTCGGTTCCTGTCTGGGAGTTTGGGGAGATAGGGTTGAAGAAGGTTAGAGAGCCGATTACAGAGAATTGCTCATCAGTACCTACAGTTACCTCAATAGTCAGGTTTGTCACAATACTAGATCCTTTGTTTTCACGTCAATTGGGGACTGGACCTCGCGATGAGTGGCTTCGAAGTACCTTAGCACTAGGTAGGTCTTGGACAAAAGAGGCTGGGTGAGCAACAAGTGTTCAAAGACACGACAACTGGGAGGTTTTCTTCTAGGCCCAGTAGCTGGACTAGATTGTCATTGAAATCGGAGGCGCCAGGAGTTGTAAGGGCCAATGTTGAATTGGTTACATCATCATTCCTCATGACTGAGCCCCGTCATCATCCTAGGCGCTGCCGGCGCCTCTCGTTCTTTTTTTCACTGCCAAACTGCACCAGCAGAGGGGGGCCGTCACGATTGGGCTGAAGCGGTCGCAAGGAATGCAAAATGTCACAATCAGAGACCATGCTTATCAAGTACTTGATACTTTTGCTTTGCCATCAGTAGTCGAGCATTTCAATGCAAGATAATGTTCAGAGTTCTTCATCCCGCCTCCGTCAGAAACACCCAATACTTTCCTTTAACATCTCGACGCCTCGATTCCATCCTCCATTGCCACCAAACACTCGCCTGAAGCCACCACCTGCCCAAACCAGCCCAAGCACGCTGTACCCCAGATTCTGCCCAGCCAACCAAGCGGGAGCGCTAGCCTGTCCCTCTCTAGCACCAGAATGTCCAGTGACCCGGACACTTTTGGCTGGCCAAGGTCGCTGGAGCGTCACTGACAGCACCTCATTGACAATCCTGCTGGGCAGACGGGCAAGCTCCATGTCTCAAGTTCCAGTTGACGTAACGACCATGTCTCGCCTGCAAAAACCTGCACCCTCGTCTCTCTTCTCCTCCCTGCACCTCCTCGTCCAATGACCGACCTCCTCTGCTGGCGTCCTGCACAAGACCTGCATACACCTAAGCCATGTCGGCGGCATCGCTGCCAGACGACGGCCGTCAGGCCTCAACCGCATCCTCCTCCTCAGCCCGGCCCGGCCACGCCGCCACCTCCGGCATCAACTTGGGCCACCACCACACTACCTCAACCACAGCAACAGCCTCCTCCTCCTCTGCCGGCAACGCTCCTCCAGGCCACTTCCTCCGCCGCGCCAGAACCGTCGACGAGCCCTCGATGCGGTCCGCATCCATGTCGCGGCACATGTCGTCCGACTCGTCCTCCGAGGCGCCTCCGCGCCGGAGCTCCAACTTTTCGGAATACAGCCTCAGCGAGGCACGCGACATCCTGAATCCCAGGCCGTATCCTCAGGGCGAGCAGGTCTCGGACCATGAGGCTTCGCCGCTGGCCTCGTTGTCGCTGGCTTTTGCCCTTTTGCCTGCTATAGCGGGGGTTCTCTTTCAGAATGGCACGTCTGTTGCTACCGACATTATGCTCCTGGGCCTTGCGGCCATATTCCTCCATTGGTCGGTCACGCAGCCTTGGTATGTACCGACACAATGCACACATTTGCAGCCTTATTGGTGAGATATCAAACGACAAAGCTCATACTTGATAGGCAATGGTATCACGCAGCGCAGGAGGTCCGCGTCCTTGAAGAGCATTCCATCAACATGACATCCCTCGAAGCGGACGGCGGCCTCGACTCGCAGACCAAATCTCCGAATCCCAACGGACCGCTTGATGATGTCCCCGAAGAACAAGAAGCAAGTGAAGGTGACGATTCAAGCGCCGACAAGAGAGAGGCTCGAATCGAACAGATGACGGCACAGCAACAAGCTGCACTCAGGGAGCTCTATCGTCATGAAAGCCTCGCTCTCGCGTCGTGCTTTTTGATGCCAATGCTCAGCGCATATCTCCTGCATTATATCAGAGGCCAACTGACGCGGCCGTCCGAGGGCCTCGTCTCTAACTTCAACCTGACCATTTTCATCATGGTTGCTGAGCTGCGTGTGTTGTCGCACATCATCACACTCGTCCAGTCGCGGACTCTGCATCTTCAGAAGATAGTGCAGGATAGTCCGCTTGGCCGACAACAAGCTGGTACTGAAACACTTCTCCAAGAAATGCTCAAGAGGTTAGAGAGGCTAGAGTCTTTGTCAACATCTCAGAGCAATACACTGGCCGGTCATGGGGAGTCATTGAGCTCTACGACCGCGACAGTCAGCCGAGAGGTCAGAAACACGATCCAGCCAGAGCTCGATGCCTTGAACCGCGCAGTCAGGCGGTATGAGAAGAAGGCGACGCTCCTGCAGCTGCAGACTGAGTCGAGATTCACTCAAATGCACGCAAGACTAGACGACGCCATTTCGTTAGCAGCCGCGGCAGCGAAGAACTCGAATCGACGACAGAACTTGCTACCGTGGGTTTGGAACATGATTGTGACGGCGGCAACTTTTCCTTTCAAAGCTGTCCTGGAGATACTCGCGCTGCCGCTGAAGCCCATCGTCGCATTTGCCAACAGGAACAAACAGACATCCTCTAGTACCCTTCGGCCACCTCGTAGCCGGCCAGGAAAGCTTCCAGCATCAGTCAAGTATAACGGCGATCGAGTGCCGACGAGGATAGTCAAGAGATGAGGCTCTCTTGTGCTATGGGTGGGTATTTGTTGTTTTGCGTCTGCTGGGTTTGCTTCAAGCGTGCAGTTTTGCTTCAATTTTCGGGCAAGCAAGGGCATGAACTCAAAGCAGAGGCTGGATTTGATTCACGACGGAACGAATGAAGTTGTCATGCATGTATATCACCGACGAGCGGTATTTGATGAGGGCTCTTGAAAAATCATGATCATTATAATAGAGTTTGAACGTGAGACGTGACCCTGCAATCCCGGTGACGAGCAAAGAGCGGCGTTTGTCAGAATTACGGTTAGAGCTGGAATAAGCTTTATCACCTACATAACCGGGTGTTTCGATACAAACTCTGTTCCTGAATGGCCTCATCTGCGGGCGTAGATTTGCCTCGCAATTGCAGCTGAATCAAGAATCGTAATGATCTTCAGACAGGCGATATCTCCCGGGTAGAGTTATTCTTGGTTGCTTTTTTCGTTGGTCACGGCAAACAGCAGTTTCCCGTTCGACCAACGAATGCCATTGGCGACATGTTGGGCATCAACCCCCCGCAGCGCTCCGAGAGACAAGTAGAAGTATTCATATTTTTGCCCAAGAAACCCAACATACATGAACATGGGGGCCGAAACAAAACCATAAGTTGTCGGTTTGTCTGAACCAGGATGTCGGCTCTGACCTCGGAAGGGACAGGACTGCGAGAATGCAGTGCCACCCCATGGTGATAGCTTCAGATGTCATGTGAGGCATCTGACCGTCCCGTTATTCCTAGAATGGAAGCATGCTGTTCGACTTCGGTCACTTTCGTAGCTCGAGACAGTCGGTGTGGTAGATGTGTTGTTTTGCCAAGCGGCCAAGTGAGAAGGGCAATGTGTGACGATAACCTTTGGCAACCCTAGATAGTAACTCATATTCTATCTATCCTGGTGCCGTGCATGTACGAGTTAATAGCTCCCGTCCATCGGCGAGAACACGTCCTGGCATATTGTTGTCCCCTCTTTCTTCACACACCAATGCAGGGCAGACAGCTGCCTTGTGCCGTGCAATAATACACAGGTAAACAAGGTGGATGAAACACCTACATATGATGAGCCTACCATACCGAGAAGAGAGCATCTTACGAGGCTTCTTTCTCCAATGGAGGGGAATGCCTCGGCGCCGGAGCTGAATCTTCTGTGCCATGTTCGCACCGCTTCCTGGTCCCCAGAGCACGGCGTCTGTGAGGTGAAGAAAATACGCAGTGTCAGCCATTTCTCGCGTCTTCAGCTATTGCAGGTAAAGTTGGTTATCTGAAAACGGTGTGTGTATCGTTGTGCTGCTTGCAGTATTAGAGAATCAAGGCAGGGTGACGCGAATCCCATCAATGGCCTGCGCATGGGAGGGTTTCACCATTGACGGAGATGTGCACCCAAATCTAATCGTTGGGCTTGGGCAACCGGCCAAAGCGAAAAATTCTAAATGGCCGATGTGTCGCTGCAAGATCGCGAAGAGAAATCACGTTTCACGTGCGGTACGGGCCTAAATGTGGGAGAAAGGCCGGGGGAGATTGTCGTTGTGTTGTGTGCCACGACGAGCCAGTCATGTGTCGATATAGAGTCACGCTGTTCAGGTGGAGCGCCTCATTTTACAGCACAATGTGGCGTGGCGCAATGGACTGCATGATGCTGGCCCAGCAAGCCATTGCGGTGACAAGAGGAGGTTGAGGTTGTACCAGGAAGCATAATGTTGGCAGTCATCATGGCTGCTCTTCACGTTGTGCCGGGAGAGTGCTGAGGAAAGCTGCGTATCGCTGATAGGCCTGTTGACACGGAGCGGCACATATTACCAACTGTACGTGTAGATGCATGACGCCCTCACCGCAACAGTATGATGGTATGGGTGATGGTTATGTAGTCTCCCGAGGATCGATATCCTCCCCAACGCCGTTTGCTCAATCATCGAATAAGCGCCGTTCACCCAGAGCGATGGCGGAGAAAATCGGTGGCCGGGCAGACAGCGGTGACTCTGTGTATGTGATGTAACAGCATAAACCAGGCTCCTCAATTCGTCCTCCTGGGCTCTACACTCCGTACGAGGTGCAACCGAAGAATGGATGACTTGGATGTCACCACATGCAACAAGGCAGCGTCTTGGATAGACTATTCGTCAACGCCTGAACCTTGCATGCAGTGTTTCGCGGCTGGCCATTCGCGGGGCCATGGGTGGTCAGCGATTTGTCGGTCCCCGACTGAATTTCCAGGATATTCATTGTGAGACGCGTTCCATGGTCTGCGCAGTACCTGGTACTACAAGCAGTGTGATGATGCATGAAGGTTGGTGGTGGCATTCTCTGCGTAGGGATGCGCTGCAAGGGAGAAGTTCAGCCTCTTTTTGCTTTTTTGTTTTGGGGGGAAAATACATTGCACAAGGCGAAGGATTCGGGAGACGAGCCAATGGCTGTTTGTTGGACACATGCAAGGGATACCTTCAGGAGATGACAACTTATGGATAGGTAGGTAACTCTCCTACTGCTTCTCCTGGATTTGAGAAGAATTTTGTGGGCAAAAGGCCTGAGGTTGTGAGCGACAGGTCTCTTGGTCAGATAGAGAAGGTAATGATATCATTGGGCTGACATCTCGATCAGTCTGGCCGTGCTCAGTCATTGAAGTCTCCATATCCGGCCATGAGAGGAAAGGAAGCAACCTCGATGACTTGTGTGGCCTTCCGTCCTGTGAGACAGCGACTCGATATTATCTCTCTACATGATTCCATTTGACCTCGGTGGCGCCTTCCTGGTGCACCTGCGTTAGAAGGTAGCACTACTACTAATGGAGGACTTTCCATGTTGATCAGGCACTAAGAGGCGCTGGATGACGGAATCGCGTTGTTGTTGCGATGGTGTCCAGCAGCTGCGGCTGATTCATGCCGTGTGGAGGAAATGATATTACATAGTCGATAGATACTCGAGCCTGTTGCAGCATGATGCACGATATTTGAGCGACCAAAGCGAGGTGTGCGGAAACTGAGTGAAGACAGACTGAACGGACGCATGGAAAGACTGTAGAAGATTGCAAAGATACTCGAGACCGAAACGCTCCGCATGCAGCAGGTAAGTCACCGTATTCCATTAGCCGTATACATAACAGCATGGCGTGAAGCCTGGCTGATGGCCTCCCACCGCAGCATCTTTCGCAGCTCCCAATTGGATTGGCGCGCCGTCCTTTAAGTTCTTTCCTGGCTGGCTGAAAGCGGATGGCACCGCGCCCGGCTTGTTCCTGCCAGCCTTGGCGCCAGTCGAGCAATTGGTGCAGGCTTGGTGCAAGGGGCAGCAGCTGAACGACCCCGCTCGGCCCAGAGCTCTTTCCTGCCCCTGGCCCGGCGGAGTCCTAGCACAGGTACCACTGGCGATGCTAGTACCACTAGCGCTCTAGCACCTGCGGTAGAGCGTGCGGTAGCATGGACCACCGGCGGTACTTATGGAGACCTGATGCAATGAGATCGGGCAGGTTCCTGCATGCATCGCATCTCTGCCGAAGCCGCATCTGGCCCCTGCGCGCCTGCTCGCTCTTGCCCTCTCGAACCTGGAGTCTGCCGTGGAGTGTTTCAGCCCTCATCCAGTGCTTGTCGGCTCTCTTGGGGCCGCATCATCTGGCGGGTGATTGCCACCACTGGCATCCTATTGCTTCTCATCAACTTTCACCACTGATTCCGCCCCTAAGGATAACGCGCAGCAAACGGCATCAAGCGTCATCGATATACCAATGCGCCCTAATGCTGTGACTCTGACAGCTAAGGTAGTACCTACGGACTCCCACATCCATGCCCATGGGCTCGCGTCTGCATCAAGGCATCACACACGTTTTGTGGTCATACATACCGCCCAGAGCTGATCCTCTCCGCCATTATCCACGTCGTCGTCTCTTGTCTCTTCCTCCACCAGCCCTGCATCCACAGCTGCAGCTGGGAAATTGGCACAACAGCCACACGCCAAGGCAGATGCCCGCTAACAAGCTAGAACACGCTCATCCTGCGACTAGCAACTCTCGATCCTCATGAGCTGGACCCGCTCTGGGGGCATGTCCCGCGGTTCCGGGATTGACTTTGGCACCGTCAGTCGCGAGAATCACAGGCAGCGCCGTCAATGGACGACGTCCTCCGTACGATGTGCGAGTAACTTTGCATGTGCCACGCTTTCAGGGATTACTCGCCAATCCGCAAGCACTAGGCATGTGGCCAAATGCCGTGCTGATGGAGCTCATGCTGTCCGCATGCAGCTATTACCAAACCAAGCCATTGGGCCGGAGGGGACGATGGAAAGGTGACGCCGGCTGCTTCTTGGCCGCCAGCCGCCCCATATCCGTTCCCTCCTCTTGGTTGGCGAATATTGGAGAATTCCTGTCTCACTGGAGACCGTCCCAAGTCATGTTTATTTGGCCGAATTCCCATTGTATACTTGTATGGCCAATCTCCTGACGCAGATGAGACACGGTCATTCATTCTCTTCTTGCCCATCTACCAATCCCCTACCGCCGGTTGCAGTACGTGTCTCAGCTTGTGCCGAACGAGACCTGGCTGTAGGCTGGAAAGCGTATCATCTCTGACGGAGAGTCTTTTCGTGCAGTTGCCTGGCCTATCCTGATTTTCTTTCGCGACCTGCTCTAACCGCCGAGTCTGAGCACCCTCGCCAGCAATCCCTTCCTTTACCGATCCCTCATTATCATTGCTGGTGGCTCACGGATGATGCTGGGCGTGCCAGCACGCATATTTGGTAGCATATTCTGATATTGATTGTTCCAAAAGCCACCGCTGGCGGTATCCCTCTGCGGGAGAAAAGCAAGCAGCATGTCGCGGATCGTGAGATGGCAGGCACTCTTATGCCTCCTCTTGTTCCTGCAATTGGTCGTAACCGAGGACTTTCGAATGCTGAGACGGACCGACAACCCCATATTGACGCCCACCAGATCCATATCCAGTCCAGTACCAAGCTCAAAGCACTCGCCAACTGGGAAAGCAGATGAGCCCAAGAAAACGGACGGCTCGAGAGAACCAGTCACCACCACGGCTCCCGACGTTATCTCTCCTTCCAGAACGGCAATCCAAACCGCCCCCACCGTGACCGCTACAGGCAGTTCTGAGAACTCGACCTCCTTTGACTGTGAGATTGAATCCCACTGCTGAACTTAGCCATGCTAGCTTTGCTGACATGAAATCTCCAGCTACGATCCCGGCGGGCCATCTACCTATCCAGCCCGTCATCACTCCAGGATGGGGCGTTGCCGGAGTCATCTTGATTCTCACCGGCCTGGTATACACCCTCGTTGGCATCAAGAATCGCTGGATCAACTGCTTCTTTTCAACCGCCTTCCTCACTTCGCTCGGTATCTCGGTTCTCATCGTCTACATCATGAACATCCCCGTTAGCGAACCCATTCAGGGAGCATATGTCGTGGCCGTCACCTTGTCTAGCTGTGCGCTGGGTGCAGCCTCGCTCATCTTCAAAGACTTGACTGAGGGCCTGGGGTTAACCTTCGGCGGGTTTTGTCTTAGCATGTGGTTCCTATGTTTGGCACCAGGAGGCTTGCTACATGACGCGCTTGGCCGGGCCATTTTCATCTCCTGCTTGTCTGTCGGGCCGTTTGGCTTGTACTTCAGTCGATACACGCGGGACTGGGCCATGATGATCTTGATGTCTTTTGGGGGTGCGACAGTGCTCGTCCTGGGTATCGACTGCTACAGCAGGGCCGGGCTTAAGGAGTTCTGGGCCTATATATGGAATCTTAACGAAGACCTGTTCCCCCCTGGTGCGAACACTTATCCCATCACAAGAGGTATCCGGGTCGAAACCGCGGCCATCGTCATCATTTGCCTGATCGGGGTCATTTCTCAGGTGAAGCTGTGGAAAGTTGTTCGAGAGAAGCGCGAAAGAAAGGCCGCGAGTCTGGCGGAGAGCCGGAGACACCTGGATGAGGAAGATGCGATTGTTGGACGCAACATTGAGGCTCAAGCAGCACGAGAGCGTGTCGAGTGGGAAAAGGTTTACGCGGGCAGGGTCCTGATCAAGAGCAACGACAGTACCGAATCGCACTACTCAAATGGCACCGATGGTGGCAGCAACAGCAAAACCCACCGAAACAGGCATTCCGAATCTCTTCATACAGGCTCCAAGGACAATTGCATCGAGTTGACCGACCTTTCCGACTCCAGCGTAGCGCAGACTCGAGCTGATGAGCTCATTCATTTCGAGATGGTCAAGGGGGGAAAAGTCACGGTGCGGGTGGCCACGGATGAAGTGATCGAGATACCAAACAATTACGAACATGACGCGACCGACGAGAAAATAGATCACATCCCAGAATCAGACGTGTCAAGGCATGATGACGAATCGGCTTCACCACAAAATGAGGCCAACAGCAAGCGCAACTCCCAAAGGGGTTCGGAAGCGCGTCGCAACTCTCGACAAAAACATGTCACCACAGTCCCCGAAGTTGTGCCTCTGCCTTTCAAGGTGCCAACAGAAGACGATCTGAAATCAATTGGTGACCGGTCGTCTGTCGCAACCTTTGCCGACGATGAACCAATTGTGTCTGCGAGTCTGCCGCGAGATTCGCTGGTCAAAAGGGTCTCCCAAAGCTCAGTCACGCTTCTCAGAAGTTTGTCTCAACAGAAAGCGAAGAACGTTTCCTCTGATCCTCAGCCGATGGGCGGCGAAAGCTCCGAGGAATTGGTTGATCCGGAATTCACTGTCGAGGACGATGCGCGATCGTCTATTGCGGCCACTGTCGACTATGATAGCTCCAATGATGATTTGCAGAGCTCCATCATTGGTAGTCACGATCGAAAGAGCTTTGAGATTAATGCAGAACTAGCGGAAGTCGAGGAAGCCCCGGACTCCAAGCAGGTGGATGAAGCTCTTGATGAGACCAACGATGGCAGGATACACGACGACGTGTCTAAGGAACATGCTATTCAGGATGTGCTGGCTGAATCAACGTCAGGCCCGAACAAAGCTGGTTCTGTATTAGACGGAATAAACGACGAACATCAAGCAAAAGGTGCAGTTCAAGAGGCTGAGACAGACAGCACAGTCGAGGATGAGAAAGTTTCTGTGGCTCGTGAGCCGGAGTCCACAGCCGATGCAAGCAATGCAGTAGGGACGAGGCGTTTGGAGCCCACCGACAAGGCGACATCTCTGTCTTCAGCGACGTCAAACGTTGCGAGTCTGACCAAGGATCGACTGCCTGAATCCCTATCCAGAGTCGCTCTCTCGTATAGGACGAATGAGTGGACCAAGCATCTCAGCCATGCGGATACTCCTGAGCCTGAAGCCATCCTGATTGAGCCGTATGCATCAGAAAATGATGTCGTCGAATCACCCAGATATGTCGACGTTGAGGATCTTCAAAAGACTGCCACCGGCAATGCCATCCCTCCATCCACCTCCACAAAATCAGCAGCAAATATGGGACGCATCTCCTCAGGCTTCGCACCAATTGCCGAAGAGCAGGATAGATCGCGGGGCACCGACGTACCATATCCTGCAGAAGCCATGCAGCAGGACAGTTTCCAGTTGAACTCGACGCCTTCCCGACCAATGGGGCAACGTGTTGTTTCTTTTTCCAACCCTTATACCCTCCTTGGCCAGAGAGAATCGGTCCTGCGGAGTAGATCGCAGGGCAATCTTGTTTCTCACTTTGCTGAGATGCCCGTTGACACACACGGGTCCGTCGGAGACGCAGACTCTCTTTATAACTACCCGGCGTACAATCGAGCAATCAGTCCCGACCCTGACGACCTCCCTCTTAACCGACGGAGAGAAATGCTACGCCAGAGTAGCATGACGCTTTTACCTGTTTCAAACTTACCGCCTTCCAATTTCCGTCTGAACCGCTCAAGTAGTGGTATTGAGGTTGCCGGCAATACCCAGTTCAACTCGCATCAGCCCAAGAGAGAATCCTCAGTCTCGTTGGTCGCCCGGGAGACGAAGCTGGCCAACTTTAGACAGTCGATAGCCCATGACCTTCAAGCGACGACCCCCGGTGTGCCCCCCAACATGGGACGCGAGACGCCGTTCGCATCGACGGCTACGCTTCTTGATGATATGAACACACAGCGCACCGTCTTGATAGAGAAGAGGGAAGCTGAGCGGCAGAAGAGAGAGATGCAGAAGCGAGAAAAAGAATGGCACGATCGCATGTTTGACAGCCGCATGCGGAGCGGGGACCTACTGGAAGCCCATCGCGAGGTCATACGGAAGATGCAGAGCTCCGCGAGAGATGCGTGAATGATTGAGGAAATCCATGTCGTCAAGGACATACGAGGTAGCCAAACAGCGAGCCCACGCCTCAGTCATGTTTTTCTACTTTTTTTTCGTTCGATAGCGTCGTTACCGAGAAGGGGTAATGCCAGCGATACCAAATTTCTGTTGATTTGTTTTTGAACTTGAGACATACCTTAGCTAGCTAGGTAGTGACGTTGTTTATAGATGGAAGCTCAACTTGGCCTACGGGGAGCGACTTAATGCAGCATGGTATATGATAGTGTTGCATGAAAAGCGGATCAAGGACAATGTTTCAGTGAAAGATTAAGAACCGAAATATATATGCCGGCATAGGTAGAGTTTGATGCAGTACTATCTATTGCTTTCTAATACTAAGTCTGTCGATAGCGACCCTGCTCTTGTATGCTGGCTTCTGGCCTCACGGCCTGCAACTGATTACGGAAGAGCAATGGGCGACGACATGGCTCAGGCCGCATTGGGGTCCTATAGAGTATACCTTATAACCGAGTAAATCAAAAGCTGGCTATGTCGTAAACTCGCCGAAAAGAACAACATCACGTCAATAGAAAATGACGTCGAAAGGCTTGCTTAACAAGAGTGCCCTCCTTCGAAACAGAACTGAACCGACTTCTCATCCCACTCATAGATTGTAGGGCAACAAGGACAGCATAACTAATGCTGGCTTTGCCCAACAATTTGATCCGAAGAAGAGTTGGGCAACAGCACCGGAGGAAGAGTCGCAATGGCAGAATCGTGGGTTTCGATCTGGGAGCTGTCATGGCCATTATTATGTTGCCTTGACGTCGAAGCGGAGGTTGCCACTGTTGAAGAGGGGGGGATAAATAGCTGAGCTTCCTCATCGAACCAGGTGGAATGGCGACGGGCTGGCTGGTGGCTTAGCGGTTCCAGCGGTGTGGAAGAAACAGTTTCTTTGGGGAGCTTGAAGAGGGAGATGCTGAAGGGGAGGGAGAAGTTGAGGCGGGTGCGGAAGAGAAAGGGGTTGCGGTTAGGGAGCTGGACAGGGACGTCTCTGTTGTGGATGGGGAGAGTGATGGCCGTGAGGGGCTGGTGAAGGGTTGAGGTTGCGGATTGCTGGATGGAGAGAGTGTTGCCTTTGGAGGATCTGCGAGTTGGTTTTGTTAGCACAGGTATGTCTTTTGTTTCTATTGGGGTCTACCGGTGGGATAAAGAGAGCTGGAACATACCTTGATGACGTCGTGAAGTTGCTCGAGCCGCCGTTGGAGGATGAGGCCATTGCTCTCGAGTCCGGGTTATACTCCTCATGAAGTCGCGGAAACAACTTCCCCAAGCCGACAGATAAAAGAACAACGCGATAGCAGTTCATCGCATCCTTTGTCATTCCAAAGAAGACAAAGATAGGAACGGCGGTGACAATTGGGATATAGCAGATGTTCATGTACGCCCACGAGATGTTGGTGCTAGGCAAGTAGACGACGGCGTTCCAGGGGATGTCTCCGGGCCCGTGGTTGTGGATGGCGTGGAAGTCAAAGGGCTGCAGGGGGTGGACGAGGATGATGTTGAGGACGGCCAGGGCGAGGACGATGGGCAGGAAGGGGGTGAGGATGGAGATGACCATGAGGTAGAGGCGGCGGCGGGCGCGCTGGCTGCGGGACTGGGCGAGGCGGTTGCCGGAGAGGGCGGACTGGGTTGTTTTTGTGACTTGGCGGAAGCGGATATATATGAGGACTGTGTGTGTGGGAGGAAGGGAGTGTGAAATTAGCGGATGAGACTTGTTGAAGCTTTTGACGGTTCTTTGGTGGTCGTGACGGGCTGTGTGTGATTGCATGTGTGATACTTTGGGTTAAGATTCTAGGAGTACTTACTTGCATAGCCAGCCGTTGCAAGAGAGATGAGTGCCGGCGGGAGAATCACAAAGACAATGAATGGCCAGGTAGGGGCGTTCAGCCAGGAACAGCCAATCAAGGTGCCAATGTAGTATCGCTGCTGTGTAAGAGGATACGTCCAGGCAACCTGCAGCAGCGGCTGCGGAAAGACAATGAGGGCCTGGACCAGGTTCCGACGGCGCCTCTCCCTGCGTGTAAGCGGGTTGGCCCTGAGGTTGCCGACCTGGAGGGCGAGGTTGCGCATGATGGCCAGCAGGCAGGTGGAATAGAGGCCGATGGACAGGTTGTGCACGTAGGGGTCGATGTCGCACAGGCCGTAGCCGGGCCACCAGGACTGCAGGTCGTCGTTGCGCCAGAGGAGGGAGTTGACGACGGTGCGCAGGTTCTGGACCTCGATGTTGAGGATGAAGAGGGCGGCGGCGAGCTCGCCGTTGCGGTAGAGGAGGCGCAGGGGCACGAGGCAGACGAGGTTGGCGAGGATGCTGAAGAGGACGCGGCAGATGAGGTTGGCTGTGAGGGAAGGGGTTGTGTAAGGGGGAGGAGTCGGGTCGCCGGCCCAGATGGAGGGGACGTCTCGGGAGACGTGCTGGAGGAGAGAGTCCATTTCAAAGGGGGGGGTTGGTATCGTGAGTTTGGGCTGGTGGTGTAGTACAAAGAAGAGATGATGGCGGTGATGCTCTGGAAAGATGTTTGTGTGATGCACAGGGAGAAGAAGAAAGACGTATAGCAACTGGGAACAAGGAGATGAAGAAGAAGAAGAAGAAGAAGAGCAGCTTTGCAAGAAGAAGTGAAGCTCAAGTCCAAAAAATAGGTATTACTGCTGGAGATGAGAAAAGGAAGCTTCACAGAATTGCCATCTATATAGTAGACAATAAACTCAATAAGAAGCAGGACTCAGAACTCGAGGCCGTCTTATTGGAAAAAAGCCCCTTCAATACAACAACAAAAAACAGCCCATCCTTTGCAGGAAGCAAAAAGTGAAGTAAGTCCAATCATCGACCCTGGCAGCTGGCCGGCCAAGATGAGACTATTGCCCGCCAGAGAAAGCAAACTGCAGCGGCAGCCTGCAAAGGGGGCATCTCCACGACCAGGTTTGAGATGCAGCTGCAATTGCAGGACCTGAAGCCATGGAGTCCTGATATCAGCTATGATTTCCCTGTTGTATGTCAGCGCAAATGCAGCAGCCAAGCCATTTGGGAGTACAAGCCTGCAAGAAACACACCAATCAACAGCCAAAAAGACTCGAAGAAAATGCAGAAAAAAAAAAGGGAAGAACAGTGATATTACAAAAATACATCTTGGTGATGCCGATAAGAGGAGAGCTGGAGCTGCATGAAGCATCGCGAGGGCGATCCACTCGCAGCTGGCAGGTTGTCCTTGGAAGTTTGCGTAGGTGCAGTTTATGTTTCCTGAGAGGCGTCTATTGACGGCCGCATTGAGCGTCTATTGACAACCGAATCGGGAAATGCCCGTGCGCGGGATCCCGCACCTTCAGCGGCTGCGGCTCCGGGATCTTGGTTGGAATTTGGACTCTGGCCGGCTGTGGCTTCAAGTGCCGGTACGGATTTGGACGGTTTGGGGGCATGGTGTGGCAATGGGTTTAGTGAGGCGACAAGGGTATGATGAGGCGAGGGAGGAGGCGAGGGATGAGGATGAGGATGAGGCTTGGTTTCTTGGTTGTTGTCGTTTCTATTGTGGTTGTGATACCAGCCTGTCTTGTGATATCGGAGGATTCTTGGCCGAGGAGGTCAGGGCGAGATTGAGGCGCGGCAGCGGGAGAGAATTCCGGTATGGGGGGTGACTCTAGGGGCTGGCTTGAGCCATGATGACCGGAAAGCTGTTGACTGATGCTCATCTTTACGTATCTTCACTATCCTGACCAATATCTGTCGTTAATATGTGGTGTTGTTGCAACACACGACATCCGGCTTACAACTGGCTTCGGTACTTGCCGAGTACCCGCCCGGTGCTGCTAAAATAGCAGATGATGCTAGTCACTTTTCGGTGACCTCGACCAACAACCCGGTCGTGAAGCTGTCTTGCCATGCTCGTCGATCGTCTCGCTTCCCTATAGCGATTCACCCCTTCAGACGCATATTGCCCGCATTAGCTCCATCTCCAGAGCCGGCCACCGGATAAATGTCCCGCCAACGAATCATAGCTCAGAGAGCTTGTGCGTGGGGCGCCCGCAAATGCTCCATCAGCTTTTGACGTCTGACCCCATTCACCAGCACCATCTCAAGCAGAAAGCAAGGGAGGGGACAAACGGAAAAATCAACACCAGACACAACACCACGAACGGCCCTTTTTCCCCCGACAAACAGCCTCTTCGTCAAGCTGCAAGCTTACGCTATCAACCTCTCATACAACAGCCGCATTCTCCCTCAAGCATGTCCTCCTTCCTGCTCCGACGCTCCGTCGCCGCCTCGGCGGGAGCTGCCCGCGCCTTCAGCACCAGCTCGCCTCGCTCCGTCGCCCGCATCACCATCGTCGGCAACCTGGCCGACACGCCCGAGGCCTCGGCCTCCCAGTCGTCGGACAAGGAATACATTAGGTACACGGTGGCGAGCAACAGCGGGAGCAAGGAGAACCGCCAGACGAGCTGGTTCCGCGTCACGAGCTTTGTGGATGGGCCGCGCAAGGACTTCCTGCTGAGCTTGCCCAAGGGGTATGTTGTCGCTGGCGAATGATTGGCCGTCTTGTTATTGCCAGGAGAGTGGAATTTTGCTGACGTTTGAATGGTGTGCTCCTATAGCACGCTGGTCTATGTCGAGGGTGATGCGTCCATCTCCTCTTACACGGATTCTAGCAACTCAGTCCGACACGGCCTCAACATTGTTCAGCGTAAGCGCCTCCTCTACCTCCAAAGCTCGATCTTCTTTTTTTTTTCTTTTCTTTTTGTACACGCACAACAGCTTGCTGACTTGGAGTAAACATGATACAGGCAGCATTGAGGTCCTGAAGCGCCCTTCGCTCCCTGAGCAGGGCGAGTAAACGAGCAGCCGACGCAAAAACTCGGGTCTGGCTCGAAAATTGGTGGGGATATGGAGGGGTGTTTTTGGCGAACCACGAGGCGGGTTGAACGATCTGCCATGTCACTCAATGTGTGATTCTATGTTATAGCGGACAAAACGAACTCTCGGCTCTTCTTCTCTTGTTTAGGTTTTATGCGACGTATGCTCTGAAGCCTTTGCTCTGGAGCATTCATATACCCCCCCAGTGTATGCTTTGTGATGATTGGTCTTGTTGGTGCTTTACTTTGCTTTATTGGTTTTTAAATCTATCGGAATTCTTAAACCAGACTGACGCTGTCCATGCAGCCGTACCCTGCAGCGACACCTCCCTCTTCGCTCTGGTCTCCTTTCGAACGCAGCAGGTAGCCCGCGCCCTCGTTGTGGAGAATCTCGCCTGTGCCTTGATTCCACAGGCAAGTGCCGTAAACGCCCAGCTCGCAAATGATGCCGCCTTCCTCCAGGTGGCCGTTGCGAAGGATAATGTTCGTAACGGGTGGCGGCACGATGAGCTCCATGAGGATGTACGCGCTCCAGTGGGACTCGGGCAGCGTCTTGAGGAACTGCGGGATGGCGCTGCGGTAGATGTTGTTGCCTCCGCCCTCGCGCTGCGGCTTGAGGACGTATGCCTTGCAGAGCTCGGGATCGAGCGCCTTCTTGCGCGCTTCGAGGCCGGCCTCGGAGGTGTCCATGGGGTAGATGTTGGTGAAGGTCTTCCAGAGCTCGGCTGCGGCGGGGGTCTCGTCGTTGATGAACTTGCCGAGGACGGAGGGCGCGGAGGAGGATCGGGGGGTGGCCAGTACTTGCTGGACCTTCTTCGTGCCGGCGAGCTGGGTGAGGATGCTGGGGCACTTGATCGCGTTGGACCGCTCTAGGTGATATCGGGCGTCCCAGGCCTTCTGATCGGGGTAGTCGTTGGTGTGGTAGCCGGAACGCATGTAGATGACGGCTACTTCAAAGATCTTGGACGGATCGCGGGGGAGGTGGTAGAGGAGCTGGCGTTTGGGTGTGTCGGCGAGGGTGGTGTGCTTGAAGATGTCTCCAATGGCCAGTCTAAAGACTGGTATCGTCGGTGAAGACTGGGTGACTTGGTATTCCAGGTGGCGCTGGTCAAAGATGTTGCGCTCGCCGCCCTGGACCAGGAAGATGACGCACTTGGCATGTCCTAGGTCGGACTTGGGATACGCGTGGAAAGCGGCTTGGATGCCGCCAGCAAGGCCGGAGATGCTTTGGTTGTCGGGGAGAGTGAGGGAGTTGGGTGGCAGGGCATTGTGGAGTAAGGGGTACTCGGTAGCTGCGAGGAATCTACGAACGGCACTTATGAGTTTCCTGTGTTTATCAACTCAAAGATGAGATGGCATTGGACTGACTTGTGTAGTTTTGAGGTGTAAGCTGAGAGGCCGCCGAAGGATGCGGCGATGGTGTTGAACTCAACCTGCTTGACCTGGACCGAGGGGGGTGAGGTTGACGTGTCCTGGTGAACCATGTAGTCTGACCTGAACAGGCCCAGGGATAAAGGCTAGATAAGAGTCACGGATGGTGAATAACATGTCCATAAGTTTGTGTGACATTGTGAGTTGCTCTCATATATACCTGTGTGTAGCCCTCAGCCTTGACTCTCAGGTGAACCTCCCACAAGTTGCGGATGAACTCGTCACCATCAATCACCCTGAACCAAACCAAAGTCAGCCCAGACGAATCCATGCATAAGAATTGAAGTCAGTCACCACTTACTCCTTGACGGTCTGCTCGAGAAATGCCTCGTCCCGGCTCACGGCCGCATAGAGCTCGTTGTAAGTCTGCTGCACGGCCTGGCCCTGGGCGAAACACTCCTTGGGGAACGGGCTGGGAAACAGCGTGACGGGGACGTTGATGGCCGTGATGCCGGCGGGATCCGTCTCAGCAGGGACGACTGCGGGAGGCGACCGCACGGCGAGGCCGTTGGCAATGGCCCAGTCCTTGACGACGTCGGCGAGAGCATCTTTTTCGGCCTCGTTGAGTGGTGGGGGGAATGCCCCGCTTGTGAGGGCGGCCATGGGGGTTGAGGGAGCGAGGCGAAGCTGCTGGGACTCGTTTTGTCGTCAAGGGGGTGAAAAAGACTTGTTGGTGACGTGGAAAGTCTGTAGGGTCTTGAGAATTGGCCAACAGTTGTAAAGAGAGGGCGGAGAAGAGGAGATTGCGAGTCGTGATGGGGTTTGTAAGGCGTTTATCAGCTTTGAGAGTGAGGGTAAGGTAGGTGTGTTAGTGCGTGATCCGCTTATTAATTCTCTTCAAGGTCGTCTTGTTACCTTGATAGTCTAACCGTCTTTTTTCTTCTGTCGCCGTGTTTATCATTCAAACCTTCTCGAATTCCACCGAGATCTAGACAAACAAAAATCTGGGCAAACATGAGTCCGGGCTTCTTCCACGGTCCAAGCAGCAGCAGCAGCAACAAAGAAAAACCGCCTTGTCTAGGCGCAGACCAACACCGTGCCCGCCTCCCAACAAGAAGCCCCGCGATCGTGGCCCTCGATCCGCCCTTTCATAGCAGCTAATCACACTGGATTGAAGCCCGATTAGACGCCAATCCCCTGCCAACCACGTTTTGTCTGAGACCCTCGCCGTTACAGTTAGCCGCCATCATGGCCGTTGCCGCTCAGGCGGTTCCGGCAAGTCTGTGGCTGAGAACTTCTCAGCCGGTACATGAACCTACCTACTAGGAGGTAGGTAGGTAGTTGTATCTTTTGCCTTGACGTGCGCTTAAGGCAATAGGTAGGAAACTTGACGATTTGCGTTATTACTGTGTAAGTACTAAGGTAGGCAAAGTAGGCAAATTCAGTTTGCACGTAAGACTGTGGAGAGAAGAGGAATGCAAGACAAACAGATAAAAGAGCAGTGACTGTACCTCGGACGCATTGCCTAGGTCTCCGATACTTGGCAGTTGCCACCAGAGCTAGTCTACAGACCTGTTGCCTCTTGTGCAGGCAGAGTTGAAGCAATCGCGGGTCACGTGAGGGCGTGCTGGTGAATCGCCAACTCTTCCATCGCCAGCCAACGACCAACGCGTCTCGAGTCTGCAGGAAACAGGCCGGACGAAAATAAAAAGAAAAGCAGCAGAAGGACGGCAAAATCTATCGGAGCACTCGGCCGGCGAGTCTGTGCATTTCGTGTGCAGCCTCGCTTCTTCTTCTTCCTTCTTCTCGCCCTTCGAGTTCCGGAGAGGCTCGTTCGCATTTGTTCTCTTGCGTTTCTCTGCTCTTGCATATTCAAATCTTTACGCAGGCCGTTTTGCAGCACGGTTTCCCTCCTCTCCAGGATTCAACTCTTTACCTCTCCTCCATCGGCGATTATCGTTTTCTCTACCTCTCATCATTCTCTCTCGCCTTGAATATTGGCCCTTTCTTGATACCCATTTGCAACTCTTTCGTCTCTCGTTACTCATGCACACCCCGTTTGCCGCTGCAGAAATCCGAGTGAGTGAACTTTTCATTTCTCCATCTCCCCGTCTCGCATCCTACGACAACCAGGAATCATTTCATCCAAGCACTTCCCTACCTTTCCGTGGTTGTCTTGCCCTTACTTTCGTTTTGGAAATGCAGTTACCTCGCCACAACGGTTTTCAGCCTTGCAGAGTTTGACTGGCTAACACATGGCAGTGGATTCATTCACGCCACCTCTGAGTGCGCACAATGCCCAGGGTGGCACAGCGGATCAAGATGACCCGTTCTTGTGGGACACTGAGACTCTCTCAAGGGAGCTCTGCTGCAAGGGCCGACCCTGGCTCAAGCATCCGGATGCTCTCGCCGCGAAGCTGGCCGAGGAAGAGATGGACGGTCGCACGCTGCTTACTTACGACTATCACTTCTCAAAGAAAGAACTGCTGGATGACCTCGGCATAACCACTGCGCGTGGCAAGGCAGGCCTGGCAGAGACCGTCCTCAACTTCCAGGCCAAAAGCAAAGCCTTTCGATCATGGAAGAAGAACATCCTCAGAGACCAGTCCCAGCTCGCATCCGACGATGACGAGAAGGACAAGGATATCAAACACGAGTCATCCCTTGCATCTGTTGCGCCCCAGTATCCGGGCTCAGTGCTGAAGCAAAGTGCCACCCGCAGTCCGGATCGCCACCTATTAGACAGGCCAGGTGAAGCACACCTAGACCCTCATCAGGCAGTTGCATCTGTCGACGGCGTCCCGTTCGAGTCCAATGGAGACTCTCTGATGCCTCTCGCAACCAGCGACACAGATTTCGATCAGAAAGCAGCAGCCTCTGTTAAAGGAACCACATCGCCCCCGCGCGGATCCGGTAGTGACCCAGCGGCTGCCCGAAGTGACGAAGAACGGACGGCTAAACGCAGGCGTCTGGCACCAACGAATCTTAGCACGAAGCCTCTGACTGGCTCGGATACTCGTGCTCTCAAGAGAACCGGTTTCCTGAACCTGGTGGATACAATCAAAGGTCGGAGCGACCGCGGTGGAACTGAGCACGCAGCTGTTCCTCCAGAATATGCCTATCTAGGTGATAAAGGTCGCCATCGGAGAGCCATTTTGTCTCATCTTGCCTCTTTCGATAGCCCTTGGTCAGACCTAGGCGGGGGTGACTTCTCGGTTCACCCTTGGGAGTATATCGTGCCTCCCGGGCAGAGGATTGTCACCAACAGCTTGATGAAACGGTATCTGCGTGGAGTCACACATTCTGATCGATCATCAACTACTTCTAAGGAAACTGACGATGTTCTCGATCTTGATGACCTGCCGGATTCTGTGGACGAAGAGACGCAGCGGGAAATTGACGAGGAAAAGGCAGAGCTGGCTGCAATGGAGCAGGAACTTGCCCGCAATCTGCCCATCGAGCGCGTGGAAGCCGTTCTGAAGGACGAAATGGCCCTCATGAAAACCAAGTGGATCGAAACTAAACTGCCCAAGCACCAACGCAAAGCCTATCAGGTCTGGACGGCTGCCAAGAGAAACCAGAAGACGAATAAACAACAGATATTCAGAGCCCGAAGAGACGCTGAGCATTTCGACAAGCATGTGAAAAAGCTTTATGCCGAGATCATCACCAACACTTGGCAATCAGAACGCGAACTCCGGACGCAAGCCTGCATCATGGAACAGACCTTGAGCAACAAATTCTATAGCACATGGCTGATTGAGCTTCTCGAACAACGGCATGCCCCTCCAAAGCCGTCGGACCTGCCGAAGCCAAAGGCCAAGCGACCAGCTCCAAAGTTACCTCGGCACCCTTTCGGTGACGAGATCTTGACTAGCTCCGACGAAGAAGACTTCATTGTGCCTGATGACGATGGCGACAGCGACGATGTGATCATGCTTGACGATGGAGAGGTTCCTCAAGGCGTTTTTGGCTCCCCGATGCTGCGCCATACTCGTGTCCCAAGTCAAGGACCGTCTGACGCTGAATCTTGCATGAAACTCGACCTCTCGGGCCTAGAGTCACCAGATCAGCTCCGGGATAGCAAGGACACAGCGGTGTATATCGATCTGATCTCCCCTATCAAGCCCGCGGATGACGGGGCTCCTGACTTCAAGGCAACTGAACCGGTGTCATCATCATCATCTGATGTATTTGGAGTGGTGCCACCCATGGATCAGCTGGGGAGCCTGGAAATGATTGGTCAACATCCTCCACAGCACTGGGCGAGGCAAAAGGACCGTTGGAGACTTCTTCTGTGTCTGCTATGGAAACTGCCACAGACTCGTCGCGGATGGGCCCTTCGATTCATGCAGGACAAGACGTCGAGCGATGCCTGGCAGGCTTCAGTACGGCTATACCAGAGGATTCCCTTTGCGCAAGAACTGGACATTGGGAGAGAAGAAAGAGAGACTGTTGCATTTGACATCACAAAGCTCTTCCTGAGCTGCATACAGTGCCGCCAGTACACAGACGTCCGAGTCATGGTGCTGGACAAGAGGGATAACAATAGGATTAAGCGTTCAGAGTCCTTCTTTCCGACTTTCCATGCTTTCATCAGAGAATGGGCGCCTCGATTCCCTAAAAGCAGCCAAATATTCAGGACAGACGCCTTTGATGACGAACTGGGGGTGGATGAGTCTGAAGATAGTCAGCTTAGCTCGACCGAATCCCCCTCCAAGCTGCGCAAGCACGCCGCTCGAGAGATTGTGCAGGACAAGGAAGGAGTTGACCTTCGAGAGCGGGAGAAGAGGCGTGCTCAGGAATTGGAGGCTCGGCGGGTGAAGCTGCGGGCTGCCCTAGCGACCTCGAACGCCATTTCCTCGGATAAGTCTCGACTGATCATCAACGAAACCAAGCAGGATGGACAGTCATTCATCTATGTGAATGAAGAGATTGGAAAACGCATAAAGGACCATCAAATCAATGGCGTCCGGTTTCTATGGAATCAGATCATTGTCGATGCAGAGACGCGTCAGGGCTGTCTGCTTGCTCACACGATGGGCTTAGGAAAGACAATGCAAGTCATCACCTTCCTCGTGGCGGTGCTGGAGGCTGCAAACTCCCACGACGAATCCATACGAGCCCAGATACCGAAGGACCTGAGAAAGTCCCAGACAGTCATCCTTTGTCCGGCCGGTTTGGTTGACAATTGGCTCGACGAGATATTGATGTGGTCGCCTAGAGGCCTTCTCGGCAATGTGGTCAAATATGAGTCGGCTCTGAAAGGGGACGCAATACGCCTGGCCGTCATCAAGGACTGGGAGCGGAATGGCGGTGTTCTAGTCCTGGGGCATACGATGTTCTGGAACTTGGATACGAATGTGCGGCAGATATTGACGGGGGCAGCCAACCTTGTCATCTGCGACGAGGCCCATGCAATGAAGAGCGCCGAATCGCTACTTCATCGAGCCTGCCAAGAGTTTCGCACTAGAAGTCGAATCGCCCTGACTGGCTCCCCGCTCTCGAACAATGTCCAGGAGTACTACTCGATGATCAATTGGGTGGCGCCAAACTTCCTCGGCCCTATCCAGGAATTTCGTGACATCTACGCGACGCCTATCGAGCACGGGCTGTGGAAGGACAGCTCTGGGTATGATAAGCGGAGGGCTCTAAAGCTGCTGGAGGTACTGAAGATGAACGTTGCACCGAAAGTGCAGCGAGCCACCACCCAGGTTGTCAGACACGAGCTGCCCGCCAAGTATGAATTTGTCATCTTTGTCGAGGCAACTCCCCTCCAGAAGCGGCTTTACGACATTTACCTGAATGAGATGGCCTCGACTCTGGAGAATGCCAAGTCAAAAAAGGTAATGAGAGTGATTGGCGCTTCCCAACACCTCGCGCTCATCTGCAACCACCCGCGTTGCTTTAGGCAGAAGGTGGTGGAAGCGTCAAGAGCCTCAGCAGCGCCACAGCCGCGAGGTAGGGGTAGGAAGGACGACGACGAAGACGGCGCGTCGGTTGCCGCGGCAGCTTTTCCCCAGAGCATGATCTCGGCTGTTCTTAAGGAGACGATAGGGGACATTGCCAATCCTACTCTATCGCGAAAGGTCGAGCTTCTCCTGATGATTTTGGACGAAGCACGTGCCGTGAAAGACAAGGTCCTTGTGTTTAGCCACTCGATACTTACCTTAGACTATCTAGGAGAGCTTTTCAAGCAGCAGGGGCGCGCCGTGTGCCGCCTGGACGGTTCAACGGCCGTCGCCAAACGGCAAGAACAGATCAAAGCCTTCAATACCGGCGATTCGGAGATTTATCTCATCTCGACAAGGGCCGGCGGCGTGGGCCTCAACATCTACGGAGCCAATCGCGTCGTCATCTTTGATTTCAGGTGGAATCCGGTATCCGAGCAACAAGCGGTAGGACGAGCTTATCGGTTTGGGCAGGAAAAGACGGTTTACGTCTATCAGTTTGTGACTTCAGGTGCCTTTGAAGAGCAGCTGCAAAACAAGAATGTCTTCAAAATGCAGCTGGCTTCGCGCGTCGTGGACAAGAAGAACCCTGCCATCTTCGCCAGCAAAATCAATGGGCTGCTTCGCCCCATAAGAACAAAGCCGGCCAAGGACCTGAGTCCCTTTGCACACCGGGACAGGATACTAGACAAGCTCATTGAATATGCGCAGCCCCACGGCTTCATCAGGGAAATCATCTCAACAGATACCTTTGAAGAGGAAGATCCGACAAACGAGCTGACAGCCGAGGAACGGAAAGATGCCCAGATACTGCACGATATGGAGAGGCTTAAAAACACTGATCCAGTGAAATATAGGCAGATGCGGGAGCAAAGGGAATGGAACGAACGGATCCGGGCCATGGCCGAGGTTAGCAGATATACTACTAGTACGACCTCTTCGAGTACTTCAAGGGCCATGCAGCAACAACAGCCGTACATACCATCGTCAAGTGCGCCAGCCACTGTCGTTCCAAGCAATGGTTATGCCCATCCCGTGGCACCGAATATGGTCGTTCCGAGCAATGGGGATTCTCGTCCCAGTGCGACGCTACCAAGCACACAGCCGCTGGCACAAACACAGCCAGCCGCTGCCGTGCCATCTGGCTCCCAGGTTAGTAACGTGAGATGCTCTGACGATGAGTCTGTTACTGAGACCTCCCCCCATCAAGCAGCAGGGCACTCCGCAGTTCCCATCTTCAGCCCCGATGCCTATAGCGGGAGCAAACACCTATATCCTGAAGTCTAATGATTGTGTCTTCCAACCGCCGGCAACGCCTGCGAGTATGCAATCAAGGCCAGCAGTACCCACATGGACCTCTGGGCCGCCGATTTCTAGTCAGCCAAACCCTGGACAGTCATATCAAGGACAGCCAATTCCTGGTCTCTCGAGCGCTGGACAGCCCACCTCTGGACACACAACTGCCGGACAGACCACCCCCAGACAGCAAACTCCTAGATCCGAGACTGAGGCGACACTGACTGGCGCGAGTCTTGTTACGTCGCCTAGCGGGAGACCGTCAATCTTCAGTCAACCACGGAGTCAAGCTAAGGACGAGTTCCAGATTGAACTGGCCAAATTGATCGCAGCCCAACCAGTCTTTGCGGGTGATCACCAGGGACTGGCAGAACAGGTCACGGCGGAGATTGCCATGGCCCAGAGGAGACAAGCCATGGGGTTTCTCCCAGACAATGCTCGATGGCGCTTGCTGCTCAGCCATATACAGAAGCATCCGCGGTTTGTGCTTGCGATACTGTTGCGCAACTGCACGCCCGACTACCTGGTCTCAGCGCCAGACGATGAGTTGGAAGCGAGAATTGCCGTTATGAACGACGAGTCGGAGGTCAGTTTTTCGCGCCGGCTGGAGCGGTGCGCTACGCAGCCCGACCCAAGCGTATGTTGATTGCCACCTGTCCTCTACCCGCCATGCTTCTCACCATTCATTCTCCTTTTGACGACGGCCGCATCCAGAACTCCTCTTGACTTCTCTCATCTGTACAGGCAAGATCCGTGCTAATGTTAGCAGAACTTGGACAACATCAATAGGCCGCTGCTTGAGTCCTCAGCCCGAGCTAGCGAAGACGTGCAAGTGATGCGGCGGGCAGCGGAGAAGAGGACGAAACGCCGGTTTCGGCTACCAGCTTGGGGATACGATGCCCTTTCTAAGCTCGACGGCCCAAATCCGAATTCAACAAATCCATGAGAGAAGAAGAGTAATGGCTTGACGACGAGGGAGACTATGAGGAAGATGAAGCGGCTTCATGCTGGCGTTTGCGGCACGGGTGCGGCACGGTGCGGCGTTTGGGCGGCGAAAACTTTTTGCTGGAACAAGGGCGTCTGTTGTTTTCTTCATTTTGACTCTTGTTCTTTTTTTTCGTCTACGTCGGCGCTCGAGGGCGGATGCAAGCAAGATAGATACCCACTGCAGCGTAACGGGGAGTGTGCACGGCCAGGTTGCGGGTGCTGCTTCATATTGCGGCTCGGCTCGTTTCCTATGATATGGGAGGACAATGCGATTTCGCGAGAAGTTTTTTACGAGGTACTGGACGGCATAGGGAGGAGTTTGGGAATATCTCGTCCGTCATTTTTTGGTTCTTTCAAAGGCACGATATCAACAAGACGTAGATAGATGCATGGCGTATAAAGATGCGAAATTTGCTTGATGGGTAACCGAGGCTTCTTGGCGGGATACATGGGGTCCAGAATGGCTAGTCGTACGAAGAAGAATCAGGCCATGAGTGAAGAAACGAGTCATCGTCCATGGTGCTAATTGAGCATTTTGTTCTTTGATACAACAGACATGCTTGACAATGCAGAATTCATAGGTACTATCTATCCAGCAGTAGATTTGGGACAGCAGTGAGCAATTGCAGCCTAGGTCGACGGGTTGGCCGGCGCTGTTGCGAAGAAATAATGGAGACTGAAATGAGAGAGCTCAACTTGTCCCGAGGCTAGACAATGACAAAGAGTCGCACGGCCCTATGTAACTGTACAGTACAGAATGTATTGGTAGTGAGAACCGACGATCCGAGGCGCCAGGGCAGGTATGGGGGAAGAAGAAGGGCAGCCAATGGGGCGAGGAGGAATTGTAAGACGAGTTACCTAGTAGTATCCGAGAGACGCCGAAGAGTGTTGATTGGGGCAGGGGTTGTGAGAGTGTGAGGTGAATTACGTGCATACATGTCACATGTGGGGAAGATTGGTAGAAGTTGAAAGGGTTGAATTGTAGGTAGTTTGAGTGGTGATGATGGTGTGTGTGTGTATGCGTGCGATATTAGTTGTCTGAGTGTAGAGGCAGTTGTTTAAGGGTCTTGGTTAGAGGGCTTTTGGTTAGGTAGGTGAAGGTTCAGGGGATGTATGTACGATGTAGGTATGTAATTCAGAGCATCACGGTTGAGGGATGAAGTTGTTGATGCGTATTGTGGCGTATCCGGAATCAGCTGAAAGGGTCCTAGCGCTTGGTACAGTACAATATAGATATTCTAGGTATTCGGGATCTTTTGGCAAGGGTTATCATATTCTTAATGCACTTGATTGAGAATTGCTCAGGGTCTTTTTCAGGAAGAAGGCGTAGAATAGCAGTCGACGGGCCGCGGAGGTTGAGTCTTGTTGTCCGTAAATAGGTAGGTAACAGCGGTAGGTAGGTAATGCAGTAATAGACGGCAGCTGAGTGGATGGAAATTTGGCGGTTTTTTTGGCAGCTCCCGGCATTCGGGAAGTTTTGGGTCAGGGTTGCTGTAGGTGCTTAATTGGGTGGGGGGCGCTATTGGCGGGCTGAGACACTTTCAAGGTTGTTGACGGGAAGTTGTCAGCGTCTAGGTTTTGGTTGTTTTCAGCGCTGACCCCCCCCCCCCCGAGTTGTCTTTGTGTGTGTGTCAGCATTGTAGGTACTGTGCATTGCGCTGATTATTTGGTGGTTACTATCATTTTGCGTGAATTCGAGTGCTGTTGGAGGCTCAATTGTGTCGATCCGTGCACTCTACTTTGACAGAGGCTGTGCAACGTGCCGTAAACTGTGTACCTACACTGTAACTACCTACTAGTATATGTGCTAGGTACGCAATTATAGTGATGGGAGGTGCAGCACAGATCTGGAAAAGTCGGGGGGGCCTGTGTGTGGGTGTGGCGGAATCCGATCCTCCGCCCATCGTCTTACCAGAAAAAAGTGACTAAACACCAACGGTCTTATTTTTCTTACTCACCACCAATTCTCTCCTCTTAACTCTCCCCATTTCTTCTCTTCCTCCATTCTTCTCTTCAACTGCTGCCACGCTCACCCGCAACATTGGCCCACGAATCAGCACAGAACCCTACCGTCACCCACTGCTGAACCCCCCCTGCTGCAACGCCGTTCGCCGCCATGGACAGCGTCCTGCGTCAATCCAAGGCCATGTGCCCGTTCCTCAAGTCGGCCTCGCCCGCGACTCTGCGTGCCATGTCGACGGCTGCCCGTCCCAAGGCCTCTCTGCCTGCGGCTGGCGCTGCTGCCGCGTCCCCTTGCGGCGGCACCATGTCCAAGCTGCAGCTGTATGCCCACCGCTGCCCCGTCATGGGCAAGGCCATGGCCGTGCAGTCGTCCAAGTACGGCGCCGCCGCCGGCATCCGCGCCTTTTCGGCGCACAGCAAGACGGGCAAGGCGAGGCTGCACACCAGCCGCAACCAGGAGGCTCGAGCCGTCGAGAGCCCGCTTCTCGAGGGCCGCAAGGCTGGTGCGTTTCTGCCCTTGGCCGGCAATCGTCGTCTTCATACTGACGTCTCGTCCACTGCAGCCCCCCCTCCTCCTCCCGGCGTGACGACTGCTGCTGCCCGCAAGGATGCGCCGCCAGTCTCCGCCGTTCCGTCCCCCTTCAGCGCGTCCGGAAAGTTCTCGTACGAGGACTTTTACGAGTCCCAGCTGGAGAAGAAGCGTCAGGACAAGTCCTATCGCTACTTCAACAACATCAACCGCCTGGCCAAGGAGTTCCCCGTCGCCCACATGGCCAAGAACGAGGACAAGGTGACGGTCTGGTGCGCCAACGACTATCTGGGCATGGGCGGCAACCAGCACGTGCTCAACACCATGCATGAGGCCCTGGAGAAGTACGGCGCCGGCGCCGGCGGCACCAGAAACATCTCCGGACACAACAAGCACGCCGTCGAGCTCGAGGCCACGCTGGCCAAGCTGCACGCCACCGAGTCGGCCCTCGTCTTCAGCTCCTGCTACGTGGCCAACGATGCTACCCTGGCCACCCTGGGCAGCAAGCTCCCGGACTGTGTCATCTTGTCCGACAGCCTCAACCACGCCTCCATGATCCAGGGCATCCGCCATTCCGGGACCAAAAAGATTGTCTTCAAGCACAACGACGTCGCCGACCTCGAGGCCAAGCTGGCGTCACTCCCTCTGCACGTCCCCAAGATCATTGCGTTCGAGTCTGTCTACAGCATGTGCGGCTCCATTGGCCCCATTGAGGAGATTTGCAACCTGGCGGAAAAGTACGGCGCCCTGACCTTTTTGGACGAGGTGCACGCCGTGGGCATGTACGGCCCGACCGGCGCTGGTGTTGCCGAGCACCTCGACTGGGAGGCCCATGCCAGCGGCAAGCCGCGCGGCACCATCATGGACCGCATCGACATCTTCACCGGCACGTTGGCCAAGGCCTACGGCTGCGTTGGCGGCTACATTGCCGGCAGTGCCAAGTTTGTCGACATGATTCGATCGCTCGCCCCTGGTTTCATCTTCACCTCGACCCTGCCGCCGGCAACCATGGCCGGTGCCAAGGCGTCCATCGAGTATCAGATGGCTTACGATGGCGACCGTCGCCTGCAGCAGCTCTACACCCGCGCCGTCAAGGAGGAGCTCAACGCCCGCGACATCCCCGTCATTCCGAACCCTTCCCACATTGTGCCCATCCTGGTCGGCAACGCTGCCTTGGCCAAGGAGGCGTCTGACCTACTCCTCCACGACTACAAGATCTATGTCCAGGCTATCAACTATCCCACCGTCCCCATTGGCCAGGAGCGTCTCCGTGTCACTCCCACCCCCGGCCACACCAAGGAGCTTCGCGAGAAGCTGGTGACTGCGCTTGATGAGATCTGGACCCGTCTCGACATCAAGCGCACTTCGCAGTGGGCTGCCGAGGGAGGCTTCATCGGCGTTGGCGTCGAGGGCAACGTCCCAGAACCCTTGTGGACCGACAAGCTGCTCGGCATTGAGCAGGCTGCCAAGGAGGTCAAGGCCGCCGGTGTTCCTGAGAACGGAATCACCGAGGCTTTGCTTGCCCGCGAGGGACTCAACAACAGCCGCGTGATGGACGTCTCGGCTTAGAACCCCGAGCGCCGTTGTGTCATGCCCGCGGCTTTGCCTTGAGCCAGCCGCCAATCAAGTTACTTTCTCTCCAGATCCCTTTTGATGACTACTTTTTTCCCCTGTCTGTTTATTCGCAAGTCTCTCCTGCTATAGCTAAAGCTGTGGACTGATGAGATGACGCATACAATACAAGCATATGCTGTTGGTGTCTTGTAAGACGCCCCTTATACCTTGGCTGTGTTCCTCTGAATTGTGTCGCGTGCCTCTATATCGTAGCCCTGTGTCTCTTTGAAGTGACAAAGTGACATGCTCGTACAGTATTAGTAGTACCACGGAAAATTGCCCCCCCTTTGGCTGTTGTGGCTGTTTGGATCGAAATGACAGATTAATTCTTTTCTCTCCGAACGCCAATCAAATGCTCGCTATTGGGAAGCGCCAAGCCCATCAGCCACAAGCATGTCTTGTATACCCGTCACTGGTGCCGTCATTGTTCGTCTTTGGTGCCTTCTTCCTTCTGTCTCGTCTCGTCTCGTCATTGTTCCGGTTGGTTGACGGAATGCTTACATAAGGTACATAGGCACTCCCAACTGTCTCAACTCAGCCTGGTCTCACGGAGCCGGAAAAACATTTCGGCATCTCACCGGGAGCCGCAGCAGCAGCTTCTGTTTCCAGACGCCTTCCCAGAGCGGATGACCGGCGCAATTCCAACGCCGACTCTCCGTTTCCTGGGCGAGCAAAGCCTCACTGCCGGCCGTCCTCAGACGAGTACACAAAGAGCGTCCACCATCAGCTGCCGAACCATGAGCTCCCCTGATTCTCTCTCTTGTCTTCTTTCCTTGTTCCTGTCAGTGCCTAATGGATGAGTGCGAGTCACTGCTTGGATCAAGTGGTGGCTGATTCCTCATTATATCATATTACATTTATAAATCCATTATTTACTTGACGGCCTCGGTCAGCTCTTCCTTTACTATCAATCTATCTTACACTCGGCGATATCAGCCAGCTTCGGGGCAACTTACGGAGCAACCGACGGAGCTATTTGACATCTTACCGACCGTTCCCCATATCTACTACAGCTCCGTATCTGACTGGAACCAACTGTCCGAGACGGTGTTGTTGTCCGGTGTAAATCACAACATCACCCGATCTTGGGCCCGAGCCTCGGCATCTCCTATCTGCTACTAGGGGGAGGGTGGCAGCACTCAAAGCTCCGACTTCAACACCAAACCGTCCGGGCCATGGAGCCCACAAATAAGGGTCCCAAGGCTTGCACGACGTGTGCAAAGGCTAAGGCGAGGTGCATACCTGCCCGGGACAGGGACAGCAAGTGCCAGAGGTACGTTAATTTATATCAGTGTTTCATCTGTTCTTTTGTCTTGTCATGGGTGTGTGTGTGTGCGTGTGTGTGTTGCTCCATTATATTATGTATCCTTTGGAGTTTTGTATTCCTCCGCAGCCCGATCCTGGGATGGGACATACGTGGGGGAGGAAGAGGAGGAGCAGCAAGTCAGTGAGCTTGTGTATCACTTCTCGGAGGGATGATGATCGGGAGCGGAGGCTGAATATGGCTGTCACTGCCGCTGCCGCTGCCGCTCCGGCGAGTTTTTTCTTCCCTCTGTGTGTTCTACAGGACCATGACTTGCCTTTTCCTCCCTCCTCTTCGTCCCATCTATTAGTGTGGCTGCTTATATCACTTGCGGAGACTATTGTCACTTGCATACGATGACATACTGACGTGCTTCCCCGTGTTGTCTTGGTTTCTCAGGTGCCAGAGACTTAACAAGGAATGCGTCTCGCAGCGGCCCGCCCCGCCCCGGCCCAAGAAGGCGCCCAAGAGGTCCAGGGTCGCCGAGCTGGAGAAGCGGCTGGACGAGCTGTCGTCGCAGTTTGCCGAAGGCGGCGTCGTTGCCGCGCTGCATTCAGGGGCCAGGCCGTCTACAATAGCAGCAGCAGCAGCATCAACAGCATCGTCAACAACGACCAATGAGCAGCGGTCAGTCCCTGAGCGCCTCGGACAGCAGCAGCAACAGCAACAGCAGCAACGAAAGAGGAAAAAGTGCGACAGTGTAGTCACCTTTGAGTACCTCTTCCCGTCCCCCCGGTCAGAAAGCGCCGAGGCATCGGGGTGGAGCTCCGAGGCCGGATGCAACGACTGCGTCCCTGGTAGTGGCAGTGGCAGTGGGGGAGCGCCATCATCGTCGTCGCCGTCGTCGTCGTCGTTGGTCGACCAGCTGTGGCCCGCCGCCCCCGAGGCCGAGGCGCTGCTGCTCCAGTACCACGAAACGCACGCGCCCCTGACGCCGTTTGTGGTCATCCCGCGGCATCTGACGGCGGCGGAGCTGCGGCGGCAGAGGCCGTTCCTGTGGCGCGTCGTGATGATGGTGAGCTGCTTCTTTGACGGGCCGAGGCAGCACCGGCTGGGGAAGGAGGTGTTGGCCGAGTTTGCGACGACGGCGGTGCTGGATGGGAACAAGGGCTTGGAGATGCTGCAGGGGCTGTTGCTGATGATTGGCTGGTGAGTTTCTTCTCTTTTCCTCGCACTCGGGTATTAACGATGACGATGGTGATGATGGTGATGATGATGATGATGGTGATGATGATGATGATGCTAATGTGTGTGCCTATGCTTACAGGATGAACTTTTCCTTGAGGAGTGCGCAGTTGACCAACCTAGTCTATCTTGCACGGTCCATGACTGTCAGTGCCAGTAGCCCAGGACTCCCCTGTGGCGCCGACAGCAAGGTGACGGAGGCGAAATGGGGCGAGCTCGAGTATGTTCGAGCATACCTGGGCACGTACTATGTCAACGCCATGTAAGTGAGCACATCAATCTGCCATGATCAAGTTCTTTCATGCTGATTGATGCCATGCGCAAAAGCGTCTTCAACACGAATAAAAAGGCAGATGCCTTTATGAACACTTCCCAACTGGATGCCTTTTGTAACCTCCTGTCCTCGCCGGGAGAATATCCTTCGGACATTTACCTAGTCAAGCTCGTCAGGATCCAGATGCTGTCACAGTCGATATCCATGGCCATGACGTTTGATCCTGCGCAGCCGCCGCCGATGCAGCTGCCGTTGACAATGGTGGTGCAGGACTTTCAGCAGCAGATTGAGGCCTATAGGGCGTCTTTGCCGCCTCATCTGGCCGACAATGGTGAGTTATACTCCTCTATGAGGCGATCTCACTCCCAAGATGGTGTCGAGAAAGCACCGCTAATACATCACAGGAACCCTCCAGTGTCACATCGCCATATCCCAGATCCTCCTCGCCGACATCTCCATCTCCGACGCCCACTGCTCCGCCCTCGCCATCTCCCACCAAGACCGCATCCAGCTCCTCTGGTCCTGCCTGCGCTCCCTGCGCCGCTACTACACCGTCCACGGCGCCATCAAGTGCGACCAGGTCCAGGACACCGAGCAGCGCCACTTCCTCGGCCTCACCGCCCTCGACCTCGCCTATGCCATCGTCACCGGCATCAAGATGCTGCTCGTCCGAGTTCCCGGCTGGGACCCCCAGTCCATCGTCTCCGAGCTGGGCATCCGCGAAATGGTCGACGAGGAGATCCAGGCCGTTGCCGCCGTCGTGGCGCGGAGGCAGAGCGGCCGCTGGGAGGAGGAGGATCCGCTGGGCAGGATGCACAAGCTGCTGCAGTACGGGCGGGATCTGATTGACCTGCAGCTGCAGAAGCTCAGGATGGAGGAGGGCGTGGGGAGCGGCGGCGCGGATGCGGCGAGCGCGGCGACGCCCGCCGTGGCTGCGAGCAAGGAGGGCGGGCAGGGGTGGATGATGATGGGGATGGAGGACTTGGACGATGATCTGTGGCAGAGCTTCATGAATGAGACGGCGTGGAGCTTGAGCGGGGAGCCGATGATGACGGATGCGTTTGCTGATGTTGCCGTGTAAGATGTCTGGCCTACACAGGTGGACAGTTCAGATTGGATGCGATGGTGGTGTTTACGGCGTTTGGATCAGTCAGACATGGGGGGTTTGGGTCATTGGCGTTATTGTATTATGGAAGAGCATGGGTCACGGTACAATGAGAGTCAACTCTCTTCTCATGGTTATTTTCTCTCCAATCAACCACTTGCTCCCCCTTTTCCAAGTCTAACTCAACCCATCCAAGCTGTTCATAGTTCATTATCCATTACTCCTCCTCCACCTCAACGGCCTCGACCTTGGCCCCCGCCAACCACTTCACATCCCCCCTTACAGTCTCCTCCCTCAGCGCACTCAACTCGTCCAAGAACGCAGGCACAAACGTCCCCGGGCCCCTAACATCATCCCTCACACCCGCCCTCTCCGCCGCAATCTCAAACATGACCAACCCCGCCACAGCAGCCACCAACGGACTCTTCTTGCCCCTAAACGCAGCGACCATGGCGCTCAGCGTCGTCCCAAGGGTACATCCCGTGCCCGTGACCCTCCCGAGGTACTCATGCCCGTTGTCAATCCTCAGGGTCCGCACCCCGTCGCTGACGATGTCGGTTTTGCCGGTGAGGACGACGACGGCGCCGCCGCCGGTGGAGCGGGAGACGGATTTCGCGAGCGCGGCGCGTTGCGGGATGGAGAGCGTGGAGGAGGAGTCGACGCCGCGTTGGACGATGGCGGAGGATGTGTTGCTTATGGTGTGGATTTCGCGCTCGTTGCCTTTGATGATTGTGAATTTGCCGGAGGAGAGGAGCGTTTGGACGGCGGAGCGGCGGATGGATGTTGCGCCTGCGCTGGAGGATGGGAAAAGACAGTTTATTAGCATAGTATACATATGTATATATATATATATATATATATTACACTCCAATGAAAAACGAGGGTTTTAGGCATGAGAGTAATCAGGGGGGTTTTTCAGGGGGGGGGGGTTAGACGTACCCAACGGGATCGAGCACGACGGGTCCGCCAGCGGCATTGTACGCCTGGATGGCCTGGATGTGGTTCTTCAAGCCGTCGGGCGTCACCGTGCCCATGTTGATGACGAGAGCGCCGCCCAGCTTGGCCAGGTCGGCGGCTTCTTCGGCGTAGTTTGCCATGATGGGGCTGGCTCCGACAGCAAGGGCGACATTCGCCGCAAAGTTTTGCACGACCTATATTCATTCACCACTCAGGATCAGAAAAAAAAAAACAGAGATCAACCATCATTTAAGAAAGGAAAACAAACAAGTCAAAGGGTAAAAGCGCACCAAGTTCGTCATGTTATGCGAAAGCGGCGTCGCCTCCGCCACAGCCCTCAGCACGTCGGGCACCCGTCCCGTGACGACCTTGGCCAGCAGGTCGCGCGCCGCAGCGGCCGGGTCGTCGGCGGCGACGAGGGCGCTGACGACGGCGATGCCGTCGAGGCTCTTCTGGGGCGCGGCGCTGGATTCGAGGAGCACGGCGGTGGCGTTGCGGGCGTTGATGCCGCCTATGCAGACGGTGGGGATGGAGGCGTGGCCGGCAGAGGAGAGGGCTTGGAGGATGGAGCGGATGCCGGAGGGGCCGATGATGGATTTTGTGTCTTTTTTGCTGTTTTTTTTTCTTTGTATTAGTAGATGTACTTGACGATGGTTTGTGTGTGTGTGTGTGTGTGTGTGTGAGTGTGTCAAAGGGGTTAAGGGGAGAAGTACGTTGGAGTTGCGTAGACGGTGCCGAGGCCGAGATAGTCGGCGCCGGCTTTGCATGCGGCGAGGGCTTCGTCGACGGAGCTTGCTGTGACGCCGATGATTTTGTCGGGGCCGAGCAGTTTGCGGGCTTCTTCGTATGCTGTGTGTTGTATCATCGTCAGCCTTTGCTGTCACACACACAATCTCACATCTCATCTCACGTCCACTTCTCTTTCTCTCAACACAACCACAACTGCAGTTTTCTCAAAGAAACCCAGCCAAACAAATTCATTCTCATTCACATCATCGATAGTATTACTGTATCGGCATGACCAGAAAAGAAAGAAAAAAAAAAAAACTCACCCATGTCATCCTGTCCGATATGCACCCCCTCACAGCCAACCTCAACCGCAACGTCCACCCGGTCATTCACCAGCAGCGGCACCCCAAACCGCCTCGTCACCTCGAGCAGCTTCCTCGCCGTCTGCACGGCCGTCTGCCTGTCGCTGTGCTTGTCGCGGTACTGCACGATCGAGACGCCGCCTCGCACGGCGGCCTCGACGACGCGGACGAGGTCTTTGGTGCCGAGGATGGCTGGGGTCGAGTCGGTGACGAGGTAGACGCTGTAGTCTACCTTTGATTTGTCCATCTTTTCTGCAGTATGTTGCTTTTTGTTTGTTTTGTAGAAGGGTGAGAGTTGCGATGGGAGAGGTTTGATATGAGGAGGGTTTGATGAGATGGTGGTTTGAGTGAAAATGTGGATAGTGATAGTATCTAAAAGCGTGGTTTGGATACCCTGGAGCGGCTATGGTCGGGTCCGATTTGGTGAGCTCTTATGACGCCATTGTTGAAATGCCTCAAGACTAATGTTTTTTTTTTTTTTTTTTTTTTTTTTTCTTAAAGAAGGACTGTGAAACATCAAGTGAATTCATACTCGGCATGTATGAGAATATGAGCTTTCAATTAGTGTGTTGCAGTTGATGATTTCGGGTTCTTTGTCCCAGCTGTAAAACTCAGTTGTCCAACATCCCTCGCCTACTAACATCTTGACTATAATTACCCCTATGGAACATCATCACTCACTGCGTCACCAGACTCAACTCAACGAGTCGCATATTCTCCATCAATCTTTCCCTCACTTGTGAACATCGAGATTGTCCAAATTCATCTCTATATTGCGCCAATGCTTCAGATCTGATATACAATCTAAGCAGTAAACAACAGCACCACTACTATATACCCCTGTCAAACAGCAGTGACAGCTCTCATCTTTTCCATCCTCACAGCCAATCCCTACAAAGTCATTCATTACACACACTTTTCTCATCGCATTACTGCAGCATGGCATCCAGGCTCTCGCCCAGCACGCCCTCAATCTTGACAATCCACCTGTGCGTCTCCCGCTCAACCACCTCATCATCGTCTTCCTGCAGCTCGCTAATCCGGGGCAGCATCTCGTGCAGCATCGACAGCCACTCCTCGCCCAGTCGGTCCGTCAACGCCTGCTCGCACTTGACGGCAGCCAGCCTGATGGCTGCCTTTTCTGACCGCAGGTGCTTCAGCAGCGCCGAGTTGAGCTCCTTCTGGTGCGCCTGAGAGTCTGCTGCTGCCGCAAGCTCGACAGTCGTCGGGATCAGGGCTTCTTCCACGTCGACGGACACGGCGTGGGCAAACTGCTCCATCAGCACAGGGGCAATGGCTCCAAAGTGCGAAGGCGCCTGCCAGAAGTCGTCCTGGTCGTGCTCGAAGCACTTGGCCAGCGTCTTGAGGACGCGGCTCCAAAGCTGCTTCTCGCCGGCAACCTTGGGGTCGACGGTGCCCAGAATCTTGACGGCATCCTCCAGCACGTACGTGGCGTAGTTGGTCACGATCGACTTGAGACTGTCAAAGAACGTCTGTAGGAATCCGTAGACGCTGTATCGCCGAGCGGCCAATCCGGCCTTGTCCTTGGAAAGCCCGGCACTCGACCATTCGATGATTTGCACAAAGATGGGGCGGAAGGCGGCATCGTTGAGCTTGTAGATCATCTTCAGCGCCTTGTCGTTCATCTTCTCCTCCAGAGAAGCGACACGGGCCAACACTGCGTCGCTGGCCTCGCCCTTGGCGATAATCTGCCTTCGCAGGTCAAATGCCTTCAGCAAGATACTCGACAAGACTCCGGCGTTCTTGGTAATGGCAGACTTGGGGTGCTTGTCGATGGCCATGCCCAGCATATCAATGTAATCAGACGTAGCCTGTTGCGGTTCACATGTCAGTCTCGTGCTTAACCCTACTTTCTCCATGGATGTCACTCTTACCGAGAATCCGCTGGAAGTGGCACTCTCCCAGTTCGAATCCAAGCTCGTGAAAATTTCCTTGGCCTCCAGCTTCTTAGCAAAGAACTCGAGGCAGCTGACACGGGCCTCGTTGGTTTCCGCATCAAGGCCGGCTTCCGCCGACTTGTTGGAGACCTCCAAGATCTGGCCAAGGTAGGTGGACAGCATGTACGGCAAATGCTCGGCCAGGGCGCTGATGAATCCGTAGCCGGCTGCATGGAGCTCCTCGTCGCGCGCATCCTCTTGCAGGCTCAAGTTGAGATAGGCGACAGCTCGAGGAAGGGCAACGGGTAGGACGGGCACAATGGCGTCCTGCAGCACGTCGACCAGGGACGTGAGGCAGAGGAGGGCCATGACGCGAAGCTGCTTCTCGTCTTGGCCAAGGCAGTGCTCCCCGGCAATCGTTGACGCGGCTGCAACCACAGCTTCGATATCCTTCTTGCCGTACTTTTCGGCAATCTTGTCGACGCAAGTGACCGCTGTGTGCTTGTAGCGGATGTCGCTCGACTCCCGAATGGCAGCCGTGAGCTGTGGCAAAAAGGCGAGCAGGGCTGTTCTTGACGCAACATCCGTGTTGCTCTCCGATCCCACCCGGAGTTCCAGGGCGCGAAGCACCTTCTGGCGCAGGTCCAGGTTGGGCCTGTCGAGCAGGCTTTCCACGGCCTTGATGAATTCGCCAATAGAAAGCAGGTTGAGCAGGTTGGCCAGGGCATTTCCGCATCGGCTGTGCAGGCTCTTGTTCGCCTTGACCGTGTCGGCAAGCACCAGGACGTCCTCCAGCAGGGTCGCATAGAGCTGCCGGACCTCTGATGTCTCCATATCGTCTCGGTTGGCGAGCTTGCTGATCTGAGCCTTGAGCTTCCGGTTGGCCAGGAGGCTCGGCAGCACGGACAGCTGGCGAAGGGCAATCTTCTCAACGTCCTTCTCCTCGCTCTCGTCACCGCTGCCGAGCAGCACCAGCGACAAGCCCGGCTTGGGCTTGAAGAAATCCGAAGTGAGATCCAGCAGCTTGACCAATGTCTCGAGCTGGACTTCGATGCTGAACGCGTTGAGGAGCTCGAGGACGAACTGAAGCAGGTCGTCGCTCAGCTCATATCGGTCGACAAGCATGGCCACCAGCGTAAACAAAAAGTCCTTGGGTCCCATGGTCTCGACCAGTGCCAAGAACAAGCCATGTCGCCGGTGCACTGGAATGTGCTCGTACGCCGTCGTGAAGCTCACCAAGATATCGGAAGCGCCAGCAACGGGGCTCTTCTGGCCCTGCCGCAGTGAGTCGATGAGCGGAGGCACAACTTCCTTGATGGTCTGCGCTACGACGTGAGCAGAGTAGTCGTCGTTCTGGCGAAGCACCGACGTGCCCATGAAGGTGAAGATGGGCATGACGCTGTGCAGCACCAGGTGTGGCGCAATGGTGGCCAGGTTGGCAATCAGCAAGAGCGCGGCGTTCTGGACAACTGGGCTCGACGACTTCTGGATGCAGTTAACGAGCAGGTCTCCGTAGCCACCAGAGCTGTCCACCTTGAGGTCCTTGTTGGCCTTGTAGGCCGGCATCATGGCCAGCAGGCTGCGCAGGATCAGGTTCTGCAGGTAGCCCAACTCCGAGCCGACTACGGTCCTAAAGTATTGAAGCTCAGACAAGGCTGTAAAGAGGCCGTCGAGCAGTTCGGGATGTGACACGGGATCCGAGCTGTCAACGATTTGCAGCACAAAGGTAACCTTGCGCAATGCGCGACTCAGTTCCGGAGTCACCTGTGTGTTCAGGCCACGATTGGCGTCAGAAGAGCTCGTTCGCCTGCGCTTGTTAGGCGGAGGCTCGGTGATCATCTTGGTGCCTGTCTGGATAGAGTCGAGGAAGAAGGATAAGATGTCGGTCGTCAGAGTCACGGAGCGGAGCAGATCGGCAGCCTCGGCCGGGATGATGGACTCCGTGGCGCCAGAGGAAGGAGACTCTGCCTCTTGTGAGAGTTCCAGGAACTGCTCCGCCACCATGAACTTCATCTCATCCTTCATCGCAGGCCACATCTTCTTGATCCGGGAGAAGGCGGCTCGGATGAGGCCCGGCCTTGCGTCGTTGGCCTTGTCCTTGAGCAGAGTGAAGACGAATTCCAGTCCGGCCGGGTCGTTGGGAACAATGATGTCGATGAACTGAGCGTCCAAGACCGCCTTGTCCAGCTGCTGAGAGGCGCAGGTCTCAGTCGCCTCGGCATCTGTCAGGCTGGCCCACCACTGCAGAGCGGGCAGAAGGAGCTGTGTGCGTGTCACGTTCGAAACGCCGCGGATGTCGTTGAGAGACTTGAGCAGTCTACTCTTGACAAGCATCAGCGGAGTAGCAACGATGTGAGAGGCGAAGGTCGTCAGCAGCGCCTGTCGGCCAGAGTGAGATAGGTGGTCTTTCTTGTCCAGTGACGGCTCAGGGGCGACTTGATATTTTCCAGTCTCAATGGCGGATTTGAGGACCGCAGAGATGTGCTCAGGATCCATGACGCACTCCTCGATAGCCGGGAGAAGCTGAAGTTGGAGGAATCTGCAGGCGACATCCACGCCCAGGGCGGCAACCTCCTTGGACTTGGCCTTTCCATACAGTGACTCGGCGCCCCATGCATTCGTCGACTTCTTGGCAAAGGGAGGCTTGTAGAAGCCAGCTGCGACGGTGATGAGATCCGCTGCTGCTTGGCGCACGCGTTTCGAAGGGTCGCCCAGAGCGGCAACACAGTAAGGGATGAGAGCTTGGATATCCACGGCAGACTCGGTTGCAGCCTTCAGTCGGTTCCTGACCATGTCCAATGCTGCAGTCCGCGCGAGGGCTGGATATAGGCCGCACCAGATGCGGATGAAAAAGCTAAAGTATGTGCAGTCCTCGAGCGCCGAATCCCGCTTGAGCTTGGGGAACTGATCGAACTGGCCGAGAAGTTCTGTCTTCCGTGGTGTCTGATCGGAGACAATTGATACGAATACGTCGCTGAGCTTGAAGAAGAGTGCATCACCGTCCGACACGAGAGAAGAAGAGAGGGACTCCGAAGTGCTGGCCAACTCGGCAAGGCTTGCCTCAGGGTTCTGGGATAGCTGCGCTTGAACAGCAGAGTCACCTCCCTCGTCCTCTCTCGCGTATTCAGGCAGCTTCCTCGTGCGGAACACAAGATCCAGTTTCATCTCTAGCTCCTCAATGTCGAATTTGACCTCCTCAATGACCGATTGAATGATGGCGCCGGCCGATCCTGTAGTTTGCGACAAGGAAATGAGGGTAGAGCCAACATCTCTGCGCAGAGATCCGTCCTTGTCGTTTTCGTCGTTGAGCTCGTGAGCGGTGAGGAGCAGCGACTTGAAGATGACGGAAACCTGCTTGTCCTTTAGTATGTTGCCGCCCAGAATCGTGGTGATCGTCGCAAGGCCTCGCGAATCGCCCTTCTTCACCAGCCTTTCCACCAGGGCCAAGCACAGCCCGTTGGCCAGCTTGTCCACACGGCGCTCGCGTCCAATCTCGACGAGAAGGCTACCAATATCCTGGACCTTCATCAAAGCCCTGGTAACTTTGCTGCTCATCTGCTTTGCGGATCGGAACTGGGCCAGTATCGTCAAGCATACCAGGCCGGCTCGAACAGTGTCGGCAGTCCAACCGTGGACCAGCTGCTGCATCAGCGCCGTGACGGCATTGTCATGAAGGTCGCCCTTTGATACAAAGACAGTCATGGCCATGTATGAGGCGATCTGAAGGCTGGGGACCTTCTTCATGACCAGTGACTCGGCAAAGATGGGGCCGAGTCTGTGCAGCAGCGCCTGGCTGTTGTCGCTCTGTACCGCTGCTCGGCCAGACTTGGTGCGATCCAGGATTCCGCTCACGGACTCGGTAATGAGACCACCCCAGAAGGTGATGAGAGCCGGGTACTGGTATCCTTTACGGCACGATTCGAGGGTGTATTCGGACACGGCGACGAGGAAGTCGACGTGGTGAATGGTATGGTGGACGATGACTGATCGGGGAGGCGGCGTGAGTGATCGAATGTAGGGATCGAGGAACCGAAACTGGCTCGGGATTTTTGGTGGTAGAATCGAGAGGAGGGTTGCGAATGCGGTAATGGAGTGGTATGGCAAGAAGGTCATGAGCAGAATCGAGGTGTTGTCCACATGAACGCTACAGCGAAGCACAACTAGTTAGCTGACAGCCATTCGTTGTCAAGGGTATAACCAAGGGTTCTTTTGGTCGTTTACGCACTTGAATCGTCGAATCAGCCACTCAACGGCCTTGATGGCGGGCATCAGCCTCAACCGGCTGCCCACGAGTCGCAGAAACGCCTCGATGTGACGATCCAGCTCCGCATTCTCGGCAATTGTGAGCTGATTCCGGTCTTGGTCCTGGCTCTGTTCGCTAAAGAGCGTTTGTTGGAAGGGATTGAACCGAGCATCGAGCTGGCAGAGCTCTTCGAAGCCCTGGTGGCATGTGGCATACAGGGTCTGGTAGCTCTGCGCGGCGGCGACTCGAGGTTCCCAGATCAGCGACTTTGAGTGTGCAGCCCTTTGCGCCTTGATGTCCAGGCTCGACTTGGAGTTTGCGGCAACCTGCGCCAGCTGCTGGGCGAGCGAGGTCGCCATTATGTCGAGAGAGGAGGGTCCAGGTCGGGAGTCGCGGGTTGAGGGGGAAAGAAGTTGAAGAACGCGCCTCTCTTCACTTGCGCCTTGAAGCCGGGTATGAACTTTTTTTTTTCTTTCGAGATTGGAAGAGTTGGCGGAGACTCAATAATTTTCTTATCGATAATGGAGCGCTAGATTGCTGATACAGACGCTAGCATCCACTCTCGTGGCTTATGTCATCCATCTGTTTACCTCTAAACTGCGCAGCAATTAATGGATGAAAGGAGCCGTGATACCAGTTTGACATTCTCAATCTCTCAAATGAAGTATTGCCTTGAAAATCCTGGATCTCTTGTTAAGCAGAGCGACAAACTCAAACCTCTGCAACTGTCAAGATTGTGCTTCTTGATGTGGATGGGGGCGCATCAAATGCTCTCTGAAGCTCTGAAGCACCGTAGCAACATGCCCATCATGGCACTACTAACTGTAAATCCATAGCTACTACGGTATCGAGACATATGGAGTAATTTGAAGCCGACTTCCCACCAATTACTGATTTATAATGTATCTATTCATCTGAAAGCGTTCCACTACATGTGCGTTTGCGACCAATAGGGATGAGAGCGCAGCATATCGTAAGAATGCCCATCTGTTCGGTGCAAACTCTGGTGAGATTTCAGTGGGGAGAAGAATGGGTAGCCGTAAAGACTATATTGACACAGGTGCGGAGGTGAGAAGACGAAGCTATAGCAAATTCCCCGCATAAGAACAACAGTCCCTACTGAATTGCTGCTGCATCTACGGTTTGCTATCCAATTTCAGCAAAAAATTATTGCGATGGCGGTAAGTGAGACAGTGACCCTCCTCTGTAAATCAAGCAGAAGCTCATCCAGCGCGTAGATGCCATATCCTCAGGTTGTTCTCCTCGGAGACTCCTTGTTTGAGTTTGCGGCTTCCAGCCTGAGCGGTTTCTCGTTCCAGGCGGCTCTCCAATCCAGTAGGATTCGACTTTCAGTCCCTGCTCATACTCAGCTGCAAATCTAAATCATGGATCTACAGGGCTGATACGACGCTTCGACGTGGTCAATCGTGGCTTCTCAGGATGGAACACGGATAATGTCGTCAAATATCTTCCCGAACTCTTCTTCGAGCCGTCCCCTTCAGCGCCCAAACTTGCATATCTGGTATGTGCAAACGAGAGATGGACACCATTACCCCGTCAGTAAAGACATTTGCTAACGGTAGAACATGATACCAGATCATTCTCTTGGGAGCAAATGACGCAGTCCTGCCAATGGAAACCACCTCGCAACATGTTCCTCTTGACAGATACAAGGAGAACTTGAACAAGATTGTCAATGATGCTCGGATACGAGCTCACAACCCCAAGATTCTACTGGTTACTCCTCCCCCAGCAGACGAGATCAAGCTTAAAGATCTAGACATTGCCCAGGGCCACGCCTCAGCCATCCGAAGCTCGGCCGTAACAGCCTCATACGCGGAAAAGGCCCGGGAGGTAGCGCGCGAAAACCCGGGCGTCGTTCTGATTGACCTCTGGCAGGCCATCATGGGCGAAGCCATTTCCATGGCCCCGGGAGACTATCAGCCTGGAGGTCCCTGGCTGGGGTCGTTTGAAAACGGCAAACAGGGGGGGCTGGACACGCTTCTGCCGGATGGGCTTCACATGGGCGGAGCGGGATACAGGGTGTTCTTCGACGAGCTCAAGGCGCACATTGGGCAGGATATCGTGCCTGAAGAGAGGGGAGACTACGTGCTGCCGGACTGGAGAGTGCTGAACCCTCCAAAGGTGAACCTGGTGCCAAAGCCATTGTCTCTTGAGTAGAGTATCTACACACCTACCCAGAAGGCTGGGCTAGGATAGATATGTACGAGGTTATGTGTATAGAAGAGGTAGTAGAAGGTGTATCAGAGGCGACAGAGTAGAGCAATCCAACACTTAGTACCTAGTATGTAGTTGCATGTCTACAGGAGGTGTCTTGCGTGTGTCATGCTGTCTTGCTCGAGGAGTCAGCCAAGACGGCACAGAATTCGGCTGTGATCCCTGTCAGAGGCAGCAACTTCGTCATCTGCATCATCATCACACTCGTATTTCCGGACTTATAGTAAGTACATGTACACGTACTTACAGGGCTCGCCTGCGGGGAAGAGGCAGCCTACAGCCGGCCCGCCCAGCCGCCACAGCGCTCCTCAGCGCGCTGCAGCGCCTGTAAAGCCCGTCGTCATACCCGCTGCTTGGCATGGAATCGATACCTAGCCAGCAGAATCCCATCAATGGACCCATGCATCCCGATGTTGTTGTTTTTTCACCCCTAGCGTCTGACTGGTAATAGCCTCCCAAGCCTCCTCCAAGCGGGCAGGAATCCGATCCATCCCATACATGTATGTGGAGAGAGAGAGAGAGAGACTGCAGTCCCAAGACAAACCAAGACGCAAAGCAAAGCAACGCAACGCAACGCAACGCAACGACTGGCAACCGGCCAACTTTGCATCACCAGCCATCAGCTCGTCCGCCTGCACCTGAATTTGCGGCAATACTTCTGGCCCTGCCGTTGAATACCTCCGTCCATACCTAGGTACTTCATCAGCCTCGCGTGTCTGCACATGCCCGAGCCTGCCAATCGATAAGCCAGCCAGCCATCCCACGACCTCCTTCTCCTTCTGCAGTTGGCCCTCAGACTCTCTCTCTCTTGTCTGCCGTTGTCCTCCGACTTTCTCTCCTCCATTTCTCTCCTCCGTCTCTCCTCCGTCTCTCCTCCCGCCCCTTGGCCTTGTCTTCCCTCGTTCTCTCCGCTTCTGTTCTGCATCGATCCGACTCTCCGCTTCTCTTTCGCCTCCCTTGTCGCCTCTCTCGCCAACGCTCGCCGGTTTCTCTCCCTCTCTCCCCAACCGCCTCCGCTTACACCAAAGGCCAGCTTCTCCAACCGACGTGCTCCATGCGGCTCACTTCCAACATTCCTACCGCCTCCTGACTCAGCAGAGATTCCCGTTTCCCGGTAGACGCTGCGCCGTCGTCGCGACTCTCCCTGCGAAGCATTACAAGCACCTGCGCCTGGCAAAGCATCTCGACCTCTTTATATGCCCGTCTAGACCTACGCATACCTACGAGGACACATTCTCCGCCTCCTGCGTCCTGCGTCCTCGCCCTCGGCTTCTGCTTTGCCTACATCGCAGTATTTCTTATCCAAAAATCTCCAACTGCACGTCTTAACAGCATCATATATACTATTGGCATTACGAGGCCCTTTCCTTGTGGTTAAACCCGCAATATCGGTGCCGCTGTGTGTCTCTGCCGACACAGTTCTTGCCACGCGGTTTCGCCCTTTGACCTGAACTGTTCTCGTCTCCCTCGACCGCATCATACATCCGACGTGCTCGAGCTTTGATCTACCTGGACCGTAGCGCGCGTTCAGCGTTATCGGCCGAGTGGCCCTGGGGTCTAGGGCAAGGAGATGTGGTCGAGGAGGCAGGTCGTGAACTGTTGACAACACTCGAGGCATCTACACAAAGACACGAACCACGCCTCATCGCATCTTCCAAGCAAGCAAGCCCCGAGTCGACCGTGAAGCGCAAGCTTACGACACTTTGACATCTTCTCTTGTTTACCCCTGTGGCTTCGACGTTGTGCAACCCTGTCTGTACCCTGTCTTACTGCTCTCTCCATCCTCTGTCTTCTTGAGTCTATACCTAAGCCTAATACTGCCCTTTCAACGCCTCATCTGTGTTTGCGCATTCATTGCCCAGCGGCTTGTACTTGCTGTCTCCGCGCCCTCACATGTCCCCTTGGCCTCTCCTGCTGAGATCCTTTGGATATGGACCCCCGCTTTTCCGTCTCCCGAGAAGAGCTGTACAACCTGCAGATGGAGTTGAAGCAGGTCCAGTACGCCCAAGCCAACCATGCAGAACGACTCCTTAGGTTAGAGAAGCGCCAGGCAGATGATTCTGCCCTCAAGTCTGTGTGGAACTCGCCATTTCCAGGAGTTCTGGCGGGAACGCCACAGCATGGTGAGCTGGCTTTATACAGTGTAGTAGTGTCTTCAACTAACATTGTTCTCCAGGACCTGTCCAGATCTCGCAGAATGACGTGTTCGACGACTTGGATGAGCAGGGCGAGCAGCTGCTGGGCTCTCTGCACCTGGGCCCGGCAGAGGAGGAGCCAGTGCGGCGCGGCGGTGCGGCTTCGCGGGCAAACAGCGTCCGGTTTGACGAAAGCGCGTTGCACGGCTCCAACTGGGGTGCGCAAAACAACCGGCACTCTGGCGACTTTGGCCCCGTCCGTCCCGGTTTCATGATGGAACGGTCACTGTCGCACAAGTCTGACGGCAGACACAGCTCGGCCGGGCACTCGGTGCACTCTCACCACTCTGTCGCGTCAGGTCGAGCTAGTAGCATCGGACTCGACACCAACTTTGCCACGGGCGATGAAGACGACGACGACTCGTCCTTTGACATGCCCGGCCTCCCCGCTTCGGTCTACGTCCTGGGAACTGTCCCCTCCATTGTTCGCTGCTGGCTGACGACGGACTATGCCCATGGAACGTTGCTGTATGCGGACATTTGCACCGGGTCGCAGAAGTCTACCATTGATTATTCGCTTGTGAAAGAGCTGGATTTTCTCAATGAGTTTCAGCGAGACGTCAACGGCGTGTACAGGGCCAGGCTGGACGTCTATCTCGCAGAAGCCGTCATCACGCGGCACAGCAGCAGGTCAGACTCGGCTGCCGGTTCTGTCCCTTCCATGTCGGTGTGCTTTGAGATTTGCGGCAGCGAGCAGACCAAACCGAGCCAGACGACTTCCAAGGCAGTGCGCATCTTCATCGGAAGCGATGCTCTGAGGGCACACGCGGCCGACATCCTCTTCTCTCAAAACACGATGGTGCTCTACAGCAACGAGCGAGACCGGCTGCGGGTTCCCTTTATCCGCCCCGAGGACGAGGAGGTATTCCGCCACATCACCACTAGCAATGCCACGCCGGACCGACCGAAGCTGAATGCCAATGCTGCGCCGTTCGTCTTTGGCGACGGCAGCCGAGCCGAGGGCGAGGACAAGGCGGCAGCTGCGTCGTCGGCCGCGACTCCAGCAACGGCAACCACCACGCCCAGCTCCGCAGCGACGACGACCAAGGAGTTGGGAAGCAGCGAAACGAGGAGCCAGGCGTCACCGGCAACGTCGCATTCCGAGCCCTCGGGGCGTGCCCGGGCGAATAGTGTTCCCGACTACGAGGAGGAAACGGAAAAGTCTGGGGGCGATGCCAACGGGCCTGAGCGCCGACGCAGGGATGGATCCAGCGCGTCTGAAACTTCGCGACGGGGGACGTCGTCGGGCATCTGGGGCTCGTGGCGCAACCCCAGCGGCAGCGGCGCGAGCCAGCGCGAGACGGAGCCCCTGAGCGGATATCAGCCGGCGCCGCGAGGCCGCAACATGAAGGTCCTCAAGGCGCAGAAATCGGCATCTTCATCGGCGCGCACGGGGGCCTCTTATGAGCCTCCGCTGCCATCCAAGTCGGAGCTCGGTCGGCGGAAGAGCCAGGTCAGTATGAACGGCGAAGGCTCGGCTGCTGGGAACGGCATCAGGTGGGACCTCAAGGGGCAAGCAGCACCGGGTGAAGGCAAAGGGGATTCGGCAAAGTCGGGCTCGGGCTCCGGCTCCGGCTCCGGCCCCGGCTCTGGCTCTGGGTCCAGCGTCCGGGCAGCTTCTGGTTCGGTGTCGCTGCCCCGGTCGGCGAATAATCCTGTCGGAGCAGCATCGGCCTTTCCTTGGATGACGCCGCCGGCGAAGCCTAACAAGTCGTCGACCGCAGCCGATTAGAGGCGCCCCGTAAGCAGGGACAAGGAGAGATGGTCGAGCGTTGTTAGTCCGCAACAGCACCGACATCTTGGGATGAAGCTGGACCTGTGAATGAGACCTCTATGAGACGAGCTGATTCGCTGGCGCCGTGCAACCGTGCCCTTTGCCGTAGCTAGGAATAGAAAAACAATGAGTGTCCACGATCTTTTGCCAATGCCTCTGATGTCAGTGTATGTACCTGCTTGGTGATGCCAAGGCGGGTATGTATGTATGTATGTATGTATTGTTCAAAGATATCCACTGCCTTCTATATGAACCCAAAACGAGAAAAAGATGAGATATACAACTAGACGAATCCAGCGAACCAAGAGCCTGAGCAAGATGAGAACAGAGCCAAAACACTTGAGATCCCAAGCCTGACAGATGAGTATCTACATCTTGGGAGCAGGCGGCAGCACGCTCAGGACCTTGGAAGTTTCGCTCAGCTTGCTCTTGACAACGGTAATGAGCCCCTTGAAGAGCGGGTGGGACGCATCGCCCAGGCACTCGTACATCCAGCCCTCGGAGGAGCAGACGGTGATGCCGGGCTCGCTGCGCAGGCGATCGAGGGCGATGCCGACCTCTGCGCTGTTGCAGGAGCTGACGCCGTCGGCGATGACGTAGGGGAAGTGGCCAGCGTCGCGGAGGTCGAGGGCGGTCTGGGTGATGCAGATGTGGGACTCGATGCCGACGATTGCGACGCGGGACTGGGGCGGGAGCTGGGCGGCGATGGAGGGGACGAGCATGGAGAATTTGGTCTTGTCGTGGGGAGGGGAGGGGAGGAGGGAGGCGATTGCCGGGACGGTTGGGCCGAGCTTGGCCGAGGTTTGGGTTGTTGTGTGGATGGGGATGGAGAGGGACTGGGCGTATGTGAGGAGTTTGACGGTGGTGGTTACGCTGAGAAAGGAATTGTTTTAGTTTTTGGTTGATTTGTTTGGTTGTGATGCTGGGGTTTTTGGTGTTGATGTGGAAGGGGACGGGGGAGGGGGGGTTAGGGGAGGGTTTGAGAAGGCTTACATGCTGTCGAATTCGTAGATGACGTTGCGAAACTTCTCCTGCATGTCGCAGATGCTGTTGAATTGGGGTTGGTCTGTCAGCTGTTGATTGTTTTGAGAGTGATGCTTGCGATTGATGCAAAGGGCTGATTTGAGAGCTGAGGATGGAGAGAGAGGAGGGGGGAGACGGAGAGTTGAGGCGCCGACTTACAAGATGGCAGGGTTCTCTGTTTTGGAAAAAAAGGCAACTGGTTAGTCGGCTGAGTACAAATGAGCAGGTTTGATTTGTAAATTTGGAACTTACTGAATCGCAATTCTGTGGGAGCCGCCATTTTGTTGTTGTTGCTGTTGCTATATGAGGGTGAAGAGCTGGAGAATGAGAGGGCCAAAGAGAGCGGACGAAGGGGAGTGATGGTGGCTGATGGCAGTATCGCAGGGCGGTGGAGCAGAGAGTGAATTGGTCGTCGCAGGAGCATAAGAGAGGATTGTTGTAGCTGTTGGATTTGAGGGGAAGGAAGACGAGTGATGAGCCTGAGTTGATTTGGGATAGAGAAGGAAGAGAAAGAGAAGAGATGAGGTTGACGGGAGATGAGCCGCTGGTTTAATAGTTGCTCTTGGCTTGTTGGAGATTTGGCGGGGTGTGGAGGGGAAGTACCTAGGTATGAGCTACATCTGGGGCTACTAGTAGCACTGAGATGACAAAGACAGGAGATGTATCTAGCTCCTACTTGATCAACTTCATGATACCTAGGTACATGCACGAATACCTAGAACATATTGTGCTCCAAATTGGGCGTGTTCTGGAATACGGGAATTTGCATTTGGGAAAAGTTCTCTCACGGATGGGTGCAGAAAGGCAGCTGAAGCGACAAATGATTTGAGTTGATGAGACATGTGAGGTTCATCACGGATCTTTTTCGGGATCTGAGCCGGGGGTCAAGATACCTATACACTCCATAAGGTACATAGCTGCGTTCCTTTTGCCTGAGTACCTAAACGATGTGCATCAAAAATCGAGAAATCAAACGGAACATTGTATGGAAGGGTATTTTCGGATACAGACCTGAATGTCTCGGCCTCGGCACTAACGGCGGTGAGCACATCTATTATAGTAGTAGTACCTACACATATGAGACAAACAACTCCAAGCGAGATGGACATCAATGGCGCGTCCCGTGACAAAATGGATACCTAGTAGTGCTACTATAGTATGTCTCAGTGGTAAATCCATCAGCCGAGGCGGAATACCACCACTCTACTGTGCCTGCTACTACTATCTCGATACTACCTACCTACTACATACTACATAGTAGACCATGGAAATGGTAATTCCAAATCACGGTGGTGGGTTCCTGCAGAAGGACCCTCTCAATCCCGAGAACTTGAGCCCCGGATCTGAATCATACATACTACTGAGCCCATATGCTTAACCTATGAGACAGGTTTCTGGATGGCTACATACTAGTATATTGATAAACTGCTTAATATACGCATGGAAGCAGAATGGAAACAGAAAACTCAAATACTACTTGATGGCGCTTTGATGGGTCAAATGTCGTGTCATCAGTCAAATGCAGGCGTCGGATCGGTTTCTTGTGTGATGCTGCTGCTCAAGACATGCCGTACCTGGTCTGTGTGAGATTGCGCAAGGCGGACAACGTCGGAATGGCGTCAATTCAGACATGCCAGAACATGTATGCGTGCAACTCAAACCCGTGATTGCTGTATTGATTATTCCATAGCTTTTTAATGAAACCCGAAAGAAAACCAATGAAGCCGGAAATTCCCATCGCAAGTCTATGCATATGAACCCACGAACAAGAAGAACCCCTATTTTTCTATAAGCCAAACAAAGAACCATACATGTAACAAAGATATCAAATCACCAACACCAATGTCACCCGCGCCTAAGTAGCAACCTCCGCAAACCACGTCCTCAGCAATCCCGCCAACGCACTCGGCAGCTCCTCCAGGTTGTGCACAATCAGGTAGTACTGGAACGGAAACGTGTCCAGGTACCGCTCAATCACCACCCGGCTCTCGCCCCCGTCGCTCACAAACTTGGCCTCCTTGAGCTCCAGCACGCTGTCCCCCTTCTTCTTGCCCGTGTCGTCCATGATGATGAAGACAATCATGATGCGCTCCTCCATCGCCTCCCGCAGCAGCCGCCGGATCGCGTCGTGCGCCGACGACGGCGTCAGCCCGTCCGACAGGATCAGCGCCAGCTGCCACAGGTCCGAGCCGCCCGACGACGACGCCCTCTGCCGCGCCGCCCGGAACGTGTCAATCGTCTGCCGGATCAGCAGCGCAATGTCCGTCCGGTCCTGCCCGAAGCTGAAGCGCTGCAGCACCTTGGCCCCGGCATCCGCCGCGAACGGCTCCGTCAGCTGGTGCGCCGTGAACACGTCCGCGCCAAAGCCCAGCACGCCCACCTGCCCGGCCTCGAGCATCGTCAGCGACCGCGACACCATGACCAGCGACTCCATCGCCAGCGCCCCCGACGACGACTCGCCCATGCTCTTGCTGTCGTCCACGCACAGCAGGATCTGGTACGTCCGCTTCGTCGGGATGCTGCGCCGCATCCAGATCTTGTCCCGCTTGTAGCTCGATGCAATGTACGGGATGATGCGCTTGATGTTGAGCCGCTTGCCGGTGCGGAACGAGCCAGACAGCTTCGTCGACTGCGAGGGCGTGAGAATCAGCCGCAGCTGCGACGTCAGCGACAGCGACAGGCTGTGCGACTTGGTTTGCAGCTCTGTCCACTGCTCCAGGCACTGCGAAAAGTCTCGCAGCGGTCGTTGGTCCTCCCAGAGGTGAGTTGTCGATAGCTGGGCTGAGGCGTCTTGCACGTCTTCTTCCTCTTCTTCCTCCCCTTCCTTCTTGACTTGCTCGTCCTCTTGCTCGTCGTCCTCGGGCGTCGGCTCTCGGTTGTAGGCACCTTGTCTTGTCTTCACGCCCGTGCGAGTATCGTCGGTGTCCTTGATACCCGCATCCTCGTTGTCGTCTTCGGCAGGCTCGCTGAGGTCCATCTTGTCAAGCTCCTCATCCTGCTCCTTTTCGTCCTCGTCCTCCTGCATCACATGGCTCGTTGGGTCCTGCTTCTCCTCATCAATCGCCATAGACTCATCCAGGGGCTGCGCCTCTTCATTGTCTGCTTTGCCGAGGGCCTGAGTATCCTCCGCGGCTTCGTCGTCCTGGAGGTGCTGGAACTCGCGTCGGCCTTGTTCCTCGGCCTCGGGCCCGTGCTGCTTCTCTTCTTCTTCCGCATTCGCATCCTGAATGTCCTGCTGCTGCCGGTGCCACCTCTCCAGCGCATCACCCAGTTTCTTGAAGGGGTCGCTGCGAGCTTCTTCCTGCGCCTCGCCGTCTTCGGGTTGGTCAGCCGTCTCCTTGGACCGCGATGTCGCCCCTTTGTTGCCAGCGCTTGTATCCTGGTCAGCGGCGCCGTCACCCATATCGCCGGCATCCTGCTGGGCCGCCTTGGCCTGGAACTCATCGTCCATGTCCATGGAGTCTGCATTCTGGTCGATTCCAGAGCTCTTGACGTCGCTGGGCGCCGCATTGTCAGTGTCCGCCTTGGTCTCCTCTTCCTTGGGAGGCGGCTGCTGCTCTGGACGGTCCTCTTCCGCCTGCTCTTCCTCCGTCTTTTGTTCCTCCTCCTTCTCAGGCTCCGCATCTTCTTGAACCTCGTCGACGCCAACGTCTTCTTCAATTTCCTCAGCATCGCTCACTTCATCTTCAACCGCAGTCTCCGGCTCCACTTGTTGCTTGGCACCCTCGTCCATCTCCTCATCCTCCACTGCCTCTGCGTCCTTGCCCTGCTCTTCCTGCTCCTTGTCCTCCTCAATGTCCGACATGAGATCCAAGTCATCATCATTATCCGAGCCTGCCTCATCGTTTTCGTCGAGGTTCATATCAAGATCCTCGGGAAGCTCCAGCGCGTCGTTTTCTTCCACTGTCTGGTCTTGGCGGTTCAGTTCCTCCTTGGCCTGCACATCTTCTTCCTCTGCCCCTGCTTCTTCAGCCTCGGGCTCCTCAGCTTCGTCACCTTCGGGGTTTTGATCCTGATCCTGATCCTGATCCTGCTCCCCGTCCTCTGGCTTCGCTTCTCCTTCAGTCGCCATCTGCTCATCCTCCTGCTTCTGACCCTTGGCTTTGTCACCCTCCTGATCCTTCTCCGCCTTTTCATCATCGCCGTCCCACATCTTTTCATCAACGGCAGTGGGATCAAGGTCATCAACATCGCCGGCCTCTTCAGACATGGCATCCTCCTCGTCGTCTTCGTCTCCATTCTTGGACTTGTCATCATCTTCCTCTTCGTTGCCGTCCACGCTGTTCATGTCTCCCTCCAGTTCCTCGTCTGCCATGTCGACTGCATCCTTTTCATCTTCCATCTCGCCTGACTTCTCCTTGTTCGCTTCTTGTGCAAGCTCGGAGAGATCCTCGTCGGCCTGGATATCCTTGCTGATATCTTCAGCGCCTTCGCCATCACCAAGTCCAGTGCCTGACTCCAATTTGCCTTCGGCACCTGACTTTTCGTCCGACTTCTCCTGCGGCATGCAGAATCCTTGTGAAGCGATTTGCGTGAAAGCCTTTGTCATGCCGTAGGCCATCTTGACTGTAGCACGATGGATATCGAGACTAACAGTGATGGACTGTTGACACAATGCCGCAAATTGACTCAAGACCGGCGATGCAACTGTAATGGCGCTCATCGCGGCCATGCTTGCAAGGGGTTGTCCCAGATCAATCTTCTGCAGGGCTCGAATGCATTGCTCAGCCGTCTTCTGGACATTGTGCATGTAAAGCTGATTGATCATGGCGACAAAAGCATCGTTATGCTTCTTCAGCCAGCCCGCCTCATCCTCCTTCCGGGGAATCTCCGCTCCAGCCTTCTTTGCATTCTCAACAGCCACAAGGACCGTGTCACAGAGCGTGGAAACAGATTCGGCAAAGCCCAGGAGGTCCATGGTATTGCCGCGGGCTTCTAGGGGCTCGCTGGTGATGTGGTTCCAGACACGCAGCTGCTGGAGAATGAAGCCGACGCCGGGATTGCTCTGAACAGCCTCGTCGACAGTCGATTGAAGGCCGTCCAAGTCTTTTGTGACATCTTCCTCGAGCTTGGTGTGCACATCGGACGTAAGCAGAGTAGGAAGCTTGCCCAATTCGCCGAGCTTGGCCGCATGTTTCTCGAACGAGTCTGTCCATGACTGTAGCCTCTGAATGACGGCGGTGTGATCAAGGTTGCCCAACCTTGCATGAGTTCCGAGCAGTTGGATAGCAAACTTCAATCCTTGGACAGTCCAGGGGAGCAGGCGTGACAGATCAGTGATCCTCTGGCTTCGAGATAGACCACCCAAGGTTTGGAATTTTCCAAGGTCTTGGAATTGGGTGATGGTCTTTTGGAGGGAACCGAAAGCAGACATCACGCTTGCCAGGCTCTCCCGCTGAGACAGG